AATGTATAAATATTTTTAAGTATATCCTTGCTTAATATTGACACAGGAAAATATTTTTTTTTATCTATGAATTTTCTATAGAAAAATGTTACTTCATGGGAACATAAATACATGTCTGCTAATGATGGCATACTGATTAGTGCCCTTTGAAATTCCATCAGATTTCCACAGCCTTGACTGTATACATAGGATACTTCTTTATAACATCAGCCTCAGGGACTTTATATCCAGAATGTAATTTTGTAGCGAACCTATCGCAAAATGTGAATATTTACGAGTTCCATTTTTATTGAGGGAGCAGAAGTTTATGATGCCGTAATGTCAATTTTATGAGTGGAAGACATATCGCTTAGGCGCAGTTCTGAAAATAAACACTGAATTATATATTTAAAAGTTCTGAATATCATTTCAATCTTTGAGGCTTTGATGACGTCATCATTCCCGCCGGAGCGACTTTCATTTAAAATGTGTTTTCTTGTTTATTTGAAAGAGGCTTTTTAATGCTAAATATGAACCAGAGTGGCAGAAAAATATAGACATTCAATGAAAACAATGTTGAAGGGGCATTTTCTTGGGGTCTAATTGCAATTTAACATATCCATAGCTTAAAAAATATGTCAACAAATAGCGAGTGATTTACGAAAAAGAGTGCACAGGAATCTCAAATGCACTTGGGGCCTCCCAGGATTTAGCTTCTTCCCAACTTTTGGACCTTTGTTGTATCCATACCGCACAGCCAGGTCCTGAGAGAGGGGTAAACAACTAGTATTGTGTAGATCAATGTATTCCCGAATGAAAATTTACCTATTGACCTGGAACCAATCATCTTTTCTTTAAGACACATGTACATACCTTCACACTTTCTAAGTCCTTTTACTTTTAAATTGTGTCTTAGTTTAATATTTGCAAAATGATAACTTTAAACAACACTTTAGTAGAAAAGCTTTACAATTTAATAGTACATCAAATTTTATAAGGAAGACACATAGCATTGATATCTGAGAATATTGTTGAAGTTAGTTATCTGATATATTTCATACATGATTCAATGTTGAGTGATTTCCGGAATTACGATTATTTCTGGCCATGACACACAGGATTCAATTTTGAGTGATTTACGGAATTACGATGATTTCTGGCCATGACGAACCCCCGATAATAATTTGAGTCACTTGTCTTTTTGGTCTTTGACTAACAGTGTCAGCAGTTTTAGCAATTTATTACTTTCCTTCTTTTCTATTTTGAACATTTCCATTTCCATTTCCTGCTTTCTTTTCTCTATATCTAGTTTTCCTTCTTCTACCTTCTTTCTTATTTCTCTGTCCAACTTGACTTTATCTTTAAGATAGTTGGAGATAGCATCTTTTATCCATCTGGTTTTTAAATTCCCTTTTTCACCATCTGTGCAAGTGTTATCTGAAATCATTTACATCAACATGTAAAAAGTGGATTCTTTACAGCTAGAAATATTAAAGTACAATGAAATAAAAAAAATGAAACAATAAACAATTATTAATTATCATACGAGGGGCATTTCAAAAGTTCTGGCAACTGTTTAATAAAAGATTAACCGTTTTACGGAAATTGAGTTTGATATCATTGGAAAAATCAGAAAAATATATACATATTGTGACGTCAATTTATAAATTTTCTGAAGTAATAACTCCGAAAATGACGTCAGAATATAGAATGTTTAGCATACTGACCATAAAAATGACGTAACAAAAGACACAATTTGATCAAATTAAAATTTTCAAGACAACTTTTGCTCATTACTCGGACGCAAGTTAACGGACGCAAATGCCAGTTGCTGTAATGTTTACATAGACTACAATCTATCATATGGTATTTTATTTCGGAGATCTTCTTGTTCTGAAATGGTTTTAGCGAGTGTCAAAATTAGCATGGTTTTATCGAATCTCGCTCAAACTTTTGCGTTAAGGCCCTTTCACAATTGGCGCACGAGCAGAAGCGACAAATTATTCGTTCGACCGAATAATTTTGGTTAGGATCGTAAACTGTTGTCAAAATAATCGCATATGAAAAAAGTGTTCGTACGAAAATTGCACGATCTAAAGCGACTGTTGTGCATTAAATCTTGCGATATATCTTGCGTCTATATGCGACTGTTGTAGAATGAAAGCGAGTGTTGTAAGATAATGCGATAGGATTGCACGACTGATCAGGTAATCGGACGATTGAACGTGCGACAAAACAGTTGGACGTGCGGTGCTCGTGCGCTCATGCATTCCATAGTACGAATGTTCGTGCGAGTCAGAGGGCCGGGTATATATACCACCCGTTTCCGACGCTCTTCAGTTGACATAGTTAAGATGCTTATAATTATACACGGTATATATGCCTGTTGCAAAGCATGGCAATTGAAGATGATAAATCAAGCAATGATAGTAAAACGTTGCAAGATTACACGAGGCATGTCGAGCAACAGTCTCATGGTCGCAAAACACTCGCAAAGACAGCCGCGATTCATCTTATAATTACGATCTTAAAAAATCGTGCATCACTCTTACGAGTATATAAAACGTTGTAAGACGTTCGTACTAATTTTTGTGCGTTGAATTGCGATAATTTTGATCGCATTTGGTCGCGTCTGAATAGTGGGCATGTTGACTATTTTGAGGAGACTTGATGCGACCACTAAAACACATGCAATGAATGCGAGACATCGTGCAACGTATGCGATAGCTCGTGCGAAGCTAAAATTTTTCGATCGCAAAGTGTTGTAAAGTGCTCGTGTGCCAATTGTGAAAGGGCCTTAAAAGAGACCTAAATGTGAGAAAAAGACAAAGTTGACAATCAAAGAAAACTAGGCGATCGTGTTACAAAATTCGATGGCATAAATTCGTCAGGTGTTTTAACCAGATTTGTGGGATCGATGAAGGCTCAAGAGAAGTTAAGTTTACTGTGCCCCATATTTTCTCGAAAAATCCAAAATGGCGGCAGCGCAGTTGTAACCCAACCGTACCTCCACATATTCGGAAATTTTAATGCATGGAAAATAAATAAGATTGTACATGTCTGTGTAACTTATATTCATTTTTTGGATTCAAAAGTCAAAAGCAGTAGTGAGTTTTTGGGCACCGAAGTTGAATCTATATGAAAAAAATACGCTCAGAATCAAGTCAGTGACAAGATTTAGTACATTTTATTCGTAAAACTGTTAGAATTCTGTTACTCAAAATATATTTGATGAAAACTTCAGTTTAATATAGAACATGTTTTATTTCAAACAATGGAGAGCTATATAAAAGACCGAAAATCCAGCCGTATCATGTAAATAAAAATCTTAAATGAATATTTATAATAGCATAACCGGACATAAACCATGCTCGTAAACAAACCATACAATGAATAATGGGATTGCTGATAAACAGTATCATAGTCCTACTCTACCTCTTTGCAAATTAAAATTTTCTCTGAAATATATTTTCAAATAAGCCTTTGACAGAACTTATAAGGTCGTCTCCTGTGGATAAAAACGCGACTTTTCAGTATGCTTAACATTCTATATTCTGACGTCATTTTCGGAGTTATTACGTCATAAAAATTATAAAGTGATGTTACAATATGTGTATATTTTTCTGATCTTTCCAATGATGTCAAACTCAATTATTTCCGTAAAACGGTTAATCTTTTATTAAACAGTAACAGTTGCCAGAACTTTTGAAATGCCCCTCGTAATTATCATTGTAATATTTAAGAAAATGAACACTGCATTAAGTGGAACAATGATATTCGGTCAGCAGACTTTGTTCACAGTAACGTACTTCATCATGCTCAAAATTTTACAACACTCACCTGAGTTAGTGACATTAACATAGACGGACACCTGCACTGGTTCCGGAGAAGCTGTGTGTGAGCACGAGTAAGTTCCAGAATCGTCCAGCACTGCTGAGGGCTTCCTCAGAGTTGTGAACATCTTTCCCGAGGTCACATTGTAGCCAGAACCTAAGAGAAACAGTTATATTGTTCATTCGTCCACAAGTCTATGTTTTCTTTAATCCATTATTAATTACCCTTTTAAAGGCTATCATTATGTATGTTATATGTGCATTAAATTGCCTTTAACATGTTTAAGATAAATTTAGGGGGTTTATTTGGTTACTTGAATATGGGTATTAATGCTTTATTTTCAACCGTAATAACGGATTTACACAACAAAAACTTTTGGCGCTTCCTATGCTTATATTTAAAAAAGAACAAGAGCATTCCTTTTAATATTTAATATGAAGAGAACAAACAGTAATCAAGTCCACTGAAAGAATATAAATCGGAAGAGTTTTTTTTTTTAATTCTGTGTGAGAGTGAAGAACATTGTCAACATTCTTAAAGAAGACTCAATAAGGCTTTCAATAAGGACTCAGAGAAGAACAAATCGAAATGTTATTACATGTAACTCATAACATGTAATCAAAATTAAATGCAACATAAGTAAAAGTTTTTCTCTTTCAATAAAATTTTAACATTATATTCTGTCCGAATCGTATTACCCCGGCATGTTTTATATCATAAATTAGTTTCTTATTTTAAAAAAAAAAAGAGGAAACTGTAGACAATTCTCATACAATACCAGATAAAATTTTCTTTCCGTTCTTCTGCCAAATAAAACTTTCCCCGATTAAATTGATCAGAAACTCGGAATGTTTGACAGTGCATCGTAGGTTGATGTCTTCCTTGCATTTAAGTGAAAAGTCGCCTGGGGGTATCATTTCCAGCAAAAACTTTGGCTGAGCTAAACAAAGAACACATATCTTAGTAAAATAATTAGATCTGAGAATAATCCGTATATTACATTTACTTAAGTCTATGGACTATGATGTAGAAAAAAGTCAATTTAAGGTTAGAGAAAGTACGTGTATCTAATAAAAAGGATTCCGCTTAAAACAATATTTGTTTTTTTTTTAAGAACAGGAAAATGATGATGTATTTCTATCAATGAAGGAAGGCATAGACTTTCGGGTAGATCAGTGGAAAAGGTTCGTGACAATGCATATAGACAGGATCGAGAAAGAGGTTGATTCAGACTGATCTTATAGTTTGCATCAAGGATCTAACACATATGTTACCCGTAAGGGAGGGTTTAAATTTGTGAATATCCGGAAATGGCTTAAACCGAATAATGGAGAAGAATTGAGATCAACAAAGAAAGGCATTGCCTTAAACTTCACGGTGCTTTCCAAGCTTCGAGAGGTCATTCCTGCAATTAACGCGGAATTGGGTGAGGAGTTCCATTTTGTGGAATATTATGTAAGAATTCCGATATCCACCATAATCAGCTTGGCATGTTAAGTTGCGAGACATGCAATCCAAACGAAAAAACAAAACTGGTAGAGTGAAATGGAATGAAAAAATGAAATGTTGACACTTATAGTACCATGTCATTGTTTTTGCATTATGAATTATATGATTAACTTTATCATGTTTGTAAAGGATTTTTTTGTGTATGTTTGTATGATATGTTTAATAAAAACATTATAGCTCTTTTAAAACCTTTGTCGTTACCAACTCTCTTAAGGGATGGACTTATGTTGATATTGGATTTTTTTAAGAACGTTAAAATTATAATATATTTCTATCAACAAAGAAAGGTATTGCCTTGCAATTAGACCGATGGAAAAGTGACTAGACCTAATTTAGTTTGCATCTAGGATCTAACACATATGTTACTTTGAAAGGAGGATTGAAATGTCTGAATATCTCTTCAGAGAATCGTTTACAGCGAATGTTTATGCACAACAATTCCTACCAATATGTTAAGGAATTGCCTGAAATCACATAAAGTATTAACAAGGCCCCTTCCAGATCATTGGAATATTTTTATCAAAAACACTCCATAATACGTACCTCTCCTGGTTAAATCTGTATAGTCATTTTGCTAACTGGCACGGGACATGATTCTCCTTCCGATGGAGTAAACGATCTGATATTGAATCAAACAATAAAAATGGACAAGGATAAAGAAAACATGCACAGCAATGAAAAGCCTGAAAAAAGATCTTGACACAAGATGGAAACTATGGAATTTTCTATCAAATCATGAGAAAAATGTCCTGACCTGGAATCATTATGGAAAATTGATTTTGAATGGCGAGACCGTTAAGTGATTTAAGTTGATTCAATCCAATACCTGTATTCAACAAGAAAAGGTATGCAGCGTTCCTCTAAGGTCTAAAATATATTCATACCCCCAGATACACCCATGCCAGTAACAGGTAATCATTCATCGATTAAAACCCCAGAACAAATCGGAAAGGGATATATTATTGAGAGATCTACATCCGGTACAACGCCAGGACTTCGAAGCATAAAAAAGGGACGAAGATAAAGTGGATTGAATTTTATATGTACAATTATAAACAGTCAAAATAAAAAAAATCATCTAAAATTAATTGTTCTTTTGTTTGTTCTTGAAAGTTCCTTAATTAAATGTAAATACCCCTACATAACACAGGCAAACCATGTGTGAAAAAAACACACGTGTGATAAGATTATTTCCTCAATTCCTTCAAACACTCCGAAAACCATTCTAAGTTATTTCCAAAAAAAATCATTATATGAAGGAATCGATGTCGGTCTGACAAATCACTGTCCGCAATCTCACTGAGACAAAAATACACGACGTAATGTGTATCTTAAGACGGTGGTTTCATGAGAAGTAGTGTTCCATGAACTCTGCGATCTTGAAATATAACCAAAATTCTGCTGTTTACTTTTCCAATTGCAAGAGTCCTGAATATTCCTGGACAAATTCATTGTTTTGCTGTGTTGTGAGATGACTGCAAAATCATATCAAGCTTATGTTGTATGAAAGGATTCAAAATCAATTCCAATATTTCGACTTTTCTCTTAAAATGTAGTCTACCAGAAACACATTACATCCAAAGTGATTTTCGACCTTCAGCGGGAATTTCATACACATGTATCAACGAATAAATTTTCTTTAAAAAAACATACGATTTGTAAAAGACATTGTTCTGATTGAAACTATCTTAAAATAATGAGAAAAAAATCCACTACGTGCAGTATATGATCTCAATAAAAGGAAATAGATCAAACAAAATGACAATGCATGTTTTAAAGCTCGTGTTTTTATCGTTATTAGATGTTTTCTAATGATACCAAATGATAATGATAATACTCAGATGCTTCAAATCATACCAAATGATAATACATTGCTTAAAAAAAATTTGTTTTTTGTTGTACTCAGGTTCTTTTGTCTTCTTTAAAGCAAACTTGCATATCATCGTGACTCGGCAGGTTCCTATCCCCTCCTCCCACTACATCCCGTACCGCTCATCCATTGTTCATGTTCACCACATCATCCCATTTCTTTGTCTTATTCTACAACCGAACAAGTTTCTTAGCAACATACCACACCCCCATCACGTGGTCTATGTCACGTGCACCCCTTGCCTAGCAACACATCACTTCCAGGATCTTTAAGGACCCTCGGACGTCACTTCCAGGATCTCTAACGACCCTCTGACGTCACTTCCAGTGGAACTGTACAGCTACTCATGCAGCACACGTGATGACGTTAATTTTTCAATCGTCAACCTTCCTCACTTATGCAGCAATATACCTTTGTCACCTGCATACGGAGATTATCTCTCTCAGTTGATTCGATACGAAAGGGCTCTTGGATTTTACTTGAAAATGCGTTAATGGTAATCTATCAACCAAGCTCTATGATAAACGTGATGACCTTACCTTTACAATCGTCAACTTCCCTTATTTATGCAGCAATATACCTTTGTCACCTGCATACAAAGTTTATATCTCTCCGTTGATACGGGAGAAAATGTTCTACGTATGAACAATTTCTAAAACGAGTTAAAATATCGACAAACAAATTCATGAAGCAAGGATATCAGCAGTCTCCTTTTAAGTAATCATTTCGTTAGTTCTATGGTCGATACAATGACCTTGTCAGCAAATTCAATTTATCAATAAGTCAAATGCTGACTGACTTTTTTCATACTGATTGTTATGCCATTATTTACAAACTGAATTGTCCACGGACGTTTCCGGGTTTTTTTTTCAGGAATATGATATTTAGGAACACACGGCGACTGTAACCTGTCGGCAGGGGATGCTACCTCCTCCAAGGCATCTGATGTTTTGGAGGTCTGTGTTTGCTCCGCTCCTATTTTGTAAAGTTAAATGGATTTTTGAGCTCGAATACTATTCGTTATCTCCACCTATTTCGAAATTAAGACGGTCTATAACTTAAATAGTAGCAAATGCAAACATCCGTCCACTTTAAATAACTTTGACACTGTATTTTTATGCATTTTTCCTGCATGTGTAAACAAGAGTGATTTCTGTTTTAAAATTAAAATATTTTTCGAGGTCGCCATATACATGAACCCTATGATCAAATAAAAATAGATGAGCCCATTATTTATATCTTAATACAATATATGTACTTAGTTTGTGGAAAAACATTGATTTAGTACATATGTTACACGTATAACATTGATTTAGGGTCCTTAAGATAGCCGTTGATTAATTGTTTTGCGAAAAAGGATCAATGTACGACATAAAAATGTGCATTAATATACTGAAAGGAAAAAGAAACGCATAGTAAACTTTTATATCAAATTAAAACTATTATTTCGAAAATGTTTTCCAGTATTGTTATCAAACATTTTACTTCATCTTTAAACAACAAATTACCAAAATCTTGTGTGACTTGTGTGACTTTGACTGATAATTCCTGAGTTATTGAAATTGATATATCAAAACCCCCCAAAATAAAAATAAAAATTCTAATCATCTCCCTTGCACATTGGTAACAGTCTTGATTTTCCTGTGCATTGAGTTTATCAGAGCATTTATCTTTCTCATAGGATTATATCAGAATGATTGTCTGCTGTAAAAATATCGGTTTCAGTGATAATGCATTGATAATAACCGAGGTAGCATGATGAAAAGCCCTATCTTGATGTGACGTTGTTACGCGTCAACGTCACCGTCATGGTTGGTTGGGAACATTTTAAATTAACTCTATGACAACCGAAAAAACTTTTTTGGTTGAGAAGTTAAAAACAAACTGCACAGCAACATGTTGTTGCCTTTTTATTCACTTATGCAATTCAATTACTAGACCCAATGTAACTTCCGTCGGCCATACCATGATTGCAAGAAATTTATACTGAATGCAAATATCGGAAAACGATGCCTTTAACTCTAATGCATCTCTTGGCACTACAAAATGTGATCACAAAATTGTCATCATCAACATGCACGTGTTTTTGCCATTTTATCACTTCCCCTACGTGACGCCATACATTTCATGGATGAGTAATTTTGACCAGCGATTTTAGTGCACAGTGACCAAAATACACATTTGACAAATTTTCATAATTTTCGGTCCATAGTTAAATATTTTGCGCATATTATGCTCTTATGCGTTTCTTTTTCCTTTCAGTATACTTAATAGCACCTGCTTCTACTTCGTTCCTGAATATAATACGATGCAAATATTTGACTATGTCTACTTACAAAGCCCACTTACATATACGTGATATAGCAAATAGAAAAAAATCTAAATAATCTAATATTAAGGACAGATGATACAAACAATTTTCTTCGTTGGGAGAGATTTAATATCATAACAATGTTTAGAAAAGTGAATAATTATTCTGAGATTTTTCCCCCTAAGAAATGGAAAACGAAATAGACTTGGAAAATATTAGTAAATCAATATTACAATATAATTGCAGATATGGACAAAACACACTCAGTAAAGGTTTACAGATGAAAAAAATTCAGAATATGTTACCTTGATGCTACAAGTGTGATATAAACTTTATATGAAAATTGTATGAAGCCAAATGATTTTTATTAGGAAATGCAAAATGGTAAAAATCAACCTATGTGACATTGCTGGTTTTTCGTCATTTTGCTTTTCCTCATAAAATTCGCCTGGCTTGGTATAGTTTTCTAAAATTTATATTACACTTATAGCACTAAGATAACATATTCTGAAATTTGTTTTCACCTGTAAACCTTTACTGATTGTGGTTTGTATATATTTGTTTTTAATGAAATATTACTAATATTTTCCAAGTATATTTCATTTTTCCAGTTCATAAGAGAAAAAAATCTAAGAATTATCCACTTTTCTAAACTTGTGACATGAAATTAAGTCTTCTTCCAAAGAAAAAAATTGAAAGTATCATCTGTCCTTAATGTATTTTCCAGTACATAAACTCTCAATAAAAGTAGGAATAATAGTTATTTTTCATGTTTTGAGTGGAGAAAATCATTGACAGGGTCCATTCATGAAAAAAACTTCAAGCTCAAGGATTCAACTAGAACTCAGGACTACCTGTGCTTGTTGATAAATCCTGTGGACTATTTGTTTCAGGAGTTGGCGAGGCGTCAGAGGCTTTGGGTATGCCAGCACTTGTTTGACTAAAATCAGCTGTGGAGGTACTACTTTCTGGTGTGCTTCTGGTCGTTATTTCAGACCTAGTGGATTGCCTAAATCCTGTTGTGGTTTTACTAGATGAGGAATGGGTGGTTATGTGTGCAGTCTTACTCGTCTGAGGAGCGCCAGAAACCGCTGCAGTAAAAATATAATTTGTTGAAACTGAATAACTCAGAAAATGTTTCTCGCGTCAATACATTTTTGGAATAATTATTTTAGAAAATTATATATTATAGATACATGTATTATTATATAATATAATTATCTAAATTATTATTCCAAAAATATAAGAAGAAGGTACAGTTTGAGCTTTATTGTGCCCTAAAAATGTAATGTTCTTAAAAAGTTATGAAATTGGCTTTAATAATAGTTGAGTAGATGAATATGATAAATCATGAAAGAATATGGCATAAAGGCAGGACCTTTCTAGAAGTATGACGTCATCAATTTGGTGTATTTCTAAGTTTAATGCAGAAAAGCCTCAAAATAACTCATTTCTGTGCGAATTTTCCTTTAGAAAAATAGTGTCTGCCACCGTCGCCCACTTTAATTTTTGGATATATTATGTAAACTGCTATGAAAAATCACATATCTCAAAATCTTTCCGCGCGACGGTGGCAGGGTATATTTTCTTGAAGAAAATTCCACTGAAAATTGATGTCTTTTGCAACTTTTTAAGAAAATACGGGAAAATGCACAAGTTAATGACGTCACAATTAGCATTAAGGAGGTCATATGAGAAAAATGACTTTTATATTCTTACTGTAGGGAATTCCTATGATTAAGAAAGAATAAATTTTGATTTCTTATATCACTTTCATATTTTAGGAAAATATCGGGCTTAATTTGTATTGAAACTGTACATTTTTCATCTTCATATGAATACAGAAAATAGGTCTGCCAATAACGATGGGGGGGGGCAATTTGTACCCATGGGAATTGCATTGGATTGTTGGATTGTTGAAAAACAATCGATTCCGAAAAAGTGTTCAAGACTTCTATAATAAGCCTAACACTTGGAATAATTTCTGACTATATATACCTCCGAATAATATTGTCTTAGTTCTAGTTCAACAATTTAAGGTGTATTACAACTGTTTTAAGAGAAATCGGTCTTAATTCTTCGACTGTAAATCCATTTTGAATTCACAATTTGCTTTCTAGGGGTAAAATAAATTCTTCAAAATCAGATATATTTTCAACATCACTGTTATACGACAACTAAGCTGAAAATGCATGTCATTCTAAGTTTTTCTTAATCGTCAATTTTCCTTATTTACGTTGTAGTATGTACGTCTCACAATCTACTCAATAGATAAATATTTCATGAATGGTTTATTAATTATTACAACTTAAACTTATACTTACTTTCAATATAAAACGCCAGAACAAATCCGCTACCAGCATAGCCAAAGTCGCTTGTAAAACGCACGTTCGCTTTCGTGCTGTTGAGTGGCATAGGGGAAGAAGTTTGCAATATGTTGTCCTCCTCCTGCTTACAAAATTCTTCTAAAGAAATGCATTTAACGAAATGTTCATTCTAAAAAAATAATTACCTATAGATAGACAGTAAAAAGGATTCAATATTCAAGACGAGGTGTTTGTACACTACTTTCGCAGAGCCCTGTACAAATATTCATTTACTAAATAGTAACTGAAATACAAAAACATTTTTCATGTTTGATAGCCAAATTAATCATGCAGTAATACAAGCTACATCTCTTTCCGATAATCAATTCTGTTCTTAATACATTTAATGTACTGACTATTTCTAACATGTTTTGGTTCTTCGTATCGATACTTATTTTTTCATATTGAAAAAATAAGCGTTGTCAAAATGAACGAAGTTGTACGTTTAACAATTGGTATAAGAAATGCAACTTTTTCTTGAATTGCGATTAGTCATCCTAAAAATATCCAGAAAAAATATTTAATAATTAATAAACTTACCATTTAGACCATCAATTCTTACAAAATCGCTGCAGCTATCAAACCCCATCTCTAGATATTGAGACCTAAACTCAAATACTAAACGGGTTTCTCTCTCAATGAACGCTGGTTCCACAGTCCACAGACAATTCAAATTACTTAAATATAATAATTATTATAATAAATTATATAATATTGTATTATATATATTGTTTAAAAACTTTAAATATGAAGTATTATTAAATATTTCTATACTGTGCTCATATTACCTGTTATAATTAGATGGGAAGTTTGGGGACGTAATAAATTTTGGTGTCTTCTCTGCCAACATCCTTGTACCACCACTCACACATGTAGAATCTGTGGAAATAAAATTAAATTCTTAATGTTTGACAACAAGAGTGCCTATACCAATTTAATTAAAGGTTGCCCCTGCCATTTATCTACTAGGGGTATTTTTTTTATCTTTGTGTCATAATTTTCTTAATACAGTACTTATTCCTTGTATGCAAAATATCAAATAGATGTATTCTTTTTGTCCTGTCTGTCTGTCTGTTTGTTTGTCTGCAAAGTTTAACCTTTGTCATAACTTTTGAACATGAAAGATAGAGACTTCATATTTGGTATGCATAATCCACTAAGTAGGTTCTTTCAAATGATACCAAGGTCAATGACCTTGTGACCTTGACTGTGATCTACATGCTAAAAATAGATTTTTGAACCTTCACCGTTACTTTTGCACAATGAGAGATAGCGACTTCATATTTGGTATGCATACTCCACTAAGTTCTTTCAAATCACGCCAAGGTCAATGACCTTGTGACCTTGACTGTGACCTATATGCTAAACATAGCTTTTTCAAACTTTGCTGCCGCTGGGCATCTTGTCTTAGTTAACCTTTGACTAAAGCTTATTTAAAAATATATTGATCAATTATGTGTTTTAATCAATTTTCATGAAGGAAATTTTAATGTTATCTTCTAATTAATTCTTTATTAAACTATAATACATCATATCCATGTCGTATAAACATTTCCGTGATCGATATAAAGGATGTTTACCTCTGTTGCTTTTCACGGCCATAAAACGAAACTGAAATCCGCCTCCACTATGGGAAGAAATAGTCAACATAGAAAGTAGGACCTCTGATGTTCTAGTTTGTATAATGTCGTAACAGTATCCGTTAGTTCTGGGACAAGTGACACAGTTGTCTTTTTGTGCTGAGGTTGTCGCACCTTCAAATTAAAGCAACTGATTATTTTGGACTTATTCTACTTAATGATGTTTACATAGATTAATTCAAAAAAGAGAGAGAAAGAGAAAAGAAAAAACACTGCAGTCCATTTTAACGGAAAGGTGACATTTTAGAAAAAAAAATTGTTTTTTAAATAAATCGTCGAGATTGGACAATCTTTGACTTTCTGAAAAACCAGACAAAATTTAACACCGGGATGGGACATAAATACTTGCCCTTGCTTAGTATTCAGCTATGAAGAGTAGTGGGATAGATGACTTAAACTTGTAGGCATACAGAAATACTAGTACTTTTATTTTCAGAACTAAATGTTGGTGAATTTCAAATGCAATTTTGGACTACGCACAACGTTAAAAAAACCGACGAGCACTTCGGTACAAACCTTGAAATCTACGTCGTGAAGATAACGATGAAAATGGTGAATAAAACAAATCGTGATATCGTTCTCAAAATATCGTTAAACTAGAAGTACTGTGAGCAATGAGCTCACTAAATGATACCCCGCCTCCCATATGAATATAATGACAGTGTCCATGTTTTGCTATGGAAAACCCAAATTCTGTGTCGGATCAAAAGGTAAAATAAAAGGTGCACAATGACAATATAATACAGATTCTGTGAACGTTTCATCAAATTTCATTCAGTGGTATGAGAGGATTTGCGGATAAGAGATGGGTACCCCAAAGCGTAACAGACGGACGTACAGCTAGACGGACAGACGGACGGACGAACAGAAGAAAGGACGGACGGACGGACGAACATAACGATTACTATATACCCTCCCACTTTTCAAGCAGGGGTATAATAATACAAATATGTGAAGAGGGCAAAAACAAGGACATCTGGAAGTTCCAGAGGTGGGATCAAATGCTGCCTTTGATCGAAAAGAGAAAAATAAGCATCCTTGTCAGCCAGTCACTTCCGGCCTGATTCCTATGCATTGAGTAAGCAGTTTAGTTTTTTAAAAAAAAGCCTAACAGTTAGCATGAAACAAGTCAGTTAAAATAGGACTCAATGATAGGTCATTTTTGCTGACGAGATCATTATTTATGAAATGCTATTTTCAATCGTCGTTGTTAAAATCTTTGTATTCCAAACAACCAGAATGAATTTGATACATAGCGGGTCCATTCTTATGTTGAAATAAAAGATAACACAGAGTCTGATACATCTGTTTCATATCAATTTGGATATTTTACTGGGAAAAGACATAAATGGTAATCTAACAACCAAGCTCTGTGGCAATGCACTTTGAAAATTGTTTTCAAAGTGCGTTAAATTTGGGACCAGCTCAACGCACTTTGAATTTAAAAGAGTTAACATTAATATATTCTACCATGGAGACACTTAACGCACTTTAAAAAAAAATACGTAAAAACAAAAATTCTTGATTTAGATTTAATAATGGAAAGATACTATTGAATGTTATTTGTCTTTCAAACAACTCATGAATTGATTTAGTCGCGTCGAGAAGATGAGAAGACGGGTAGAAGATCTCTCAGCCTATAACTCTTTCTTTTCAATACACAGGCGTAGGTAACAAATAAAACGGAGGGGGGGGGGTAATAACCCCCAAAAGGGTAAGCCGCATTTTCAATACCTATATGTGTATCTAAGCCTTCTCCCCTTGCCCTTCGCCCGGTGCCTATGCTATACCCAAAACATAGATATGTATTTACATAACTGGTATGACGTTGAAAACTTTCAATAAATGAGTTAACTTAAAACAGATGAAAGCTAGAAATTCTTAAGAACAATAAAACGTATTTCTTAGTTTTGAAAAATCAAACGGCCCCCTTTTTCTTAAGATAAATGCTATGCTTTAAGTCGTTCACTTTTAGCCCCCATCCCAGATTTTATTACAGACTAGAATTTTTAAAAAGAAACGAAATAATGATATTCAACAATCATCTCTGTATTTTCTCTAAAAGACCCATTTCCCCTTTATAACATTTATCAAAACCTAAAATATTTAAAAACATCAATATCTCAGGTCCTGAAGTGACCTTATCATAAAAAAAATTATCCAACCAGGGTCAGTCATTTATCATTTACCGATATTTTGTAAGAATATTGATCAAGCTTTATATTTTTTTCAAAGTGCGTTAATATGATCGATATAAGCGCACTTTGAAAAGAAATTTAATTTTTTCAAAGTGCGTAAGCTTGGTCCCAAATTTAACGCACTTTGGAAAAAAATTCAAATGCGTAATTTTTCAAAGTGCGTTGTAACAAAGCTTTCTGAATTCTGAATTATTTTTTCAATTTCCTTGCTTATACAGTGCTCAATATACCTTCATCACCTTCATATGGTGTTTAGATCTCACATGCAGTTGATTCGATACGCGAGAGCGTGCTCTACGTATTTATAATTTCTAAAACGGGGTAAATTACTGACAAACAAGTTGAAGAAACAAAAATATCAGCTGTCTCGTTTAAAGTCATCATTTCGTAAGTTATATGGTCGATTGTCAGCGAAATACAATTTATAAATGAGCCAAATGCTGCATGACTCTTTTTCATACTAATTGTTAGGCCATTATTCAAACACTGAATAGTCCACAGATTTCTCCGTTATTTCCAAGTCTTGATCAAGGGCACATGGCGGATGTGACCGGTCGGCAGGTATACTCACTCCTCCATGGCACCTGATCCTTCCTCTGATGTTTTGAGGTCCGTGTTTGCTTCGCTCCAGTTTTTTTTATTTTTTAATGGACTTTTGAGCTTGAATACTGTTTGTTATCTCCATATATTTCATTCTGTGAGATAAAAATTAACTGTCATGAAATATGAGGTGTTCGGGTTCTGTAGACAGGCTGTTTGATACCCTATAGGTCCAAAGGGTTAACATATATGTATTGAAACCCTAAACTACATCCTCAAGACACCACCTATCAGATACCACAAGTAAAATCAGCAACTGCGTAAAACTTGACGTAACATGAGTTTGAGGAAGAAAAAATGACGGACGTAAAAGCTTTGGATAACAATAATATACTCGATCTTTCTGTCGGAAGTATGTGCATAGTTACATTGAACAAATTAACTTTATAGAGCTTAATACGTGAATTTACAATAATGTGTATTTTAACTGGTTGGTAAGATTTGTAAAATTTTCTTTACGTCCGTGCTTTCCGAAGAAAGAGTACATTGTGCATACTCTTTTTCCTCCAACTTCTAGTGAAAACCTTTAAATATACAATGATTGCAAATATGGAGAACGCTGGGATCAAAAGCTTTCTTTTGGTTTATGTTTGCATTTATAAAGATAAATTTAACCTGATAAAACGCTAAACATAAAAATACATGTATTGTGAAATGTAACATAGAATTTTAAGTAATTTAATCGAATATTATTGTTAAAAATTGAAATCAGAATTTGTATGAGAGAGGGGGGGGACATACCATAATACAGACCGATAGTTACATCAGCCTCACACACCCATTCCGGATAAACCACAATCTCATAGCCCTGTGCTGCAATGATTTTCCAGGAACAGTTTCTGGCTCTAAAATCATAATATTTCATTCTATTGCTCGTACCTTTGAAAGTATTTTGAAAAGAAAATAAAACGTACTGGAGTGTTAAGTTTCAGTTTGTTTCTGTATGATTTGTTCTTACGCTTCAAGTCCCGTATTCACCGGGTAATCGTCTGGATAGGTAACTTTTCTCCCCATATAAGGCTGAAGAATTATTTCCGCAACCCCATCACAAGCAGGTACCGGTGAAACTGACATGAAAAAAGCATAATGTTTATTCAATCAGATTGAATGTTTATTATCATGTTAAATAACAGTGTTTTATTTAAAATATTACACTGCATACCTTTGTCCCAGATGAAATTGAAAGTGAAAAAAAAAAGATGTCTGTTCATCGATAAACTTGGTTTAAAAAAAATAACGTGTCTTGTTAAGCCAAGAGAGAGAGATAGAGAAGTGGGCGGGGCTTCTTTAGACGTGATCATTTCTTTAAAATAATGTTTGCTTGCCCTCTCCCGACTCATAGTAAATCTATTGGGTTGGTAGCGGGTAGGTAGGTGGGAAATTTTTTTTTCCAAGAATTAAATTTCAACATAAATGTATTTGTGAATAAACGGGATAAGAGGAATAAAAAGAAAAACTGTCGTCTCCTGGAATGTAAATTATGACAGGCCCATTTATAAAGCATAAAAAACCTGGTGAAATTTAATCGGTAATAAAGAAAAGTTTTTGACAACAATAAATATGTTTGTTTTTAATGAAATATTACTAATATTTTCCAAGTATATTTCATTTTTCCAGTTCATAAGAGAAAAAAATCTAAGAATTATCCACTTTTCTAAACTTGTGACATGATATTAAGTCTCTTCCAAAGAAAAAAATTGAAAGTATCATCTGTCCTTAATGTATTTTCCAGTACATAAACTCTCAATAAAAGTAGGAATAATAGTTATTTTTCATGTTTTGAGTGGAGAAAATCATTGACAGGGTCCATTCATGAAAAAAAAACTTCAAGCTCAAGGATTCAACTAGAACTCAGGAATACCTGTGCTTGTTGATAAATCATGTGAAGCATTTGTTTCAGGAGTTGGTGAGGCTTCAGAAGCTTTGGGTATGCCAGCACTTGTATGACTACGAAAACCTACTGTGGAGGTACTATTTTCTGGTGTGCTTCTGGTCGTTATTTCAGAACTAGTGGATTGCCTAAATCCTGTTGTGGTTTTACTAGATGAGGAATGGGTGGTTATGTGTGCAGTCTTACTCGTCTGAGGAGCGCCAGAAACCGCTGCAGTGAAAATATAATTTGTTGAAACTGAATAACTCAGAAAATGTTTCTCGCGTCAATACATTTTTGGAATAATTATTTTAGAAAATTATATATTATAGATACATGTATTATTATATAATATAATTATCTAAATTATTATTCCAAAAATATAAGAAGAAGGTACAGTTTGAGCTTTATTGTGCCCTAAAAATGTAATGTTCTTAAAAAGTTATGAAATTGGCTTTAATAATAGTTGAGTAGATGAATATGATAAATCATGAAAGAATATGGCATAAAGGCAGGACCTTTCTAGAAGTATGACGTCATCAATTTGGTGTATTTCTAAGTTTAATGCAGAAAAGCCTCAAAATAACTCATTTCTGTGCGAATTTTCCTTTAGAAAAATAGTGTCTGCCACCGTCGCCCACTTTAATTTTTGGATATATTATGTAGACTGCTATGAAAAATCACATATCTCAAAATCTTTCCGGGCGACGGTGGCAGGGTATATTTTCTTGAAGAAAATTCCACTGAAAATTGATGTCTTTCGCAACTTTTTAAGAAAATACGGGAAAATGCACAAGTTAATGACGTCACAATTAGCATTAAGGAGGTCATATGAGAAAAATGACTTTTATATTCTTACTGTAGAGAATTCCTATGATTAAGAAAGAATAAATTTTAATTTCTTATATCACTTTCATATTTTAGAAAAATATCGGGCTTAATTTGTATTGAAACTGTACATTTTTCATCTTCATATGAATACAGAAAATAGGTCTGCCAATAACGGGGGGGGGGGGCAATTTGTACCCATGGGAATTGCATTGGATTGTTGGATTGTTGAAAAACAATCGATTCCGAAAAAGTGTTCAAGACTTCTATAATAAGCCTAACACTTGGAATAATTTCTGACTATATATACCTCCGAATAATATTGTCTTAGTTCTAGTTCAACGATTTAAGGTGTATTACAACTGTTTTAAGAGAAATCGGTCTTAATTCTTCGACTGTAAATCCATTTTGAATTCACAATTTGCTTTCTAGGGGTAAAATAAATTCTTCAAAATCAGATATATTTTCAACATCACTGTTATACGACAACTAAGCTGAAAATGCATGTCATTCTAAGTTTTTCTTAATCGTCAATTTTTACGTTGTAGTATGTACGTCTCACAGTCTACTCAATATGTGAAATTATGAATGGTTTATTAATTATTACAACTCAGACTTAAACTTATACTAACTTTCAATATAAAACGCCAAAACAAATCCGCTACCAGCATAGCCAAAGTCGCTAGTAAAACGCACGTTCGCTTTCGTGCTGTTGAGTGGCATAGGGGAAGAAGTTTGCAATATATTGTCCTCCTCCTGCTTACAAAATTCTTCTAAAGAAATGCATTTAACGAAATGTTCATTTTAAAAAAATAATTACCTATAAATAGACAGTAAAAAGGATTCAATATTCAAGACGAGGTGTTTGTACACTACTTTCGCAGAGCCCTGTACAAATATTCATTTACTAAATAGTAACTGAAATACAAAAACATTTTTCATGTTTGATAGCCAAATTAATCATGCAGTAATACAAGCTACATCTCTTTACGATAATCAATTCTGTTCTTAAAAATATTTAATAATTAATAAACTTACCATTTAGACCATCAATTCTTACAAAATCGCTGCAGCTATCAAACCCCATCTCTAGATATTGAGACCTAAACTCAAATACTAAACGGGTTTCTCTCTCAATGAACGCTGGTTCCACAGTCCACAGACAATTCAAATTACTTAAATATAATAATTATTATAATAAATTATATAATATTGTATTATATATATTGTTTAAAAACTTTAAATATGAAATATTATTAAATATTTCTATACTGTGCTCATATTACCTGTTATAATTAGATGGGAAGTTTGGGGACGTAATAAATTTTGGTGTCTTCTCTGCCAACATCCTTGTACCACCACTCACGCATGTAGAATCTGCGTAAATAAAATTGAATTTTTAATGTTTGACAACATGAGTGCCTATACCAATTTTTTAATGTTTTTTTTTTTTTAATTAAAGGTTGCCCCTGCCATTTATCTACTAGGGTTTTTTTTATCGTTGTGTCATAATTTTCTATAATACAGTACTTGTTCCTTGTATGCAAAATACCAAAAAGATGTATTGTTTTTGTCCTGTCTGTCTGTCTGTTTGTTTGTCTGCAAAGTTTAACCTTTGTCATAACTTTTGAACCATGAAAGATAGAGACTTCATATTTGGTATGCATAATCCACTAAGTAGGTTCTTTCAAATGATACCAAGGTCAATGACCTTGTGACCTTGACTGTGATCTACATGCTAAAAATAGATTTTTGAACCTTCACCATAACTTTTGCACAATGAGAGATAGCGACTTCATATTTGGTATGCATACTCCACTAAGTTCTTTCAAATCACGCCAAGGTCAATGACCTTGTGACCTTGACTGTGACCTATATGCTAAACATAGCTTTTTCAAACTTTGCTGCCGCTGGGCATCTTGTCTTAGTTAACCTTTGACTAAAGCTTATATAAAAATATGTTGAACAATTATGTGTTTTAATCAATTTTCATGAAGGAAATTTTGATGTCATCTTCTGATTAAATCTTTATTAAACTATAATATATCACGTCCATGTCGTATAAACACTTTCGTGATCGATATATAAAGGATGTTTACCTCTGTTTCTTTCCACAGCCATAAATCGAAACTGAAATCCGCCTCCACTATGGGAAGAAATAGTCAACATAGAAAGTAGGACCTCTGATGCTCTAGTTTGTATAATGTCGTAACAGTATCCGTTAGTTCTGGGACAAGTGACACAGTTGTCTTTTTGTGCTGAGGTTGTCGCACCTTCAAATTAAAGCAACTGATTATTTTGGACTTATTCTACTTTATGATGTTTACATAGATTAATTCAAAAAAGAGAGAGAAAGAGAAAAGAAAAAACACTGCAGTCCATTTTAACGGAAAGGTGACATTTTAGAAAAAAAAATTGTTTTTTAAATAAATCGTCGAGATTGGACAATCTTTGACTTTCTGAAAAACCAGACAAAATTTAACACCGGGATGGGACATAAATACTTGCCCTTGCTTAGTATTCAGCTATGAAGAGTAGTGGGATAGATGACTTAAACTTGTAGGCATACAGAAATACTAGTACTTTTATTTTCAGAACTAAATGTTGGTGAATTTCAAATGCAATTTTGGACTACGCACAACGTTAAAAAAACCGACGAGCACTTCGGTACAAACCTTGAAATCTACGTCGTGAAGATAACGATGAAAATGGTGAATAAAACAAATCGTGATATCGTTCTCAAAATATCGTTAAACTAGAAGTACTGTGAGCAATGAGCTCACTTAATGATACCCGCCTCCCATATGAATATAATGACAGTGTCCAAGGTGGGATCAAATGAAACCTTTGTTTTGCTATGGAAAACCCAAATTCTGTGTCGGATCAAAAGTAAAATAAAAGGTGCACAATGACAATATAATACAGATTCTGTGAACGTTTCATCAAATTTCATTCAGTGGTATGAGAGGATTTGCGGATAAGAGATGGGTACCCCAAAGCGTAACAGACGGACGTACAGCTAGACGGACAGACGGACGGACGAACAGAAGGAAGGACGGACGGACGGACGAACATAACGATTACTATATACCCTCCCACTTTTCAAGCAGGGGTATAATAATACAATATGTGAAGAGGGCAAAAACAAGGACATCTGGAAGTTCCAGAGGTGGGATCAAATGCTGCCTTTGATCGAAAAGAGAAAAATAAGCATCCTTGTCAGCCAGTCACTTCCGGCCTGATTCCTATGCATTGAGTAAGCAGTTTAGTTTTTAAAAAAAGCCTAACAGTTAGCATGAAACAAGTCAGTTAAAATAGGACTCAATGATAGGTCATTTTTGCTGACGAGATCATTATTTATGAAATGCTATTTTCAATCGTCGTTGTTAAAATCTTTGTATTCCAAACAACCAGAATGAATTTGATACATAGCGGGTCCATTCTTATGTCGATTTGATCGCAGTGAGCTTGAAATAAAAGATAACACAGAGTCTGATACATCTGTTTCATATTAATTTGGATATTTTACTGGGAAAAGACATAAATGGTAATCTAACAACCAAGCTCTGTGGCAACGCACTTTGAAAATTGTTTTCAAAGTGCGTTAAATTTGGGACCAGCTCAACGCACTTTGAATTTTTTTTCAAAGTGTGTTAAGAGTTAACATTAATATATTCTACCATGGAGACACTTAACGCACTTTGAAAAAAAAAATACGTAAAAACAAAAATTCTTGATTTAGATTTTAATAATGGAAAGATACTATTTCAGTGTTATATGTCTTTGTCTTTCAAAATACTCATGAATTGATTTAGTCCCGTCGAGAAGATGAGAAGACGGGTAGAAGATCTCTTTCTTTTCAATACACAGGCGTTGGTAACAAATAAAACGGGTGGGGGGGGGGGGGGGGGTAATAACCCCTAGGGTAAGCTGCATTTTCAATACCTATATGTGTATCTTTCTAAAATAAGTGGGGGGACTAAGCCTTCTCCCCTTGCCCTTCGCCCGGTGCCTATGCTATACCCAAAACATAGATATGTATTTACATAACTGGTATGACGTTGAAAACTTTCAATAAATGAGTTAACTTAAAACAGATGAAAGCTAAAAATTCTTAAGAACAGTAAAACGTATTTCTTAGTTTTGAAAAATCAAACGGCCCCCTTTTTCTGAAGATAAACGCTATGCTTTAAGTCGTTCACTTTTAGCCCCCATCCCATCTATTATTAGACTAGAATTTTTAAAAAGAAACGAAATAATGATATTCAACAATCATTTCCCCTTTATAACATTTATCAAAACCTAAAATATTTAAAAACATCAATATCTCAGGTCCTGAAGTGACCTTATCATAAAAAAAATTATCCAACCAGGGTCAATTTGTTATACCGATTATTTGTTAAGAATATTGATCAAGCTTTACATTTTTTTCAAAGTGCGTTAATATGATCGATATAAACGCACTTTGAAAAGAAATTTAATTTTTTCAAAGTGCGTTAGCTTGGTCCCAAATTTAACGCATTTTGAAAAAAAAATTCAAAGTGCGTAATTTTTCAAAGTGCGTTGTAACAAAGCTTTCTGAATTCTGAATTATTTTTTCAATTTCCTTGCTTATACAGTGCTCAATATACCTTCATCACCTGCATATGGGATTTATATCTCAAGGTTAATTCGATACGCAAGAACATGCTCTACTTGTATATAATTTCTAAAACGGGGTAAATTACTGACAAACAAGTTGAAGAAACAAAAATATCAGCTGTCTCGTTTAAAGTCATCATTTCGTAAGTTATATGGTCGATTGTCAGCAAATACAATTTATAAATGAGCCAAATGCTGCATGACGTTTTTTCATACTAATTGTTAGGCTATTATTCAAACACTGAATAGTCCACAAATTTCTCCGTTATTTCCCAGTCTTGATCAAGAGCACATGGCGGATGTGACCGGTCGGCAGGTATGCTCACTCCTCCATGGCACCTGATCCTTCCTCTGATGTTTTGAGGTCCGTGTTTGCTTCGCTCCAGTTTTTTATTTTTTAATGGACTTTTGAGCTTGAATACTGTTTGTTATCTCCATATATTTCATTCTGTGAGATAAAAATTAACTGTCATGAAATATGAGGTGTTCGGGTTATGTAGACAGGCTGTTTGATACCCTATAGGTCCAAAGGGTTAACATATATGTATTGAAACCCTATACTACATCAGATACCACAAGTAAAATCAGCAACTGCATAAAACTTGACGTAACATGAGTTTGAGGAAGAAAAATTGACGGACGTAAAAGCTTTGGATAACAATAATATACTCGATCTTTCTGTCGGAAGTATGTGCATAGTTACATTGAACGAATTAACTTTATAGAGCTTAATACGTGAATTTACAATAATGTGTATTTTAACTGGTTGGTAAGATTTGTAAAATTTTCTTTACGTCCGTGCTTTCCGAAGAAAGAGTACATTGTGCATACTCTTTTTCCTCCAACTTCTAAATTATATTAAGCAATGAATGGTGAAAACCTTTAAATATACAATGATTGCAAATATGGAGAACGCATAGGACCAAAAGCTTTCTTTTGGTTTATGTTTGCATTTATGTAGATTAAAACCTGATAAAACGCTCAACATAAAAATACATGTATTGTGAAATGTAACATAGAATTTTAAGTAATTTAATTGAATATTATTGTTAAAAACTGAAATCAGAATTTGTATGAGAGAGAGAGAGAGAGAGGGAGAGAGAGAGAGAGATATGGGCACATACCATAATATAGACCGATAGTTACACCAGCCTCACACACCCATTCCGGATAAACCACAATCTCATAGCCCTGTGCTGCAATGATTTTCCATGAACAGTTTCTGGCTCTAAAATCATAATATTTCATTATATTGTTCATACCTTTGAAAGTATTTTGAAAAGAAAATAAAAAGTACTGGAGTGTTAAGTTTCAGTTTGTTTCTAAATATGATTTGTTCTTACGCTTCAAGTCCCGTATTCACCGGGTAATCGTCTGGATAGGTAACTTTTCTCCCCATATAAGGCTGAAGAATTATTTCCGCAACCCCATCACAAGCAGGTACCGGTGAAACTGACATGAAAAAAGCATAATGTTTATTCAATCAGATTGAATGTTTATTATCACGTTAAATAACAGTGTTTTATTTAAAATATTACACTGCATATCTTTGTCCGAGATGAAATTGAAAATGAAAAAAAAAAGATGTCTGTTCATCGATAAACTACAGAAGCCCCGCCCACTTCTCTATCTCTCTCTCTTGGCTTCTGTAGACGTGATCATTTCTTTAAAATAATGTTTGCTTGCCCTCTCCCGACTCATAGTAAATCTATTGGGTTGGTAGCGGGTAGGTAGGTGGGAATTTTTTTTTCCAAGATTTAAATTTCAACATAAATGTATTTGTGAATAAACGGGATAAGAGGAATAAAAAGAAAAACTATCGTCTCCTGGAATGTAAATTATGACAGGCCCATTTATAAAGCATAAAAAACCTGGTGAAATTTAATCGGTAATAAAGAAAAGTTTTTGACAACAATAAATTGGCATGAAAATAACACACACACCCCACCCCCAAATAAAAAAAAAACAATATTATAAAGACATAAAGTATACGTGATGAAAAATAAAACTTACGGCATTAACTTACCGTAGAACAAAATAAACAGGAAAACAACCTGGTTTATATTCATCTTCTAACTTACTGCACTCTAAGAAACAATTCAAAACAGAAACATTTTATATGATGTACATGATACCACGTTTATGTACATGTTGCATATTGTAGGAAGAATGAAATATTTGTCTTGAATGAAAACATTTTTATCAAGTTAACTTACCTTCTTAATTCTTAGGTTTTCTAGTAAAATAAATGTTTCCCTCTTTTAGTATCTATATGTGCAGGGGTTTTTTTTTCGATAAAAAATTGCGGCATGTTTTATTATAAGATAAGGAAATTATTGGATAATTTGTCCATGGGACAAAACAAAGAAATTTTTCTATAGTAATTCAGTTTAAAGGTAGAAAACTTATTCTCTCTGACACTAGCAATTGTTTAAGAAATAAGGTATCATTTTTTGAGTTTTATTGAGATGTAAAACGGGTTGGTCACGTGATCAAATCCCATAAAGCCCGAAGGGCTTTATGGAAGATTTGATCATGTGCCAACCCGTTTTACATCTCAATAAAACTCAAAAAATGATACCTTATTACTTATATTTACATTTGTGACTTATTCATACTTTATATTTGCCTGATTGTTACTTTTAACTTGTGAAATGCGTTAATTTTTCAAACCCAACGGCATGTATATAATCCACTAAACGCGCGTCGACCCTTTATGACGTCACAGTGAAATTACGTCGAACGTTTATCCAAACGCACATCTATGACCTCTTGACCCCATACCTGTATTTACACAGTTATAAAAACGCTTGCCTTCAGTAGTGTTATGTAAAGGAAAACATTTGCAAATGTAAATATATAGCAATTGATAATATATTTATTCAAATTATAAAACTTAATATTAAATTACAATAGATATTCCTGGAAGCTCTTTTCAGAAAACCAGTGTATCTAGTAACACCTGGAAGAAATTAATTTACTCTGAAAAAAGTTCTGCTTAATAAACTGCTGCGTTAATTTGATGCGGGGTTGGGGATAGCTAATGGAGTGCCCCCCCCCCCCCACACACACACATTTTGCAAAGGAAGACCAAATATAAGCATTGAAAATTGGGCTTCGGCTCACAAACTTTAGGGGGGGGCTCCCAATTTCAATAACAACCCTACCCCTTTTTAGCTCACCTGAGCCGAAGGCTCTTGCTTTTAATTTGCTTTATGCTTTAATGTATGTTATTGTATTTGTTTCAAAATAAACATGCAAGTGCGTGGATAAACACTGGCCCTACTTAAATCTTTATAAAAATTTTAAAATGATGTTTGGAATGGGCGATAATTCAATTAATAACGAGGGACCTAGTATATGGGTTCCAATAAATTTATCCGGAACAAAGTAGTCCATGTATCACATTTTTACACTTATACATGTAATCATTACTTCCGGAGAGAAAAAGTCGAACTAAAAACAAAATAATATTGTGGAAAATAACCTGAACAGCACTACCAAAGAGTCAGTAATCACTGATGAGCTACTGAGTAAGTTCTAATACATTTTCAAACAGAAGGAGATACATTTATTTTACAGACTGAGAATGATGTTACCGAGTTTTTATATGGTTATGTGTATTGTATAAACACAGGCCTCTGACAGGTCCAGGAAAATCACTATATTTAAGAAATAAAAAAGCGTAAACTGTTCCAACCCAGTTTATACCGTATAAAATGGGTAGCTATTAAATTCATTGCTTATAATTTAATTTTCATTCATTTGATGCAAGAAAAAAAGGTTATTGTTCTATCAAAATAACTTCAATTTGTTCAAAATTTGAATGTAATGTCAGGCAGATTGATACGTTTTTGACGTAAGTCATTGTGACATAGGCAACCCATTTTATACGGTATGAAGTAAATTTTTTATCCAATCAAATACAGTGTTACAACCAGAATTAAATTATTTAGCTATATAGCTTAATTTACCAGTATAGCTTTATTTACCTATATAAAATAGCTTTATTTAGCTATTTTAGAATAAGTTTCTGTTTTATGAAAAGCAGACTAAAAGTCGCATGAAAATTATGTCTGATACTTTTATAAAAAAATTTTGATGAAAACAACCTAGGGCATAGATAGTAAAAACATTGCCTCTTTTAAACACTTTTTAACCAAAAAAATGCATCTCTATTGTTTGGATAGCTGTTCCTCATTGGAGGCATGAGGCATGACTAAGTGTGATTGCCTTGTGCTGAATTATTAATTATCTTTTTGACCAAAACTGCTTTTCTTTGTTAAAGTAGCTGCTTTATCACAGATTAACTGTTATACATAGCCCCAAAACTTTTAGATCTTTGATTGCAATTACACAAAAGGAGAAACATTTTTAAAAGTGGGTTTTTGGTGAATTGTTTTCAGTCCATTTCAAAGTTGAAAACTAATACTGCCTCATTATGTCTTTTTGTCTGCTTTTCATAAAACAGAAATGTACTCTGAAATAGCTAAATAAAGCTTTATTATATAGGTAAAGAAAGCTATAAAGGTAGATTTAGCTATATAGCTAAATATAGTGATTTTTATCAATCAGACCCTCAGTAAGCCAAGTATTGAAAAATTCTACCTCCTCTATTTATAATATATAGAGGGGGTAGAATTTTTTTTCGATATTTGGCTTATTGAGCGATTGAGTGATTGATAAAGATTCAGGTGCCTGTGATGCACCTTAATTGGCTGAGAGTTTTTCACCTAATTAAGTGCAATACTGTACCTTGGCCCCTTTTGTGCCATTACTTAAAAGGTTACATAAAAAATAAAGGTAATATGTATGATGGTGAATAATTTTGGCAGTAATTTTTACTGCTCGTTATCTGTGAATAATATCAGGTTCAGCAGTCTTTTGATATTACCAGGGGTCGTAATTCGTAACCAGAGATCATAAACTCTTTTGACCACTAGCAAATTTTAGCATGTGCATTTTTTTTACTAGCAATATTGAACTTTCACTAGCATTTTTTTTTCTCAATATAGTAATTAACATGTCATAGGAATCATTTTAATAATTTCATAGCTTATCTAAATTGAGGCGACTTTTTTTTCATCATCAATCATTAAATACACTGGAAACATATTTCTGTAAATCACATATAAACACTATTCCTTTAGTTGATTGAACGAACATAATTTAATAAGATATCTACGTCATGCATTTACCATAAACAAAGGAAAGTGGAAATTCAGATAAGGGGAAAACGATCGTTTTTGGAAGTAACAAGTCAGGTTCTGGTCGTGTAGCACTGTAAAATGGATAAGATTATGGAGATTTACGAACTATAGGAGCAGGCTGTCTGGACAGTTTTCATTGTTTGGGAATTTGATAGCACAAAAAACCAAATGAAAATACCTTTACATGTATTGCTTTTCATGTATTACTTGGGTAATTTTAATATTTACTAGCCTGAAGGCCACTTCTGTGCAGAAAATCACTAGCCCGACTCCCAAATACTAGTATGGTAGCTGCGGGCATGAGACGATGCTAATTGTACATCCCTGGGATAAACCAAAAAAAAAATGAAAAAGGCTGATTTTATTTTACTCGCAAAGGTTGGCGACCACAGGTCTCATTTAATCCACAATTTCTGTTTTCAACTGGCATTTCGCAAGTATTTCCTGATAATTTTGACCCCTGTATAACCACAGGAGTCAGCAGTTTTATCAATGAAACAATGTACTGGTAAACAGAGATTATAACCTGTGAGTTTCACAAGTATAACTCACAGATTATTATTTACATAGATATTATACCATAAATAAATGCTAGGTCTGAGTATCGCAAGCTGCCTAATGATACATTTCATGATATGGTGATGCAATACAACATATTTCATGATACAGCTGCCAACAGTTAAATTGCCTGATATCTTTATATATCGTTGCTTGTTAACCTCCACAGTTAAAGAAAATATAAAAAGAATAACTCGATCCCCCTAATCAGAGTTATTTATAGGTGGGCATATAGTCTAAGCATTATATTTTTCATTGCTACCTTGTTTTCAATCATTTTGTAACATTGAAATTTCTCAGTTTGGATGTAGAATTTTCAAATAAGACAATGAACATTAACTTATACTGTATCACGATACAAATTACAATAACATGGCGATACGATAAGCGTATTGTGAGACCTTGCAATCAATATGACCCATGTATCACTGTATTGTTATATTTCTAATAAACACAGTGTGTAGATACAGAAGCACTCTTAGGAGTGCAGATTATTTTCATTATCATAAAACAAAAATAATCTTCCATAAATCAAAATCCTGTAAATCTCTGTAATAATGAGAAAAAGATAATATGAAATATGATAATATAAAATACTGTGAGGGAGAGTGATTAGGTGCCACATCTAAACTGCACGAAAGAAGGGCCTTCGAATGGGGTTTACTTGAAAAACAGGTGAGAATTGGTGTTTCATATTAAAAAACCTTGTTAATAGGTTCTATTTTTAAAAAGCTAACCATTGAAATTTGGTTTCTGGTATAAATATAAAATGATACAAACATGTTTGATCAACACGTGTTACTAAAACTGTAGTAAATACACAAACTGTATACTAAGTTTGTTCAGTTTATGGCCTTGGGGCCAGAATTCAAACCCACTCTCAGGTAAAAGAATACTGTATATGTGTACTTTAAAATGCGGGCTTCATATTTTAGCTGCTTTGGTGCGGACAGCGATGCGCTAATTCATGAACGTCATTAAAAAATTATTTATAAATACAATATACTGTGCATAAGCATGTAGCGCTGTCTAATTCATGAATACACCAACAACTCATTACCAGGTGATGGCGCTAAATTTTGAATATGCCAATTTATGTACACGTACAGTATTTGTTAAGTCGTACAATTAACCACTAGAACAAATTCCTACTCTATGTTGAGATATGTGTACTTATTTTGCATTTAGGATGAACATCATTTTTACCGTACTATTTGATTTTTGTGGTTTTTTTAAAGATTAATTCTCTTCGAAACAAAAATCAAAAAGGCAGTTTTGAAGAAAATTCTTCATGCCTTCATGCATGTATTAAATTCATTCTATTTCAAGGAGGCAATTTATTATAAAACCATCTTTTATAACAATAAGGATACCCTATTTTTAAAAAAATAAAACAGAAAATTTGACATATTCTGCTGTTGGACTAGCCTTCAATTCATTTATTAATTGCAAATTGGAAATTGATATGCAGTTTCCAAATGTTGTTCTACATTGTTTGTTATATACGGTTATATCTTTGTATTTGAAAAAAAAAATGAACTTTGTTTTATGTTAATTAAAATCCTTCTTTTAATCTACTACACTTTAAGAAAAAAAAAGAGAGATGGAACACCCTCTTTTAGTTCAGGAAAGTGCAACTACAGATGTACATGTACCAGGTACTCATTGTACTGCAATTTAAGACAACCACACACACTCTTGACTTAGTCAGTCTTAGAATTTCTACAGGGTTGATAAAAAAGACATTTCTAATTGTAAGTATGTCTGTTCATGGACTCAGTTGGAAAGGCTCTAGCAACTTGTAATCAAGAAATTCTATCGGAAAATTTTGAAGGAAATAAAACTTTGTCCAATTTATCTATGCAATATGTCTATGCCCCTCTAAAAGATAATGTAAAGATGCTTCCTAGTGTACATGATTTTTATCATCTCTTTAGCGTATAAACATGACTGATATACCATTTATAAGAAACATGTCAGGATGTTACCAGTATTTGCGCTGCATATAATTGACAAGTGTTGACTGTCGTGTAGGGAGAATGTGACCTAATCACATGAAGAACCATGTGTTGTGTTCACTATAACCAGATATTGATTTGTTTTTCTTCAGCTCTCTTTTTTACTTGTTGTCAGAGGATGAATTAAGGAACTGCTCAGCTGAAGAGATGCTGGAAATGGTGTCAGATCTACTGTCTAAGGTATGAAGTCTTTCTCTTTTAATACTTGTTCTGAAAAAGGTAATGGGGTATTCCTTATTGGGTACTCTTTTGTTCTTCATACATAATATACATTCAAGATGTTGAGAACTTGAATGAGCATTTCATTGACAAGTACAAGTCTATCATCTGATTCAGATTTTAATATATCGTAAACATAATTGTTTTTATTTTGGTGACTTAATTCACTTACGTAGATATCGATAAGATTAAATTTAATATTGATAACTAAAGTTCATTGTTTAGTTTATCGAACATTTAAAAGAAAAGATTAAGAATGTTAAAGGAAATGACGTTGTAATTAATTATTATGCCTGTTTGTAAGCATGCATGCAATCAGGCTTGGGGTCAATTACTTTGAAATGTAATTAATTACTTTCAAATACATTGATAATTTTGTCATTTAATTGCAATTACAATTACATTGATTTTTTCAAATGTAATTAATTACTTTCAATTACTTTGACAAATATAATTAAATACATTTCAATTACTTCGAGTTTTATTTTTATAAAAAAAAAAAATAAAGAGTTTTTTAAATAGGATTTTTTCTATAGCGATCAAATTCGAACTTTCAACTTTTTTGTTCTTGGGTGTGATAGGGGTTCACACCTGGTCAAAATTAGACCTTTACCTTATAATGAGTGTGACACACTGTATAAACAAATTAAACATTATGAGACAATTAATTATTGCACAAACACAAGCCCATGCTACACCAGGTGTATGGCAAAATCTTTTTTGTTACTTTCTCAAATCCATATTTTTGAAGGAAATGAATGATATCTATCACAATTCCATTCATTATTTCCTATCTTAAAATGAATAGAATACAGGTAAATCTAAAAGGGGATGTAATTAGTCTAATTGCTGTAAAACAAATTAACTATCTAAACAATCATTGTTATTTGCAAGTGGGAATATATTTATTATTTTTCTTACAATTATGAAGACTAATTTATATATTCTTCCTCATGTACCACTGATGTTGGTGTGAGTGAAATAAAAAACTTGAGAACTGAGATTTATAAAACATGGGAATAAGTAATATAAACCCACCAGTATAAAACTATATATCAGTATATGACACCTTTTTAAATATAAACTTTCATTTTGAAAAAAAGTAATTGAAATGTAATTGAAATGTAATTGAAAAGTAATTGAAAATACATGACCTTTTTTGAAATGTATTTAAATACATTCAATTACTTGTAATTGAAAGCAGGCTCAATTACAAATTACATCCAATTACTTTGAAAAATATAATTAATTACACTCAATTATAATTACTTTATTCAATTACCCCATCCCTGTGTGCAATTAAGGGCAAGGAAGAGATATTTGTTATATGTCTGCCAGTATTTACTATTAATGACATTCAGTTTTTTTGTTCATATGAAATATTGTCAACAGTGATCTGTTGAATAGTTGATATTTTCACAGCACTGCAGATGTTATTAATTTCACACTGAGAATTCAATACAGTTTAATATAAGTATTATCTTAATGTGTGGAAATAAAGTGCATTGAACATAGCAATATAGGATTATTAAACACACATGTAACTGTAAATATACTTTCTACCATACTCTTTGGATTCAAATCAAGAGGATTTCTTAGATTGCCTTTAAAAGTCATAAATGTTCATTTAAAATGTGCAGTAATTGCCGACATCAGCTTCTGTTCAGAAGTGTTTAAAATGCAATATTGCTTCATTGCAATGAATCCTCCAAGCATTATGATCTGCTTATTGAGGTTTTATTGAGACTTACAGGGTCAATCCTTTATCAATAATTTCATTTTTTTTGTGGATAGAACACCTTACCTAGCTGCCACTAATAATAAATATTGACATTGACTGCTTAATTAACTAGAAGACAATTTTTGTATACATTGTGGATGTTTCAGGTTGGCATACGTGTATGCATAGTGCAAAGTCAGCTTTCAATAAAATATCAGTATTACATGTATATGCTTTGCAATTGGATATTAATGTAATTTCACTCTTTAGTTTGGACTTTATATATTTTCTGTTTTTTAATTTCATGAAAATTTTATTTATGTATTCATTGCTATATACTCTACTAGTATTCATAAAATAAATTCCATATCCAGCTATTGATAAAAAATTGAATATCTACTTTGTGTACAAATTCTGACATAAACAAACAAGCCTTTTTACTTTGCGTTAAATTGAATTTAAATATTTTATTAAATGATCCATTTTTTGTATGAATAATTTTGTATGTTTTTTTTCCTTTGCTTTCATTTTTGCAAAAGAGATAAATCAAAGAAGAAACAAAATGAATAACAATCAACAGGAAGTTGTGGTTCATTGGTTCCGCCATGGATTACGTCTCCATGACAACCCAGCTTTAATTGAAGGCCTGTCAGAGTGTGACAAATTCTATCCTATATTTATATTTGATGGTGAAGTTGCAGGTAACCAATATGTGTTAATAGAAGAAATTAAATCTACAAAAGACATATTCAAATCTGTATCACAATGCTAGCTTCATTCATGTATGACATCTTTCCTTTGCTCAAACACTAAGGAAACACCTAATGTAAGGTTGAAAGATGGCTTTATACAAGCAAAGTCTTTTTTAGATTTTTACAGAGAAAGAACATATACTTCTTATTTAAAATATAGATCCACAAAACCAACAATGAAAATCAAAATTCAAATCAGTCGATAGCCAAAGATGGACTCAAATGAAATAAATTTAGTAAATTTGTAATGAGCCAATAGTAAAATTTCTAACGTATTATTGATTTGATTAAATATTTCTTACGTCAAAATTTTCAGATTCACACAATGAAACGAGCACCCAACTCCGAAGGTTAGGGTACCAAGTTCAATTCTCAACCATGGTACATTTATTTTCTTGGTAGAGGCAAGGGAAGGAGAATAAGAACATAGCATATTCTGTTTTTAATGTAATTTGTAACTCTCCATTCTTAAAAAATAATGGAGAGCTCAAACAAAAGAGAGATGTCACTGGTGGAATTTTCATATTTACTAATGCAGTAAAACTTGGTTTTAACGAAGTCGCCGGGACCTGTGAAATTTCTTCGCTATATCCGTAATTCGTTATATCCGCATAAGGAATTCGTCAAATTCATATAGCTGGGGGTCCAAGATAACTTTGCTATATCCGTGAATTCGCAATATCTGTGTTCGTACAAAACGAGTTTTACTGTATCTGGTGTCAGAAAATGTATTTAATATGTTACATTTTACATGACTGCAATCTTTTAAGTAGATGTGTATAATACTTTTTTTGAAATCATTTTGATGAGAATTGTTCCATGGTTATGACAGAATTTCATTATTTTAATTCCACTTAAGTAGACATTTTACCTTTGTACCTGCCTTTCAGGAACAAAAACAGCTGGATATAACCGCTTTCATTTTCTGCTGGAATGCCTGCAGGATGTGGACAGAAATCTCCAGAAGGTAGGATCCCGGCTGTACTGTTTCCAGGGTCAGCCTACCGACATTTTTACCAGGCTGATAGAGGTGAGATCTAATTACCGTAATTATTAGTTAACTACTACAAAAGTTGAAAAATATCTATGAAAGTTTTGAGGGATCACTGTTCCTTTTTCGGGTATACTGACATATTTACATGTACATATTAAATAGTTGATTTCTGGTTTCAAAATGAAAGGAAATTTTGAAAAATCAAACTCCTTTGCAACAATTTTTTTTCCAAGCAGAGAACCAGTATTGATTTATAGTTATGTCAGATGTACATGTATTGTAGTCTCCAAAAAATTTTATGACTTTTGTAAAACAGCAAGGTTTTATAATACTTAACTTTATTCAACTTAATTGTTTAAAAAAATGATGCCATTTAGTATTCTTCAACAACAGCAAAAAATATTTAATAAAATCAATAGGAGCAAGTGGTTTTCATATGATGATTGTTTTTTTTTCTTTATATTTTTAAAACATGCAACCATGAATTAAAGATTAGACTTTCTTGTATATTTGATACTTACAGTCTAAGACTATCATTAGATAAGAATTAGAACACGAGTAATACTGATTTGAAATGGTAAAAAATAGTAGCTGCGTTAATGTGAGTAGGAATGGGGAATCACGAAGGTGACCTTTGAGGCTGACCCTGAACCGATCTGGCAGGAACGAGACAATGCTGTAAAGGAACTTCTGGACAAGAGGAACGTACAGTATATAGAGAAAGTCTCCCACACCCTGTGGGACCCAAACGAGTGAGTCATTTAACTTCCGTATTAGAATTCTACAGTGCCTTATGAGCATGTTACGTGTACATGTTATGTTAAATATTTATGGTCTGTATGTAATGGCCTGTAAACTTGTACATTGCTACTGTCTGGAATTCTGGTAATCATTATTGTACAAATCGGTGTACATTGTATGAAAATGGACTTCAGTTGTTACTCAAAATCTTTGATCATAGCCAAATTAATCCATGCATTCATGAAAGGCAATTTTCCCAGATTTACTAAAGCATAACAAAAAATACATGTACAGTATGTATTATTAATTAAATGGTACTTTGAAGTTTTAATGGTTTATGCTGTATTGATTTATTTTTCAGAGTAATTAAGAACAATGGAGGTACCCCACCTTTGACCTTTTCCCTGTTTAACCTTGTGACCTCCACCATTGGGGAGCCCCCTCGGCCAGTAGATGACCCAGATTTCACGGATATAGACCTTCCCGTCAGTGACAATCACGACAAACAGTTTGGGATTCCCTCTCTAGAGGACTTAAGTGAGTATTCAAGTTCTATCTTTAAAGAAAATTTATTTAATAAAGAGTTCTTGAACATTTAAAAAAAAACTCTTCTTTATATCTTTTGTAGTGATTGTAATAACTTAGAAAAACCAGTAAACTATTTAACAACATGCTAGCAGGATCAGATCTGTCTAGCTGTAAAACACATGGAGGGTATTTGTGTTTTATTTTGTATTGTGTATTTACAGATGTGAGACCAGAATGTGAAGAGCAGAAGAATCCAATTGTGAAATGGCAGGGTGGGGAAACAAGGGCCCTGGAATTATTGGAGATTCGTATGAATCATGAAGAAAAGGTTTGTTTTAGGTCAAAACTTACATCACGACAGTGATGTTATACTGTACATGTACATAATTTGGCATATTCAAAATATATCGCAATCCTAGATATAGTGTTTTTGGCATAATCATGAATTAGCACTACACATGTCTGTACTGCATATTTTATATATTAATGATTTCTTAGCAGTATTCATGAATTAGCGCATTGTTGTTTGTGCCAAAGCCCTTTAAAATATAAAGCCCGCTTTTTTTAAGTACACATACAGTGTATTTAAAATTTAGTGTACATACAAAAATGTATTTAGCAAGTATATGCATACTACCAGAGTCATAGGGGAATGTAATTTTTTATATATATATTTTTTTTAAATGGTACAACATACTGCATCTTATTTTATTTACTATCCAAAAACAAAGAAATCTGTTATTTAGTCTGTCCATTTGTGCAACCATTTTGTCAAAGTGATTAACTTCTCCTTTTGATGTATCTGTACTTTCAGGCTTATGAAAAAGGTTACATGATGCCTAACCAGTACTACCCAGACCTCCTTTCTCCACCTCTGAGTCTGAGTGCACACCTCAGGTTCGGTTGTCTGTCTGTCCGTATGTTCTACTGGAGAATCCATGACAAGTTCAGAGAGGTAGAAATGAAACCTGCCATCCATGACATTACGTGTATATTTAGGAATGTAAATACAGATTTCTTCAGTTTGCATGGCTGTACATATAAACACCCTTACAGTGAATTGCCTAGGGCAACTAAATTTGAGTTGTTATAACATAATTTTTTATACATTTTTCCATTAAGTTTATTATGGGTTTTTAAACCACAGGGAATGAAAATCACTCTTGTTTTCTTTATAAGCATGTTCACTGTAACTTTGTTTTACTGTACCAGTAGTTATACTCCCACTCCGAAGGAGAGGGGGGTATACTGTTTTACCCTTGTGTGTCTGTCTGTCTGTGTGTCCATGTGTCCGTCAGAAACAAATTTCGTCGCAGTTTTCTCAGCAACTACTCAAGTTAGATGCTTGAAATTTTAACACAATCTTCTCTGAGGCATGCCATATGGTGGGATATATTTTTGCTCAAATCCGATGTCAACTTCCTGTTTGTCTGTGCGTCTGTCTGTTTCATACATAACAAATTTTCGTCGCAGTTTTCTCAGCAACTACTCATGGTAGATGCTTGAAATTTTAACACAATCTTCTCTGAGGCATGCCATATAGTGGGATACATTTTTGCTCAAATCCAATGTCAACTTCCTGTTTGTCTGTGCATCTGTCCGTTTCATACATAACAAATTTTCGTCACAGTTTTCTCAGCAACTACTCATGGTAGATGCTTGAAATTTTAATACAATCTTCTCTAGTGGGATACATTTTTGCTCAGATCCGATGTCAACTTCCTGTTTGTCTGTGCATCTGTCTGTTTCATATATAACAAATCTTTGTCGCAGTTTTCTCATTAGTTATTCATAGCAGATGCTTGAAATTTTATTACACTCTTTGTTGAGACATGCCATATGGTGGGATTAATTTTGATATGAATCTGATGTCAATTTCATATTTTTCTGTGCATCTGCATGTATTAACATGATAGTGCTTATTTACATCAGAGTGGGGGTATTACTAGTGAGCATTGGCTCACAGATTTCTTGTTGAAATTTCATCTGTCCAATTAAACATATTAAGGATACACCAAAGGCTTTTTTCAAGATTTTAGTCAATTTTGAGATTTTTGGCTAAGAAAAGGATGCTAATCACTGCTTTATAATGCATGAAAAATTCTTGCTGATTGTTAAATGGTTTTCTAATTATTTAACTATAATCAAACATAAACAGTGCCTCATGTGAATGTGCTGTTATTGAAGCTTCTGATTTGATCTGTGACTGCATGCTCCTGACTGGAGCAATAAATCACTGTGACCACTTGAGGAATTCTTCACTAGCCACACAGAGGTTATTGGTAATAAAACTACAGGGAACCCAAACTTAGGGAAGGAGATCTAACCATAAAATAGGAGGTGGAGCTTAGCTCTTGCCATTTTGCCTGAAAATTTTTCTGATTCAGAATTGAACCTATTTTACTTAATGCACCTAAATATAGAAAAGAACCTCCCATTCTTGTGAATATGCATAGAAAATATGGATAAGTGACAGGTATCCAAAGCTGAATCTCTAAGGTGTCATATATTTCTACCTTTGGCAGAATTTGTTGTGTAATGGGATTTTGCTCTCTACTATAAAGTAAGACCAGACAGTTGGTGGTACAATGTATTATTTCAAAGGATTCAACTCCCTTATTTATTAACCAATTTCTCTGAAAACTGGCAAGATTGTGTCTCAAAAGTGTGTTCACAAAACGGTATCTCAGATTTTTGATATCTTGCTTAGTTCTTGAATTATTGGAGGAAATGTAGAATTGGGCTAATAAATTAGTAACATTTATGCACAAATGGATGTAACTTTTGAACTAGAAGATTTATCAAAAATCTGAGATACAGTTTTTAAGTTCAATCTTTAATCTATCTTGAGACAAAATTATGACTTTGAGAGGTGGAATTTTAAAAAGTTGATTTATAAAATACAAATGCGCTAACATTTACATTAAAATATTAATAATTTTTTAATAAGATAAAATTGAAAGTTTAAATTAGGATCATTAAATAGTAAATCTAACAAGCTTTCAAATGATATACCGGTATACGTTTAATATGCTATCTTTGATAATGAAAGAATTACAAGCAAAGTAAATTTTGCCCTTTGGAAACCTTTGGTGCATCCTTAAGGTTTCAAGCAAAAAAACTTAACGAAATACATCTTTATGATCTATCGTATCATTTAAGGAATGTTTTTAAGTTTTGTGTGAGTTATTGGTGTGTGAATCACACAGACTTGTCACGAAGGCATATTTCATGAAGAGCACTTCATGAAAAATATGCCTGCATGCAAATCTGTGTGATTCACACACCAATAATTCACACTAAACTTAAAACCATTCCTTATATTTACATTTTACATGTTTGGAAGAAACTAAAATATACCGTAAATCTGGAAATTCTTACGTCGATTTTATTTTGCGATTTCGGGTCAAAATGCTGTTGATTAATTTTTACATTTCATAATTTTTGCTTACATTTTCCTATTGGTGATATATTTTTAAGAAAAATGTTTTTGCAAATGCAATGAACTTGCAAATTTGCTAAAAATTTATCTACAGCAAAAATTTCCAGATTTACGGTACTAAGTATGTGAATTTCTTGCTGCCCTATATCGTGGCATTTTTACTAACGTTGCTGCAACCTCATTGTGACGTCAAGTTTACGCATGTTTCTCCATGTATATTTCTACACATGAGTATACACGAAAATGGTATTCAAATCAATTTCACTGTTGGCATACTAGAAAAACACAGCAAATGAAATGTAAATATTCAGTAATGTTTTCAGGCAAAAAGTGTACTCTTATTGAAGTCTGTATCTTTGAATGCATTCTAATGGGAATATGAAAAATGTATAAAGATAAATATGTACTTCTTGTCTATAAATTTTTTTTTCATATACGAATATAGAATTTGAATCAGAAGAGCTGAAAATAAATATAAAATCCCAAAACTCAAATCATAAATAAAAAGTAATGAAAGTACAAAAAAGCCTGAATCTGGTATTTTTCACTGGAATCTGATAGTCTTTAGATAGAGAAGAAATATATGCAAATATGGGTTTTTTTTAGCTTAATTCAAGACACTGTTTGCATTTGAAGGTAAAGCCTTCAGTATGTGCCCCAGTCTCCCTCTCAGCACAGCTCATGTGGAGGGAATATTTCTACACAATGGCTGTCAACAACATGGACTATGACAAGATGGAGCTAAACCCAATCTGTCTCAACATCCCATGGTATGAGAATCCAGAACACGAAGAAAAGTGGACCAAGGTAATGAAACTCCGTAATTTTGTCAAAAATTGCTTTATTATTGTGAGAACAACTTTTTGTGAATTTACCATGGTAGTGTAAAAATTTTATTTAACTGAAATTGTGTAGTTTTGAACTTTTAAATGGTAAGAAAGAATTAAAAAAAAAAAAAAGAAATAAAGATTGATCAATGTTTTGTACCAGTTTTTGTGTAAGGGGAAAAAATATTGATATATTAAACTTACATAAAGAAAATAAGGAACTTTTCATTTATTTGCATGTAGTAAATGTACAAATGTAAATGAGACTGTGGTGAGGATGAGATGTAAGTGCTATGCTGATTTGTGAGTTTCCTTTATAACAGGGTGAGACAGGCTATCCGTGGATTGACGCCATTATGAAGCAGCTCCTACAGGAAGGTTGGATCCACCACGTCGCCCGTCACGCCGTGGCCTGCTTCCTGACCCGTGGTGACCTCTGGCTTAGCTGGGAAGTCGGGCTGAAGGTAAATCATTAATTAAGTTACATTTAAAAATGTTTGCATTGAATTTATCTGAAAATACATGTACAGTGTATATTTGTATGAATACATGTATTATTGTATTACAGAGAGCTACTAAAAAGGAAAAATTCTGAATCAGGTCTTAGACAAAGACATGAAAAATACAGTTTTATTTAATATGATTATTTTTCTGCTAATGTGAAATGAAAATAAAGGAATTGTAAGAATTTTATTTACTGGTATTTTTTAACTTTACTTCTGCAAATTAAGGTGTTCTATAAGTACCAACTTGATGCTGATTGGTCAGTCTGTGCTGGGAATTGGATGTGGGTTTCCAGTTCTGCCTTTGAAAAAGTCCTACAGTGCCCCAACTGTTTCTGCCCTGTTAGATATGGGAAACGTATGGATCCATCTGGGGAATATGTCAGGTAAAGAAGGATGCTACTCAGTATTTTATCACCATACTGTATGGCAGTATATAAAAAGTTGTTTTATGTTTTTATGACTGCTTAGAATATTCATATTGCTGGTATTTATACTAGATAAAGAAAGACAATCTGTATTAGACAGGGCTCAGTTGCAACACATACAACATGCTTAAAATAGCTAACACTGTTATTAGAAATAATTGTTGTTGTTCTTTTTTTAGACGCTATCTACCAGTATTAAAGGACATGCCACTGAGGTATTTGTTTGAACCATGGAAAGCCCCACTTCCTGTCCAACGGAAAGCAAAGTGCATTGTGGGAGTAGATTATCCCAAGCCAATGGTGGACCACAAAGTGGCATCAAAGGAATGCATGAAAAATATGAAGGCTGTTAAAGACACTCTTGTGGGCAAAAGTGAGTTTTTTACTAACTTGCTAGAAAAATCTGTTCCAGTATATATTTCAAGCTGTTTTGTAACATGGAATGATTTAGCTCTATTTTGGTCCTAATATTTGCTTTAATATTTAATATTACAGTGAATAATAATGTCTTTATCAAATTGCCGAGTTTTGAAGAAAGTACAGTATATCATCTATATGCTCATCCACTTATTTATTTCTTATTGCAGACATCCCCCACTGTGCCCCTTCAGAGGAACTTGAAGCCAGACGGTTTTCTTGGTTACCAGATCACACGCCCTCTGGTGGCAAGTGCAGCGCCAACTTCCTGTGTGATGGCCTGAAGGATCTAGAATAGAAAACACAAGTCAAAATATATATGATGGAAAATTATATTAAGTGTAAAATATATGTCTACAGTATTAATCAATCAAAATAGTTCATTGAGTAATAAAAGTACATAATTTTAAAGATAAATTAAATCACCATTTTAGGGTCATGGGCATTATCATGCAGATTTTGATTCTCTAAAAGACAATTAAATTTTCATGTACATCCTTTTTGCAGTTTAAGCTCAACAAGTTTCACATAAATAGTATTAAGTTTTTATATGTATTCTTTATAGTCATAACTCATAAGATGTGCTTTATTAGCTGTAATGAATAAAATCCCATTTGGCTCAAAGCTTTGATAAATGTTGTTTGGTTATTTATATCAATGATTAAATGTCTTACATTAATTTTTGACATCAGAAATAGTCATATACATGTATAAAGTGTAGTTTTGAGGTATGATTTGTATAATTTAACTAGTCCAAAAATTTTATTAGCTATTTAATGATTTTATAATGAATATGATATAAACTATTGTTGAATATGATGTAAATTATCGTTGCATATGATATTAATTATTGTTGAATATGATATTAAGTATTGTTGAATATGATATTAATTATTGGTCCCTCAAAAATTTTGTTCCTGAGGTCTTTATTGTATGGATTTTGATGATGATCTCATGATATTATTTTGAATATGTAAATTATCGTTGCATATGATATTAATTATTGTTGAATATGATATTAATTATTGGTCCCTCAAAAATTTTGTTCCTGAGGTCAAGCAATAGGATTTATTGGTATATGGATTTTGATGATCATTTTTGCTTTTTATGACTCTCAAACATTGATATTAATTTTGTTTTTGATATACATGTATATATCTCATTGCTAGACAGACTGAAAAATAGAATTTGTTTAATCTAAATTGAGTGAATATTCTTGATTTTAGTGCTGTATCAGCATCTTTCTGTAGGTTAAAAGATCTGCATTATGCTAAAATTACTGTAATTTACCAAAACCTGAAATAATAAAAATGGAACTCTGTGTTTTTAGATAATGACTTTTCCATGACAAACATGTATTTGTTATAATTAGAAAAATTAACAGTGGACTTATCCTTTTCTAATTTACACTTTAAGCATTGTACTTATTTTATATTGTGCAATATGCTATTTAAATGTTTTGTAACCTTTATACATGTAGTATACATATCTTAGATGTTTCAATTTTGTGGGCATACAGTTGATATTGTAAAATCACATATCTTCATGGGGTAAAATTTTTGGTTTATGGTTTAGGAGGACTTGATTTCATGGTTGGAAAATGCTTAGTACATGTATTAATGAATATGAAATTTTACATTTCATGGTGGTTATAAATTTTTGGGTCACTCCATACCTCGAAAACAACGAAAATTAACCCCCACTAAAATTTGTGATCACACAATATACTGTCATTGGATCTCATACATAAAAATTTTGACCATTTCTGAAAAAAATTGTTGATCATTGACGAGGATGATTATTTTGTCCCAGATTTTACAAGTGTTAAGTTCGTAACATATACTACAAGGTTGTCCCTAAGAATTGAAATAGCAAAAGACATTGAATAGGTATATGTATTGGGATATCTGGGTTTTATTCCCTAACAGGAGGTTGTGGGGGAATCCAAAAATACTGGGGGATTATATCATTATAGTCAGGGAAAATTCCTGGTCTTAGGGACAACAATGTTCAATTGTGCTGTTTTTAAATCTATTGTTGAATATTATGTGTTTCTGTTTTTTAAAAAGAAATAAAATTTCAAAAATTATATTTTGGTTTTCTTCATGGTTATACTGTGAATGTTGAAAGATAAGGAGAGTGGATGCATTAGAGATACAGTATAAGTTTTGATGATTATTCAGAAAATATGAATTTTTCAATTTAAAAACTACATTATCTTATTCCAATGAATTGCAAGCCAGCACTGGTTTGTTAAGAAAATTCATTTCCCAACTTACTTCAACACTTTCAAGATCGATGTCGATTAAAATTATTTGGATAATAGGCACCATAAAATTCATGCCACTAAACTTAATTATAATAGATGCTTCAGTTTCAGCATCAGAGTATCAAGTTATATTTTTAGATAAATGATGAGGTTCAAGATGGAGCAGATTGATTCTTTCTCAATTATATACTCAGTTTATGTTTTAATTGAACTTCAGTATACCTGCTTGCTATCTCAAATAATATATGTCAAAGTGAAATGCAAGTCAGGACATCTTTTCCTCGTGTATCTTCATTTTTTAAAGTTTTAACCCTGATATCTCGAATCCTTCGTTATATTCACTAATTCAGTCCAGCATAGTTTGAGATAGGCCTGTTGAGGTTTGACTGTGTAGATATATGCAGAAGATTAAAAAATCATTTCAAGCGAACCTGGTTAAATGGTAAAGTCACAATTACATTTTGATTTCTCTAAATACAGTGCTCTAGGAAATAAGGATCTCTCTCATATTGATAGGAAGATTAAATAATAGTTAGAACTATAGATAGGCCTTCTTCTTTTTTTTTTTTGCTTGGATCCGCCCACCAAGGACGTTTGAAAAAGAAAACGGAAGTCAATATCATGTGACAATTCTACACATAAACAATGGCGGACGTAGAACCTCCCCCAGCAGATACATCGCAGACGACGTCGAATTCTGCCTCGGTAACAATTTAAAATTGAAATAAGACACTTAATTTTCATATAGTTATTTATATTTAATCTGAATCAAGACTATTTCCTTTTACGATTTCTCTGTCTTTTAAATTATTCGAATCTTGCACTTGAAAGATTGTATTTCGAATTTCCTCAAGCAAGATTTGCCATGTTTATAGGAAGAATTGTTCCAGTTCAGTCAGATATTCGGCATTAAGTTTCCACATCTTGGTATTGAGTTGAAACATTTAACATGGTTAAAACTTGACATTTGTTTTTATTGTTTAGGTACATTAAGATGATATTTGAAGTAAACCCAATTATAAATTTCATCAAATAAATCCCAATTCATTTATCAATGTAAACAAATTGATACAATGGTTACAATGATGATTTATTTTTTTTTCTCAAACCAAGGTTCAAAAAGAAGCAGACAGTAAATGTAAATACTAAGGTCCCCAGAGCACTGTGACGCACTTCTATGCAAAATTCTGAAGCATAACTAGTCCGAAATATCTGATGTTTTCCTGGCACTTTTCATGATATTTTATGTGCCAGGAAAACATCAGAACTGTGGTCATTGAAAAAACTGGGAATTTGCCGCCTCCAACCAGAGGTGGTATTCTTGAGTTGATATTAGATACTTGCAAACCGAATTAAATGTCAGACTCAGTACACTATTTATCAATAGTGCAATACTTTTGATACTCATCAACATTGTTTTATATTGTTCCTTTATAAAATATACAATCCGATGAAAATATTTGATCTGTCAGGATTTGTTTTCATTAAGTTTGTGCATTTTAAAATCTTGCAACTTGTCTTGTATTAAAATGTGGAGTGGTGATTTCTTTTCATCAATATTGTTGAGTACAAGATGCATTGTGCTATCGATAAATTGTGAGATAGGCATTTAATTCAGTCCACAAGTGTCGAAAAGTAACTCCAGTTGGAGACAGTGAAATAAGAGATACGAATATATAACATGATTTTTTTTTTACAGATGGCTGCAGATGGGAGCAAACCATGGGAGAGGCCTTGGACTGTGGAGGAGATGAGAAAAGAGGCAACCAACTGGTCACTGTCTGGAGATGCAGGGGTAATAATTCATTCCTGTTTGACCATTTACTTCATAAAATAATTAAAATAATTGTTTGGGTTGTGTAGATCTATAAAAAAATTTATTATGGCTAATATGACTGAGCAAAATTGTGATGACACAAAATCATTCATTCCGAAAACCTATTCATGTAACATCTCTTTGAAATCACTAATTTTTGGGGAGTTTAATTTGTTGTTTTCTTGGTATGAACAGTCCCTCAATTTCAAATTTTCCACAGATGTGAAAATTTCACACTGCAGTGTATTGTTTCTCCTTTAAAAATGGATCGAATCTTTCTGTAACAGTAAAAGTTCCTCAAACCACAGAAATTTGATCCTATGATAATAACTAATGTTACTGTAAATTTTTCTAAGTTTTAGAGGGAGGTTTACTATATTTGAACCAATTATTGACTCTAGAGAAATTTACACATATATGCTTTACATGTTTTTGAGTATTTTTCTTTCATATGAAGAATTTGGATATTGAATATTGTGGTATTTTCTTTTCAGTTGTTGCTGTATTTAAAGGATTTTTCACAGAAGATGATTTCACGTGTACATGAAATTGAAAAAGAAGTTGATGGATTAATGCACGATTCTAAGGTAAAAAAAAATGCCTTTTCTTTTTCAAAAATAAGCAAGTATAGCATTTTTCTGGTTAAGTTTGAAATGCAGAAAACTTTCAGGATTTTTTTCCAACTCATATTTCTTTTTCTTTTTTTTTTTATGGCTAGGTCTCAATATTGATAGCATTTAACTTCTATCAAGGAGAAGACACTAGTTTTTTATATAAGAATTTTCATTAAGATAGCATGTTCCATTCTATTAGAACATTAATAACAAGGTACTGAACACTGAACCTTTAATAAAATATTGTGAGAGTCAGACAGGTTTGCTTACTGTTGCTAGGATCTGTTGTATTTTCTCCTATCTAGTTACAATATCATGCACTCTTGACTCAACTTTATGAAAGTGTTGTTAATTATGCTATTCTGTTTCAGATGACTGGTGTAAGAGCTAACAATGTCTTCAATGATTTTATTATGCTGGCAAACACCCAATTTGTAGAAAATGTAAGGCTCACTTTATTAGTAACTTTAAGATCTATTAAACATGTAGTGATGTACAATTGGTTACCACATTCAGTCAAAATTGGTCCCTCTAGCATTTCTGTGTACACTGTAAATTGAAATTAAAGCTAAATACACTATACATGGTGGTTAAAAATAATTTTTTAAGATTCCTAAGTCTTCCATGTTTAAGATTTTTTTTAATGGAACTATTTATAGAGAGTTTATGATGAAGATGTCAGTCAAGAGGAAACAGCCAAAGCTGGGGAAGGAACAGAAGAGAAAGAGAAGACCAGAGAACAGCGGGAGTCAGAACTGATACCCAAGGTCAAGGAGGCCCTGGAGCTGGGGATTAATGTGATTGACCAGGCCTTTGAACAGCTGGACAGTCACGTGGCAGACTCTGACTCCGAGGAGGAGGAGACAGGATACAGGGCAGACCCCCTACTGGAGGCTAAGGTAGGCAGAATCAGAGGGCGGACCCCCTACTGGAGGCTAAGGTAGGCAGGATACAGGGCAGACCCCCTACTGGAGGCTAAGGTAGGCAGGATACAGGGCTGACCCCCTACTGGAGGCTAAGGTAGGCAGGATACAGGGCAGACCCCCTACTGGAGGCTAAGGTAGGCAGGATACAGGGCAGACCCCCTACTGGAGGCTAAGGTAGGCAATGTCAGAGAGCGGACCCCCTACTGGAGGCTAAGGTAGGCAGTATAGAGGGCCGACCCTCTACTGGAGGCTAAGGTACGCAGGATACAGGGCAGACCCCCTACTGGAGGCTAAGGTACGCAGGATACAGGGCAGACCCCCTACTGGAGGCTAAGGTAGGCAGGATACAGGGCAGACCCCCTACTGGAGGCTAAGGTAGGCAGGATACAGGGCAGACCCCCTACTGGAGGCTAAGGTAGGCAGGATACAGGGCAGACCCCCTACTGGAGGCTAAGGTACGCAGGATACAGGGCAGACCCCCTACTGGAGGCTAAGGTAGGCAATGTCAGAGAGCGGACCCCCTACTGGAGGCTAAGGTAGGCAGGATACAGGGCAGACCCCCTACTGGAGGCTAAGGTAAGCAGTAACAGAGGAGACCCCCTACTGGAGGCTAAGGTAAAGTGTGTCAGAAGGCCTTATTGTAGATTCATTTATTGACAATTTTCATGGTTTGTTCTTTTCTTAAGTGGTTATATTTCTTACTTGAATATTTTTCAGAACCTTTGCTCAACCAATTGATCTTGAAAATTGTAAATTTTGATTTTGAGGTGTTTATGATTCAAAAATATTTTTAAAATTACTTTTTTTTCAATTTACTGAGTATTAGGCACCTGATTATTTTTAATAGTATGCTTGTCATGTTAAAGCTGTTAATAAATTGTGTACTGTACACAGTTTTCTAGGTTTATTTAGCCATTACTGTCTTCAAAATGATTTTCAATTTGTAAATTCTTCACCGAAAGACCTTGGCTTGTGTGTTTTTGTAATGTTTATATTTTGTTTAATTACATGTATTTGATGCTTGGATCATGTGTAATGAGGAAGAGAAAATGTGTCAATTTCTTGCCACAATACTTGGACATCCTAGTTATGTATTATGTGTTACAAATACATGTAGTAACACTTGTTATCCTGGATCTTAGTGTCACGGTATATTATTCATTTACCTCCCCTTTATTTTGCAGGATCCATATATTAACAGATTACTTCCCTTAATGATTGGAACTCCCAAGTTTATGGAGGATGATTCTGTTGGCCTGGCTGAAGAGGAATCAGGTATTGCTCTATTTTTAGAACTTTTAAGGTCAAGATTATACATAAAAAATAGGGTTTTTTTTCTATTGATTATAAATTAATTCTTATATATTTGAGTGAATTTTTATTTCATGCTGTCATGAGTGTGTGACTAAGAGAGTAACACACTGAATTTTCTCTGGTAGCATTATCACTAGTATGTGGGTGTGTGGTATAAGTATTCTCAGCATGTGTTTTTGTCTTTGTTTGTAGAAGAAGAGGAGAGTGACCATGGCAGCCTGAGTGAGAGTGAATCTGAGAAAGAAGAGGAGGAAGAGGAGAAATCAGAGTCCTCAGAGGAGGTGAGAAGACTGTATACATAGAATCATTTGTGACTAGGTGACCTCTTACTATCTGATTTAATTCATCGTTATGTCTAGTTAGTAAATTTTAAAAAAAAACATCAGTTTCTCCTCTTGAAGAACTAAACTAGTTTTACCTGGTATATAGCGTCTTTTGGTAAAGTGGAAACAAACATTTTGATTTCATATTCTCTGTCTCCCCAGGTCTTGCAATTTTCAGAAGTATTCTTTACTTCTTAACATAAAGCATTCATACTAGGTTAGCATGATAATAATAAGCAATGCGTCTTCTTTTAAAATTGCGAAATTCATGGCCCCTGGTTAGAGGTTTTGATGTTTGGGCTGAGCTCTACGGATCATTTATTCAAAATAATTTTCTCCCCTTGTATATTTCGCAGACTAATATTAAGTACATAGATAAAATATGCAAAGGTTCCTTTTCCAAAATTGAGTAATTCATGCTACCTGGATCAGGGGTTTAAAGGCAGGGCTCTTTTGACCAAACAATTAAAATGCATCATTTTGAATTTATCTGTAAGCTTATTGGTTAGTGACAAATGGGAGTATAGTTAATGTAATAGTGTTGACAAATACATGTACATCAAGATGCAAGAAAGTAGATCTACTTTAAGAGTCTACTATACCAGACTGTTGATCCTTCCTTGCTCTATTTCTCTTTTTGTAGAGCAACATGGCTTCCTCTATCAGCTAAATAATTTGCTTTTTTATATAATTGCCATTCTGGATCCTTTAAATACAGAGTTGTTTTATACTTAGGTGACCCGTAAGGCCTTTTCTTTTATATATTTTTTGAAGCAAAAACTTCCAAAATTTGAAAAACTTTTCTTTAATATAAAATTTTGCTGAAAATGAGTTTGCATAAATGAAGTGAACAAATATAAATTGAATTTGCCATAAATAAATTGAATTTGTCATAAATTCACAATACTGTGGTTATTTGTTGTTTACACTTTGCATAATATACATGTTATTCTTAGACATCAGAGAGTGAGGAAGAATCAGGTTCAGTAAAACCTGTCAAACATCGTTATTCTGAGGTTTGTAATGTAAACCACTCCCAACCTTTGAAATCCATTGTGTTAAAGCTTCCACCTCCCTCACCCAGCTGCAGCATTTTGTCAAAACCTAATGTAATCTTGTTAATAAAGACGTCAAACATAATTACACTTAAACCTTTCTCATCAATTTTAACCACCCACCCACCCCCAATCATAAAACTTTAGATATAAAACAGCCTGTATAATTGCACATCTTTTTAAACAAGATATTATAGTTGAAAAACTTCCAAATTAAATGAAAATTGACAGAAGACCTTTTTACACAAACACAAGCAGTAGTTGTTTCAATATGTACCTCGTACAAAAGTTGTAATTGTTTTGCACCAACAAAGCCCCATTTATAATGAACACAATTCTTTCACTGCTTGATAATGAATGCCAAATAAAGGGCAAGCATGAGAGTTTTTCTATATTTAGACTGAAAGAGAGAGACTTTAACAATGTTGGAGTTTTCTGCATATGAGATTGATAATACTGTAACAGTAATTAAACTTATTTTATAATCTGATAGTTTGATTTGTATCAAATTCATTTGATTCCACATTTAATTCACACTATTCAAAAAAAAAAACCCAGACCATTTTCATGATTTGTTAAGCATGTTTGAAGATGTTAGAAATCTTGAGAGTTCCATTGCCCCTCCCTTATTTATAATGGTCCTTGACCTACTTGTGTTAAGTAATAATTCAAAGCAATCATTTTTTGAAGAGCATATCATCTTAAGGATAAGTAGTTCTCAGAAAAAAAAATAGCAGAGGGAAGAATGTCATTGTAAGTTGATTATAACAAATAAGAAAAAATAGAAATGTCAAGAATTAGGCCTAGCCATCTCTTACTCGGTTTCTTTTTAGCTTTCTTCAACATTAGATCAACAAAAAACACATGGAATCCTTGCAAAAATATTTATATTTAGCCATATGTTCCAGAACCGAACATGAAGAAATGACTTTAAAATATTATAATTCTTATAAACAACCAGCTATCTTTTTTTAATTCAGATTTTTGAAGATGTGAAAAATGATGTAAAAAATAAAATTAAAATCATTCACTTTGAATTGTGCTATTATTATTTGTGAAATATTATCATGACACTTTACCATTTTATAAAATAATGGAAACTTCAAATGTTACTCTTTTCATCTATATTCTGATTTCATTACAGATGTTTCGTAAAAGACAATGTGTAATTGACAAAACCATCAATTAGCACTTCAGATAAATGTTACTTGTCTTTTTTTTTTATACAGGAGTCAGAGTCAGAAGGCAGTGATTTGTTTGGGGAGGAGAATGAAAAGGAAAGTGTGTCAGGATCTGAGGAGGAGGAGGAAGAAGAAGAGGAGCCTACCCCAAAAGTAAGTGACAACTTACCCCATTTCAGGACGTAGACTAAAAGGAAGTCAGGATTTACCCCAAAAGTAAGTCAGGACTTACCCTGAAAATAAGTCTAAACTTGTCCCAAAAGTAAGTTAGATCTGAAACGAAAACTAGGACTTACACCCAAAATAAGTTATGGAGAGAATGCCTGCTGTCCAATCTTTTTATAATTATTTTTTAAGAAAAATATTTTTTAAATTCAATTAAGTTACCCCAAATGTAGGTTAAGACCTATCCCAAAAATAAGTTAGGAACTTCCCCCCAAAGGTGAGTTGGAAACTTTCCCCAAAGTTAGTTAGTACTTAACTCAAAAGAAGTTAGGACCTACTTCAAAATTTAGGTAGGAGATTTTGTTAATGAATTCTGTGAAATAAATTTAGTGAACTCAGTGATATAGGTTAACTGACTTCAACATGGTGACATTAAACTTATAAAATTATATGAAATATACATCTGATACTCATTTGATATAATATACACTGTGAAAGATAAAGAGTGTTTTTTGTTAAAAAAAACTTGTACCAGGTACATGTACAAAAATAATTGTTTTTGAGAATTCATGGTCATGGAGAAGTGTGTTTGTTTTAACTAATATACAAGGAAAAGATTCTTCTAAAAGGAAGAAAAATATACCAACATTGAGTGACTAATGGACTAATTTTGGTTAAAATAAATAAAAATTGACATATCTCTGCATTGAACATTGTATAAGAGGAAGAATCACTTTCTATGTACTTATTGTGAAAATCTTACATCTATTTGATTTGAAAATACATGTATACATATAAAAGATTTGTCAAATTAAGGGTATCATATTATATGTTTAGATGTACATACTTAAGAATAATTTATTTATCTTTAAAGACAATTCAGGAAACATATTCATGGTTGGATTTCTAATAGAGTTTATGCCTTAATGTTATAAATTACAGATGATACAAATTTTGTTTAGCATTTCCTTATACAACAGTGTCTAATTAACATTATACAGAAACCCTCAGCCCCCATGGATTTTGCCTCAGAATTAGCCAAAAAATTAGGGGGCGGTGGCCCACCACCAGCACAAGAGAGTGACGAGGAAGGAGAACCAGTCAAGGAGAGCAGAGAAACCAAGACTAAAGGTGGGCAGTTTTCTGGATGTTGCTTTTAAATGTTGTTATTTTGTTGTCAATAAATTATCTAGATTTAGTTTATTTGTTAACTTTACAAACTTTTTCATGTTTTCTGTTTTTTTGATATTTACAGAAAAGAAAAAGCGAGAAAAGAAAGAATCAACAAGTAGTTCTAAAACAAAATCTAAAAAGAAGGAAAAAGTTGGTGAGTATCTTTGAAAATGATTATGTTAGGAATTGTCAAAAGGGAAAAGGAGAAAAAAATACTTCACAGCAGTGGCAAAGCAGCTAATACAAAAATTATCGAAGTCTTACCCTAGGTTATTTTTCTATAAGTACAATACAGTAATTATTCAATGTAAGACATAAAGAACACATAACTTCTGTAATCCTATATAAGTATTTATCAGTAAATGGAATAGTAGACCTTGATACTAAATGACCACTTTTGTAGAAGAGGAGCCGTTTCCTGCTGAGGAAGAAGAAGAGGATTCTCCGTTTGGTAACAAAGGGGGGCTTTTCTCTGGGAAAAGTAAAGGACTGTTTGATGACAGTGAGGAAGAGGAGGTCAGTATACGCATTTTTTTTAACTAATTTAAACACAAAGTAAATGGTGGTTAAAGTAGATCAGGCGGTTTCATAATTTTCTTTTTTCACTTTTCAGGGAGATTTGTTTTCAGAAAGTGTTTCAGAGAGGAAAACCTCAAAGAAAGTAATAGAATCAGACAAGGAGGAAGAGGAAGGTAGATGTACATGTGACAAAATAAACCCCTAAACAAGAATGTACACTTTTACATTATTCTCAGTAGTTGAATATTTGTTGATTGTAAAATTATGTAATAAGTAATTTCTACAGTCATCCAATTTCAATGGATTTCTTTGATGGATGTTTCAATTACATTTAATTTTACAAACTTAACTGGTGCAATTTTAAATGCTTAGGAATTTAATATGTTGAAAATACTACACTTGGAAATTTATTTGGACAATGGAATAACACACCGTATAGCGGTTTTCTTGGCTGGTGTAAAATTTGATGTTTGCCTCCTCAAAGGTATGCCAATAATTTTGGCGTAATTTATTTTAGTGGATACAGGGTTTCAGCCCTTTGCAGATGAACACCTAAGAAGAGTACTGAATACCATGGTATTTTAGCGAATAAGATTTTAATGGGCTACAATCAAAATGCCAAAATAAGCCAAAATTAACACCCCGCTAAAATAACCCGCTAAACAGTAAATTTATGCTAAAGCCCAAAGACCCTATGAAAAGTTTTAACATTGCAGAAACTAGATTTTTCCACAAAATATCCTAAATAATCTTGTATAATCTTTGCAGAAAAACCCAAGGAAAGAAAGAAATCTAGTAGCAGTAAGAAGCCTAAAGGGGGTGTCCCTATGTTTGGGGAAGGTAAAGAATGGAACCTTTTTAGCTCACCTGAGCCAAAGGCTCAAGTGAGCTTTTCTAATCACATTTTGTCCGTCGTCCATCTGTCCGTCTAGCTGTCCGTCCGTCCGTCCGTCTGTAAACTTTTCACATTTTCGACTTCTTCTCAAGAACCAATGGACCAAATTTAACCAAACTTGGTACAAAGCATCCTTGGGTGAGGGGGAGTATAAATTGTTAAAATAAAGGGCCAGGTTTCCTTCCAAGGGGAGATAATCAAGAAAAGACAAAAATAGGGTGGGGTCATTAAAAAAACTTCTTCTTAAGAACCACTGGGCCAGGAAAGCTGAAACTTATATGGAAGCATCCTTGGGTAGTGTAGATATTAAATTGATAATATCATGACCCCCGGGGTTGGGCATCGCTGCAATAGGGAATGCAAGTTTTACATAGAAATATATAGAACAAATCTTTAAAAATCTTCTTCTCAAGAACCACTGAGCCAGGAAAGCTGAAACTTATGTGGAAGCATCCTTGGGTAGTGTAGATAGTAAATTGTTGAAATCATGACCCCCGGGGGTAGGGCGGGGCCACAATAGGGAATGCAAGTTTTACATAGAGATATATAAAACAAATCTTTAAAAATCTTCTTCTCAAGAACCACTGAGCCAGGAAAGCTGAAACTTATGTGGAAGCATCCTTAAGTAGTGTAGATATTAAATTGTTAAAATCATGACCCCCGGGGGTAGGGTGGGGCCACAATAGGGAATGCAAGTTTTACATAGAAATATATAGAACAAATCTTTAAAAATCTTCTTCTCAAGAACCACTGAGCCAGGAAAGCTGAAACTTATGTGGAAGCATCCTTAAGTAGTGTAGATAGTAAATTGTTAAAATCATGACCCCCGGGGGTAGGGCGGGGCCACAATAGGGAATGCAAGTTTTACATAGAAATATATAGAACAAATCTTTAAAAATCTTCTTCTCAAGAACCACTGAGCCAGGAAAGCTGAAACTTATGTGGAAGCATCCTTGGGTAGTGTAGATATTAAATTGTTAAAATCATGACCCCCGGGGGGTAGGGCGGGGCCACAATATAGAATGCAAGTTTTACATAGAAATATATAGAACAAATCTTTAAAAATCTTCTTCTCAAGAACCACTGAGCCAGGAAAGCTAAAACTTATGTGGAAGCATCCTTGGATAGTGTAGATAGTAAATTGTTAAAATCATGACCCCCGGGGGTAGGGCGGGGCCACAATAGGGAATGCAAGTTTTACATAGAAATATATAGAACAAATCTTTGAAAATCTTCTTCTCAAGAACCACTGAGCCAGGAAAGCTGAAACTTATGTGGAAGCATCCTTGGGTAGTGTAGATTCTAAAGTATTAAAATCATATAAGGGGAGGGGGTAGGGGGGGGGCACGATAGGTATAGCAAGAGGGGAAATCTGCTAAAGAACTGCATCACCCAAGTTACTCAGGTGAGCGATGTGGCCCATGGGCCTCTTGATTTTATATCAAAACAGACTTAACATGGCTATGGAAAAACGTTTCAAGATGAGGATCAATTTGTCTTGAAATATGGTCTTATGAATGGAATGAATATGGCTACTAAAGTAAAGTTGAAATTTGAATAGAAGTGTATAGTTACAATTTATAATGTAAAGTCAAGTACACATTTCCTTACTGAAGTTCTTTTTTACTTGAAGATGATGAGGACGATATGTTCAGTGAAAAGAAAACAACAGAGAAGAAGAAGCCTCCGTCTAAAGCCCCTTCAGGAGGAGGAGGAGGTCTGTTTGACAACGAGGATGAGGAAGATGACCTCTTCGCTTCAGTTGCTCCAAAAACTACCACAGAAAAACCGAAGAAAAAAGGTAGGGAAGATATACAAACTAAGAAAAAATATCTATACAATGGATAGTTTTATACATGTACATTTTAAAAAATATGCTTGTAGAGGGGCAGAGATCTTAATTGAACCTATTTAATATTGGGGCCATTTGTCAATTCTCACTTTGTAAGCATGTAAATTGCATATCTTCCTTACGTTCATGTGTATGTATGCCCATATGAATGTTGTGCATCTGAGGAATGTACATGTAAAAACATACTCATTGACAAGTAGTACATACCTGTGTATGTATCCATGAAATAAAAAGAGTACTTTATTTTACTGTAGAGACTGGTGGTGGAGGAGGAGGCCTGTTTGATGAGGAGGAAGAAGAGGAAGATTTATTCTCTGAGAAGAAGGAGGAGGAACCAAAGAAAGAGGAAACAGCTCCTCCTGTCAAACAGGAAAACAAAAAGAAAGTAAGCTTTCAGTATTGATGATTCAGATAAAGTGATTTTTTTCTTTGAAAACCACTCTATCAAAAAATAAATTGTCTTGTATCAATTTCCTGCCCCCCTTAAAAAAAATCAGTGAATTCTTACATGCATATTCAGTAAATGGCTGTACATGTGAATGTGGCTTTGTTTTGTCAGCTTCCCCCTGGTGCTGTCCCTATGTTTGGAGGGGGAGCAAATCCACTGGCTGCTGCCATCAAAAAACAGAGAAAACCAGAATCTGATGAGGTTTGTGACACCATCTGACAGATATATAAAATCATTTGTTGTTTTACTGAAAAATATGGAATATTTCTTGTATTGTCTGTAGAACCCCCAGTAATCATTCCAAATAGAAATCAAAAAGTTACATTTAGCATCACTGAACAGAAAGGAGTGGTTTTCATAAGTGAATTTTGATTGTTTTTTTCAGGAAGATAATGAGTGGTCAGAGGAGGAGAAACCAAGGACTGCCAGTGTTAAATCCAGCCAATCAGTGACTTCTATAAATTCTGCCTCCAAGGCCCCTGGGGTCAGTAAGTTTAACAAGCCCAGCCCGAGTCCGTCCAGTAACAGCCTGTTTGATGATGAGGGGGATGATAATGCTTTGTTTGCTGCTACAGCCAAACCAAGGGCAGACAGGTATCTCCTACTGTTCATATACATAAACTAAGGTAAATGTTGTGGTAAGATTATCTTATATAGCTTTTGAAAAGTACGTGTATTTGGACTTTCATTCCTAATACAGTACATATGTGTTATAAATTGGTAGTTTGCATGTTTGGTATGGATATATAGAAAAGTACATGTAACTGGAATTTATGTATTATATGTGAAAGAAAATAATAGACAAGTTGTTTTAAATGTCGAATAACTTTTCTTTCCAGTAAATCAAAAGCTAAACCTACAAAGTCCTTGTTTGAGGATGACGATGGTGACTTGTTTTCCTCAAAACCTACAAAGAAAACAGCAGAAAAGGTTAGTTGACAGAATCCCTGGTGGAACTTTATGGAATATGTAGACATTGTGTATTATGAAATTTTTGAGTGATTTAAAGTTATGGGTAGTTGTGAACAATTTCAATTTTATTTCTCAACACTTGTAATAAGATTCATTGATATTTTCGATTTTGGTAAATTAATGAAACATTTGAAAAATATTTTAAACCTAAATTTATTTTCATTATATTTTGTAGAAACCTCAGCAATCAGGTGGTTTGTTTGATGATGAAGAAGATGATTTATTTGCTAAACCGAAAGACAGGTGCTTATTTAGAAACATGTTTCCAATACTCAAATCAGTGTTCAACTGTATAACTTAAAAATAAATCACAATCTCGAATGTACAGTAAAATAAACTGCTACATTTACACTTCATTTTTTTTTCACCATATATACATGTACCATAATGGGACAAAAAAAATGAATTATTATGCAGAATATATATGAAAGCTTTTGATTTTTGTTCAGTCAGAATATTTAACAATATACAGATTTTGAAATACATTTCATATTTAATGTTTCAGTGGGAAAAAGAAGCCTGTAGGAGGAGTAGCTCTGTTTGGAGAGGATATCTTGCCAAAGAAAGACAAACCAGTTGTAAAGGTACAGTTTTATTTTAACTAGCTGTATCCTGACTTCTGAGCTCTATAGCTACATATAAATTATTCAGATTAAAAATAAGTACATGAAAAGATCCATAATCAAAAATATTTCAGGAACCTGAGAAGAAGGCAGAGACAGCTAAATCCAGTAAACCTTTGTCCTTGTTTGATGATGATGAAGAAGAAGAGGAGGGGGATATATTTGGGGCTCCCTCAAGTAAAACAGCTACAACTAAACCTGCTGGTGCAAACAAGGTGAGATAAAAAAAAAGTTCATACTTACTACATGTAAAATTATAATACATGTATAAGCACTTGTACATTTTGTCTGACTTAGGTTTTTTAGCATTTCTCAATATATTGTTTGCAATTGAAATACACATTCATTTGCATATTGTACCATAATGCTGAGTTTATTCCATTAGCAAACGTAAATGGAAAATTCTTTTGAAACTTTTTTCGTTGCTATTTTCCATAATTCATCGTAGGTTTCAAAAATACAAGGAATAAAAATCACTATGCTTTATAAATGTGAATTCATTTCAATTACATTTGCTGTAATCATGTTTTACTGTAGTACACATATTTTAATCTATCCAATTATATAATTGTTGAAAGAACGATATGAAGATAACGAACAGTATTCAATATCGAAGTCCATAAAACAATACAAAATAGGAGCAGGGCAAACACGGATCTCCGAAACATCAGAGGTGGGATCAAGTGCCATGAAAAGATTAAATTTTAAAAAGAAAGTTTTGATTGTTTGATACAGGCCAAGGATTTGTTTGCTGATGGAGATGACATGTTTGGAGAGGAGGAGTCTCCAGGAGTGGACATCTTTAATCAACAGAAGACAGCAACAAAAACGGTAAGTCTACATGTATACCTAAAATAGTCAGTCTACACATAAGGTGGTAAGTCAGTTGTTTCGTTATTAATTAGCAAATATATTTGCATATATATATATATGAAGACTCTACACAATTTCTATGTTTTCTCCTCCACTATTAAAAAGAGTAAACCATCTAGTGTCAAAATGATTGAGCAGTCATTTTTGAACAAAAACAAAATGCTGGGAGTTTTTTTTTTTTTGTCTCTTGCTTTTGCTTTTATTTATGCTAAATCTTGGATTTTTAAAAAAAAAAGTTTGGGGGGAAGGGGGGTTCAATTTTTTGTTGTCAGATAATCTGGGTTTTTTTTTTCAAGTACATGTATCAATTATATTAGTTTTTATGTTGTTTACAGAACAAGGAGTCAGCAGCTAAACCCGCTGCCCCTAAACTGTTTGAGGAGGAGGATGTGGGTCTATTTGGTACCACCCAGGTAAACATGCATATAAACAAATTAAGTCAACAAAGATTTTTTTTGCATGCTCTGTCTAAATATTGGACAAAGTATTTTACTTTTTTTACTCACTAAGTTCAGAAACTTAACTTTTCAGTCAAAAGCTCAGTGGAGATATAAAAATTATCTAAAGTTTGATTTCATGCACAGTGTATAAACATAAACAGAACTAATGACTGATGATTGTGCTTTGTTTTAGACAACAAAGACTGATTCTGTAGATGTTGGAGGAGTAACCACAGAAGAATCTACTGATACTCCAGAGAAGGCAAGTACTAATTAATGGCCTTTCTGATTCATATGTTTCAGACCATTTCTATTTTTAAAACATATAGAAGGGGAAAAAAATAAAAACCAACATATAGGAGGAAAATCCATGAATTTTGTGAGTCAGTGGCCTTCCTTTGCTTGTGTAACGGGAGAGGAGAAAATGCAGCGGACCAAACCGGGATTCGAACCCGAGCCCCCTGAAACTCCGGTCAGGTGCTCTACCAACTGAGCTACCTGGCCACTGGCGATCGAACCCGGCTGACTGCCACATTCCTCCCTCCTTAAAGGTCTTTGGCCCTCCAAAGACCCCAACCCAGGCTCATCCCTGGCAGGTCTTTCACCTGTCAATTCCAGTGCATGGCATGGCACCAGATGTAACGGGAGAGTAAAAATGCAGCAGACCACACCAGGATTTGAACCCTGGCCCCCTGAAACTCTGGTCAGGTGCTCTACCAACTGAGCTATCTGGCCACCAGTGATCGAACCCGGCTGACCGCCACACTTGCAAATATTTATATTTTTTGTTGTCTCAGTCATGAAAATTAATAGTCAGAGAAGGGTTTCAAACTGAAGAATTGCAAATAAAGGAGCTCACATTTTAAGACTTTTGAGGAATGTAATCAGTATAAAGAACAAGGTTCATCTTTGCCTTATTTGGCCCTATGAATTTCTGATAAACTGAAACTGCTTAGTTTTAGTTAAAAATGCGCTTATCACTTAGATCTTTAGTGATTGCGTATCTTTAAAAAATGACGTAATTTTCTGACTAGTCAATGCATTATGACGTCACGAAATGCGTCAGTTTCCTCATATTCTGAAAAAGTCTACAAAAACGGACAATTTTTAAAGATATTTTTCAATATTTGATACAGAGCGCAACCGCTGATCTAAAATATGAAACTAGTAAATGATAGATCTGTTTCTTATGATTAAAAGACACGTTTTTTTTTTTAGATCAGAGAGTGCGCGCATATTATTTTTCTTCATTGAAAGTACTCAAATATACCTATTTACCATAAACTTCAAGAACATTGCATATTCAAAAGGCCAGTTCTCCAAGACCTGGACGTTTAGGAGAAATTTTTAGGTCACCTGAGTAAACTCAGGTGACCTATTGCTATCACTTTTCGTCCGTCGTCGTTCATCGTGCGTTAACATTTAAACATTTTCAGCTTCTTAGCTGAAACCACTGAACCAATTTCAACCAAATTTGGCATAAAGCATCTATGGGTAAAGGGGAACAAAAATTGTGAATTTCATGGTCCCTGCCCCCCTGGGGCCTGGGGGGTGGGGCAAAAACCACTAAAATTAGTGCAATCTTTAAAAATCTTCTTCTTTACTCCTGGACATCAAGCAGTCAAACTGTTTGCATGATTGTAATCAGCATTGAGTCCTTTACCAAAATTGTGAAGTTCATGGCCCAGGGGATCTAGTGCTAGGGCGGAGCTAAATAGATTATATAGTGAAAATGCATTATTTCTTTGAAAATCTTCTTCTCTGCTACTGGGTATTAAATAAACCTACTAAGTACATAGTTATGATGAGCAAGAGTGCCTCTACCAAAATTGTGAATTTTATGGCCCCAGGGTCAGGGGTTCTGGTGTTAGGGCGGTGCTCTATAGAATATAATAGTGAAATTACATGAATTCTTTGAGAAATCTTCTTCTCTGCTCCTGGGTATTAAATAAACTAACTAAGTGCATAGTTATAATGATTGAAGAGTGCCTCTACCAAAATTGTGAATTTTATGGCCCCAGGGTTAGGGGTTCTGGTGTAAGGGGGGTGGGGTCTATAGATTATATAGTGAAAATACATGAATTCTTTGAAAATCTTCTGCTCTGCTCCTGGGTATTAAATAAACTAACTAAGTACATAGTTATGATGAGCAAGAGTGCCTCTACCAAAATTGTGAATTTTATGGCCCCAAGGTCAGGGGTTCTGGTGTTAGGGTTTTTTATATAGTGAAATTACATGAATTCTTTGAAAATCTTCTTCTGTGCTCCTGGTATTAAATAAACTAACTAAATGCATAGTTATGATGAGCAAGAGTGCCTCTACCAAAATTGTGAATTTTATGGCCCCAGGGTCAGGGGTTCTGGTGTAAGGGGGTGGGGTCTATAGATTATATAGTGAAAATACATGAATTCTTTGAAAATCTTCTTCTCTGCTCCTGGGTATTAAATAAACTAACTAAGTGCATAATTATGATGAGCAAGAGTGCCTCTACCAAAATTGTGAATTTTATGGCCCCAGGGTCAGGGGTTCTGGTGTTAGGGTTTTTTAGATTATATAGTGAAATTACATGAATTCTTTGAAAATCTTCTTCTCTGCTCCTGGGTATTAAATAAACTAACTAAGTGCATAGTTATGAAAAAGTGCCTCTACCAAAATTGTGAATTTTATGGCCCCAGGGTCAGGGGTTCTGGTGTAAGGGGGGATGTCTATAGATTATATAGTGAAATTACATGAATTCTTTGAAAATCTTCTTCTCTGCTCCTGGGTATTAAATAAACTAACTAAGTGCATAGTTATGATGAGCAAGAGTGCCTCTACCAAAATTGTGAATTTTATGGCCCCAGGGTCAGGGGTTCTGGTGTAAGGGGGGTGGGGTCTATTTATATAGTGAAAATACATGAATTCTTTGAAAATCTTCTTCTCTGCTCCTGGGTATTAAATAAACTAACTAAGTACATAGTTATGATGAGCAAGAGTGCCTCTACCAAAATTGTGAATTTTATGGCCCCAGGGTCAGGGGTTCTGGTGTTAGGGTGGGGCTCTATAGATTATATAGTGAAATTACATGAATTCTTTGAAAATCTTCTTCTGTGCTCCTGGTATTAAATAAACTAACTAAGTGCATAGTTATGATGAGCAAGAGTGCCTCTACCAAAATTGTGAATTTTATGGCCCCAGGGTTAGGGGTTCTGGTGTAAGGGGGTGGGGTCTATGATTATATAGTGAAAATACATGAATTCTTTGAAAATCTTCTTCTCTGCTCCTGGGTATTAAATAAACTAACTAAGTGCATAATTATGATGAGCAAGAGTGCCTCTACCAAAATTGTGAATTTTATGGCCCCAGGGTCAGGGGTTCTGGTGTTAGGGTGCGGCTCTATAGATTATATAGTGAAATTACATGAATTCTTTGAAAATCTTCTTCTCTGCTCCTGGGTATTAAATAAACTAACTAAGTGCATAGTTATGATGAGCAAGAGTGCCTCTACCAAAATTGTGAATTTTATGGCCCCAGGGTCAGGGGTTCTGGTGTAAGGGGGGGGCCCTATAGATTATATAGTGAAATTACATGAATTCTTTGAAAATCTTCTTCTCTGCTCCTGGGTATTAAATAAACTAACTAAGTGCATAGTTATGATGAGCAAGAGTGCCTCTACCAAAATTGTGAATTTTATGGCCCCAGGGTCAGGGGTTCTAGTGTTAAGGCAGGGCGCTATTGATTATTTATTGAAAATACATGAATTTTTTGAAAAAAATTCTTTTCTGCTCCTAGGAATGAAATAAACTAATTACATAGTTATGATGAGCAAGAATACCTCTTCCAAAATTGTGAATTTTATGGCCCTAGGGTCAGGGGTTCTAGTGATAGGGCAGGGCTCTATTGATTATATGGTGAAAATACATTAAATCTTTGAAAGTTTTCTTCTCTGCTGTATTAAGCAGATGAACTACCTATATAGTTATGATGAGCAAGGGTCCTAATCTTCCAGAATTGTGAATTTCAAGGCCCCAGGGTCAGGGGTACCATAAAGGAGGGGGGGCTGTACTTATATACTGAAACTGGATGAATTGTTTGAAATCTGCTCCTTGGTATTAGTCAAATATTTTTGAAAAGCAAGGGTGCCTTTTCAAAAATTGTGCAATGTGTGGATCTAGGCCTCAGGGTCAGGGGTTCATGTGTGATTGGGGCATAGCCACATTACTGATCATGCTGAATATTACTGATTACTTGAAATGCATTTTTGTTCCCCTACTCTGCCTATGGGTATTAAGTAAACAAACTAAGCAACTGCTAAGTGTATTGTTATGATGATCAATGGTGCCTGTTTCAAAATTGTGCATGCCATAGCATCTGGATTGAAACATGAATCAAATTCAATCACTGGAAAGTTGTTGCATAATGCTCAGGTGACCTATAAGGCCCATGGGCCTCTTGTTAATTGGAAATGAAAGCACTAAGTCTCTATTTTATCTTAATGCTTCAAATTGAACATCAAGTGTTAATCAATCAATTGGTAAATCTACAGGGCCATTTTATACATAACATGAACTGATCTCTTTCTATGATATGTGTTTATGAAGGTTCTAAAGCAATTCAGAAAAAAATTGCTTTGTTCCTCCTTCAATTATAGCAAATGTAAATCATTGAAATTATGGCAATACTCAATGCTAGAAAAACTGTGATATTTGTGACATGTATAGATTTGTAAAAACTTACAGTGTACTTCCTTTTTTTGTAGTAACCTACAAATAACAATGTTGTTTGGTTGCTTTGTGTAAGCTATGCTACTGTAGATCACTAAATTTTCGTGACACCTTATCTTCGTGAGAAAGGCATTGTTTCTTGATAAGCGAGACAAAATTTTCACATATTGTGGTTATTGCTCCATATAATACTAAGGAGTACTATTACACTGTCTCGTGTAATTACGCGAAAATAAAGTTCTCGCGAAGAAAAAGTGATTTACGGTATATATATTCAGCCTTGTTTTCTGTAGAGAATTGTTAAATCGAACTTTTAAACTCACTGTAAATCCCTTAAAATCTTGCAGCCTAAGGAAACCAAACCCAAAAAACCAGTGGGAGGTGTGTCAATGTTTGGAGGATTTGACCCAATGGCTGCTCTGAAAAACAAAGGAAAGAAAGAGGTCAAGGATGTGACCCCACCACCAAAAGAGGTCAAGGCTGAGAGCCCTCCAATGAGAGGAGAATCTGATGAAGATGATACATCAGACAGACCAGAACCCCCTCCCCTGGAGGAACCCAAAAAAGAAACTAGGGCAAAATCTGGTAAGCTATTTTTATATCCTATATTTTCATTGAAATAACTGAAGTTTGAAATCTGTCACAAAATCTGGCATTCAGTTTTTAGGTCACCTGAGTAACTCAGGTGACCTATTGCTATCTGATTTCGTCCCTCATCGTGCGTCTTGTGTTAACATTTGAACATTTTCAGCTTCTTAGCTGAAACCACTGAACCAATTTCAACCAAATTTGGTATACAGCATCTATGGCTGAAGGGGAACAAAAATTATGAATTTTATGGTCCCCGCCCCAGTGGGGCCTGAGGGGTGGGGTCAAAACCACCAAAATTATTGCAATCTTTAAAAATCTTCTTTACTCCTGGACATCAAGCAGTCAAACTGTTGGCATGAATGTAATGAGCATTGAGTCCTCTACCAAAATTGTGAAATTCATGGCCCCAGGGTCAGGGGTTCTTGTGCTAGGGTGGGGCTATATAGATTATATAGTGAAAATGCATTATTTCTTTGAAAATCTTCTTCTCTGCTTTTGGGTATTAAGTAAACTAACTAAGTACATAGTTATGTTGAGCAAGAGTGCCTCTTCGAACATTGTGAATTTTATGGCCCCAGGGTCAGGGGTTCTGGTGTTAGGGTGGGGCTCTATTGATTATATAGTGAAAATGCATTATTCTTTGAAAATCTTCTTCTTTGCTTCTGGGTATTAACTAAACTAAATAAGTACACATTTATGCTGAAAAAGAGTGCCTCTACCAAAATTGTGAATTTTATGGCCCCAGGGTCAGGGGTTCTGGTGTAAGGGGGGATGTCTATAGATTATATAGTGAAAATGCATTAATTCTTTGAAAATCTATTCCTTTGCTCCTGGGTTTTATGCCAATGATCCAAGTATATATATATTTGTGATGAAGAAAGGTGCATCTAGCAAAATGGTTATTTTTTATGCCCCTTGGGTCGGGGGAGGGGGGGGAGTTACAAAGTCTGAAAATAAATTAATGCTTTGAAATCTGCTCTTTAGTATTAATCAACCATTTTATAATAAAATTCACAAAATTTTGAAATATAAGGTCCCAGGGTCAGTGGTTCCTTTGGGGTGAGGTGCACAACTGGTTATAAAGTGGAAGTGCATTTTCTTTTGTTACTCTGATCTACCTCTGGGTATTAAGTAAATAGAGTAAGCATGCTAAGTTTATAATTGTGATAAGCAATGGTGCCTCTTTCAAAATTGTGAATTGTGAATTTCATGGCCTCTGGGGTAAAACACGAACCATTTAATTATTTGAAAGTTGTTACACGATACTCAGGTGACCTGTAAGGCCCATGGGCCTCTTGTACTCTTAAAATTTATGTACATATGCAGTTTTATATTTGATTTGTTGAAAATTTTGATATAATATGCATTATGCTTTTTTAAATCAACCAAGATCATGTATGCTATTGATGCATTTATGTACATGGACATGTATGTTTATAATGATTTATCTCTGTTTGATATTCTGAACAATTCATGTTCATGTTATGTATTTTGTAGCTGATCCTCTGTTTGGAGATGAAGATGATGAAAATGACGATTTGTTTGGATCTTCACAGAAGGTACAGATTTTTTACAATAGCTTATCAAGTCCAAGACCAGGGAAGTTAATCAGTTGAATTAAAATAGCATTATAAGATTTTATTAAAGTCTGTGTCAACAGCAAGTTTAACATTTCACGGACAAATCATTTTTCAATTGTTATATATAGAGTGAACCTGAAGTAAAAGAGGAGACTAAACCCAGAAAACCTGTGGGAGGTGTGTCCATGTTTGGAGGATTTGACCCAATGGCTGCCCTGAAAAACAAAGGAAAGAAAGAGGTCAAGGATGTGACCCCAACACCAAATGAGGTCAAGGGTGAAAACCTTCCTCCAGATGAGGCCAAGAAATCAGAGGATGAAGATAGGATAGAACCTCCTCCTTTGGATTTACCAGAGCCAAGTAAAAAGGCAAAAGCAGGTACACCTCAAGCACTTTTGTAGCAAGATGAACTTCAATTGTTTCGCAAAAGGGGTTTAAAAAATAATACATTTACAAGAAAGAAATGATTAAAAATTGTTTTTGGAAAGTATTTCTAAGATATTTTGAGACTAACACTGTAATTGCAAATTTTACAGCAAAAAAATTGTATTTAAATGTAGCCATGAATTATTTCTGAATGGACTATTTAAAGCTGTTTACCGGGTAGTAAGATGTTATAATATATAGTTGGTTGCTTTTTGAAGTGGATCCATTATTTGGAGATGAGGAAGAAGATGACCTGTTCAAGGTATCCCCTGTAAAGACAATCAGCACCACTGGTCCCTCCAAACCTTCCACCACCCCAAAACCCATCATTCCCTCCAAATCCAAGGTACTGTATTGACACTTATCACTGATAACCTAAATTACAATCCACCACCCCAAAACCCATCATTCCTTCCAAACCCATGGTACTGACCGTACACTGATCACTGATACCCTCAATCACAATTCTAGTCCTAAACCAGAAATTCAGAATCTGTAACCCCAAATAGAAACAAAAAACACTTCGCTGTATGCTTTGTCTTTACAAGACAGTATAAATCCTTCAGTGCATTTACAGTAAAACTCATTTACGCGGTAGTACAAACACTGATATTGTGAATTCATGGATATAGCTAAGTTATCTGGGATCCCCATTATATGAATAAAATGAATTTCTTATACAGATATAACGAATTACAGTTATTGCGAAGTAATTTCACACGTCCCAGTGACTTTGTTATAACCAAGTTTTACTGTACTCAGGAAAATATTAAACTTGTCTTTTCTTACTTATAGCAAATCATGTGGAAAATATGTTTTGTTCGAATTTTTCAGTTAGTTCTCTATTCTGTGCAGTTTCTGTAGTAAATGCACAAATCATGTACAAATTTGTTTTGTTTTGGATTTTTTTCCTTTAAAAAATTTTTTTAGAATAACCAAAAGATAACATTTATTAAAGCAAATCTTCATTATGGCTCACACAAGTCAGATGAAGATGATTTGTTTTCATCATTTGGTTAACAAAAAAAAGGTGACCAACCGAGGCTTCACCACTCGGCCAGTCGCCACGTAAACCAGCTGGTGGGGTTTCCATGTTTGGTGGGGTGGATCCATTTGGAGTGTCAAAGAAGTCAGAGTCACCACCAGGTCAGTTAGCTCTTCATATTCCAGAAAATACAACACTTACTAGATTACTGATAGCTCAATATTCAAAATGGTTTTCACTCATGAATTCCATTTCCACATTAAAGAAATAATGTATTATTTCTTTAATGTGATAAGTTTAAACACATGTTAAAAGGAATCTCCTTTTTTTTTTTTGAAAATTGGTTTTTTTTCTTATAAAAAATACAAATATTTACACATTTTCATTAAACTCATACTATGTTTTATTTCAGATAAAGTACATTAAATCAATTTTAGTTCATTCAATGATTCAGATATTTTAAGTGTGCTATTGTGTGATATTATTTTAATTTGCTGTTCATTTTTTTTTCTGTTAAAAACACATATATTCTGCTTGTTTGTTAGTATTTTAGAGCACATTCACTCTTAATTTAAAATAAGTTGTGCTAGACCGTGCAAAGTTAATTCCTTGGTTCTCAGACCATTTTTCAAGAAATGCACAAATCATGTAGGCATTTTTTTTTTTTACTTTTTTTGCCCCCAAAACATGATGAGGCAGCTTTTTACATTGTACAGAACCTCAAAAAATGATGAGTGAGGTGATTTGTTGTTTTTATTTTATTGATTTAGCAATAAAAAGGGTCAATGAGGCACCCTTGGAAGAGATGAGGGAGGGCCTAAATCCAAGAAATTAATTTTTTATAGCCATGTGATTTTTGGGGTTTTTTTTTTTGGAGTGTCATTGAAGTATTTAGTCACCACCAGGTATATTAGTTTTCTTATTTTAGAAAATACAACACTTACTAGATTACTGATAGCTTAATATTCAAAATGGTTTTCACTCATGAATTTCATTTCCACATTAAAGAAATAATGTATTATTTCTTTAATGTGATAAGTTTAAACACATGTTAAAAGGAATCTTCTTTTTTTTTTTGAAAATTGGTTTTTTTTCTTGAATAAAAAATGCTTATATTTACACATTTTCAACAACTGTTGCTATGTTTTATTTCAGATTCAGCTACAACAGGAGGAGAAGATGATGTAAGTACTTGACATTCAATGATTCAGATATTTTAAGTGTGCTATTGTGTGATATTATTTTAATTTGCTGTTCGATTTTTTTTTCTGTTAAAAACACAACACTCTGCTTGTTTGTTAGTATTTTAGAGCACATTCACTCTTAATTTAAAATAAGTTGTGCTAGACCGTGCAAAGTTAATTCCTTGGTTCTCAGACCATTTTTCAAGAAATATGATGAGGGGGGGAGGCATTTTTTTTTTTTTACTTTTTATTGCCCCCAAAACATGATGAGGCAGCTTTTTACATTGTACAGAACCTCAAAAAATGATGAGGGAGGTGATTTGTTGTTTTTATTTTATTGATTTAGCAATAAAAAGGGTCAATGAGGCACCCTTGGAAGAGATGAGGGAGGGCCTGAGATCCAAGAAATTAATTTTTTATAGCCTTATGTGATTTTTTGCTTTTTTTTTGGAATTGCCATTGAATATTTAGTCTACTACATGTATATTGTTTTCTTAGTTTTAGTACATTTTTTATACTTTGCTTGACACTGTATTGTGTGGAAGTAGTAACTTGCATGCTTTTAACTGCTTGCTCCACTTGTTTGTTTGTTCTGTTAGAAGAAACCTGAGTCAGCCTCACCAGTTTCTGTTGGGAAGAAAATGCCGGGTAAAATTGGCAAGTTACAGGTATAAATCACTTATAGTATACAAATGCTTTAGAGTGCATGCATTTTTTTTCCAGGACTTGATTTTTACTTTAAATTTGATCAATTTTGCATTCAAATTTGAAAATTTTAAACTTAACTAAATTAAGTTATAAATGTGGGACAACATTTTTTTTTAATATATATTTAAAATTTTTTGTAAGGAAGGGAATGAGATACCAGTAGTTAAAATAAATTGTAAGATACTCTGTATTATAATTTATGTTAGTCAAACACTCTTTATACACAATAAACTTTGTCAAAACTCTCTATATGTCAACAAAGTGATTCAAACACTCTCCATAGGGCTTTTTCAGTAAATTATTTCTCCCAATAACTCTAGTTCAATAAATATCTCAAATATTTTCCATAGTGCCAATCACATGTAAATTGAGACTCTATAGGGCCAATAAACTTTCAAAACATTTTATTTAATCAGATGAATCTAGGAATAAATCCAGCAGCCATGTTAAGCCAAACACTCTCTATAGTGCCAACAAAGTAAGTCATACACTCTCCAGCCCAGGCTAACACCCTCCATAGTGCCAATAAAGTAAGTCACACACCCTCCATAGTGCCAATAAAGTAATTCAAACACTCTCCATAGGGCCAATAAAGTAAGTCAAACGTCAAAATTTCTCCATAGTGTCAATAAAGTAAGTCAAACACTCTCCATAGTGCCAATAAAGTAAGTCAAACACTCTCCATAGGGCCAATAAAGTAAGTCAAACACTCCATAGTGCAAACAAAGTAAATCAAACAATCTCCATAGGGCCAATAAAGTAAGTCAAACACTATAGTGCAAACAAATATATTCAAACACTCTCCATAGGGCCAATAAATTAAGTCAAACACTCTCTATAGTGCCAACAAAGTAAGTCAAACACTCTCCATAGGGCCAGTAAAGTAAGTCAAACAAACTTCATAGTGCAATAAAGTAAGTCAAACACTCTCCATAGTGCCAATAAAGTAAGTCAAACACTCTCCATAGGGCCAATAAAGTAAGTCAAACACTCTCCATAGTGCCAATAAAGTAAGTCAAACACTCTCCATAGGGCCAATAAAGTAAGTCAAACACTCTCTATAGTGCCAACAAAGTAAGTCAGACACTCTCCATAGGGCCAATAAAGTAAGTCAAACACTCCATAGTGCAAACAAAGTAAGTCAAACACTCTCCATAGGGCCAATAAAGTAAGTCAAACACTCCATAGTGCAAACAAAGTAAGTCAAACACTCTCTATAGTGCCAACAAAGTAAGTCAAACACTCTCCATAGTGCCAATAAAGTAAGTCAAATACTCCATAGTGCAAACAAAGTAAGTCAAACACTCTCCATAGGGCCAATAAAGTAAGTCAAACACTCTCTATAGTGCCAACAAAGTAAGTCAAACACTCTCCATAGGGCCAGTAAAGTAAGTCAAACAAACTCCATAGTGCCAATTAAGTAAGTCAAACACTCTCCATAGTGCCAATAAAGTAAGTCAAACACTCTCCATAGGGCCAATAAAGTAAGTCAAACACTCTTTATAGGGCCAATAAAGTAAGTCAAACACTCTTTATAGGGCCAATAAAGTAAGTCAAACACTCTCCATAGGGCCAATAAAGTAAGTCAAACATCAAAAACTCTCCATAGGGCCAATAAAGTAAGCAAACACTTCATAGTGCAAACAAAGTAAGTCAAACACTCTCCATAGGGCCAATAATATAAAGCCAACACTAACCAGATCTTAACTATAATTTATCATCTCTCTTTCTGGTAGAGTCGTGCCAAAATCCAGGCCAAGAGGCGTCCCCCGAGTCGCAAGGGCCGGCAGGGAGGGGGTCCAGGTGGAGATGCGGACTCTTCTGTGGCTTCTCCACCGCCTCAAGTGGAGGCACCACCAGTGGAAAGCCGAGTACCTCAACCGACATCGGATTTGTTTGGTAACGACGATTTACTCGGGGAGAAAGACTCAAATAATGATTTCATGGCCCCGCCCCCAGTACCTGATAACTACGAGGAGGAAAACAATGATTTCTTCTCATCAACTAGGAAAAAGAACAATTTAATGTCAGATGATGACTTGTTTAACCCTGTGATTTCTTCTTCCAAACCAAAAAATGTGATAAACTCAATAAATGATGAGGATAAGGATGACATTTTTGGTTCAAGTGCAGTAAAAAATACTTCAAAATTTGTCAGTAAAAGGAAAGTTGAAAATGATACAAAAGATGCATTAGTGAATGGAGTTGAAGATGTGTTATCAGATAAGTCTAAAACTTCTAAAGTAGTAGAGGAAGAGGATGAGGACCTCTTTGCTGCGAAACCAAAGCTGAAGAAACAGACCGACTTTGAAAAGTTACTGGACGACAAACCCGAGGCAACTAAAACGGAATCCAAACCTTCTGTGCAGGAGAATCTGTTTCCTGATTCTACTCTCAACAAGAAAGAAGGTGAGAAAGCAAGACTGTGAAGTGTCTAATTGAATTTACAAACTTGTTAATTAAAGATATTATCAGTAAAAAATGAGTTTGTATACACAGCAGACTTAAGTATTTTATGAATTTGGATATTGATGTCATGTAAACATTAAGTTGACACTTGCACAATTAAATCAACTTATTTCATGTTTTTAAAGAGAGCAAACCAAAGATGCAAGATGCTGATGAAGATATTTTTGCTGATTCCTCATTGAACAAAAAAGCTTCCAAAGCAACAAAAACTGAAGAGAAAACTGTAACTGAGGTTAGATATTTAATCTCTTAAGTATTTAGTTATTTTATTCAAAACACAATATTGAACATGCTTGAAAATCTTTGGACAACTTATCTGCTTTTATTAAAAAGAAAATTTTATATAGCAGTGTGTAAATTACTGGGTATGTAGATGCTGTGAACCCAGTCAGTGCATACGAACACTATGATTTGTTTGTTTGTTTCAGGATGATGATCTTTTTGGTAAGTCTGCTCAGAAAAGTAAAAAGCCCAGCAAAGCTCGGGCTAAAACAAAGGATGAGGACTTGTTTAAGGACAACACGGACATTTTTGCTGATGTCCCAGCAGCCAAACCAAAGGAGAAAAAGAAGCATGTACTCGCTAAATTATCATTCTCGTGTTTATTATTATTCCTAAAAAGGCCACTGAAAAGAAGTGGAATTACTCGCGAAAATAAGGTGTCGCGAATGTGTCTTAAAGACGATGATGGTAGGTTTCCGTCTGTCTGTATACAGTTGAGAGGTACATTGTGCATTTTACGGAAGGTGCGGGGTTATCATTTTGCTTTGTGGGGTTATTAATAGTACAGTGGTGACTTGAGAGGTTTCATTAGGAATTCAAACAAATGGTATATTGTTGGGTTAAAGGTCTATATTTGTGGGGTTAAAGATCTATATTTGTGGGGTTAAAGATCTATATTTGTGGGGTTAAAAATTAATTATTTAATATCAAGTCAACTTTACAGGCAACTAATTATAAGTACTTAAATTTGTTACTGTTTATCTGAAGAACTTAGAACGGATATAGCAATAACATTTTTCAACTACTGCATAGCAGTAACAATGCAAAAAAATGTTTTTATTTGAGGATAACTATTGCATCAAAGTAAATTAACCCAGCATGTTTTCACATGAAGATGATAGACAAGAATATCCCAGAAAGTGTTAAACAAACAACCCCACTATGCTATAAAGATATAACAGACAACACTAACCCCATAAATTATAAGACAAACAACCCCACTATGTACTCTCATAAAGATAATAGACAACACTAACCCCATTAAGCGTTTGGACAGCAACCCCACTATGTACTCTCATAAAGATAACAGACAACACTAACCCCATTAAGTTTTGGACAGCAACCCCACTATGTACTCTCATAAAGATGATAGACAACACTAACCCCATAAAGTGTTTGGACAGCAACCCCACTATGTACTCTCATAAAGATGATAGACAACACTAACCCCATAAAGTGTTTGGACAGCAACCCCACTATGTACTCTCATAAAGATAATAGACAACACTAACCCCATAAAGTGTTTGGACAGCAACCCCACTATGTACTCTCATAAAGATGATAGACAACACTAACCCCATAAAGTGTTTGGACAGCAACCCCACTATGTACTCTCATAAAGATAATAGACAACACTAACCCCATAAAGTGTTTGGACAGCAACCCCACTATGTACTCTCATAAAGATAATAGACAACACTAACCCCATAAAGTGTTTGGTCAGCAATCCCACTAAGTACTCTTATAAAGATAATAGACAACACTAACCCCATAAAGTGTTTGGACAGCAACCCCACTATGTACTCTTATAAAGATAATAGACAACACTAACCCCATAAAGTGTTAGGACAACAACCCCACTAAGTACTCTTATGAAGATAATAGACAACACTAACCCCATAAAGTGTAACAACCCCATTATGTTCTTATATAGATAAAAGATAACATTAACCCCACAAAGTGTTAGACAAGAACCACAATATGTTCTGATAGAAAATATCAGACATCTTAGTAACCTCAGAGTGTTAAACAAACAACCTCGCTGTGTTCTCATGTAACAGATACCAGTAACCATATGAATTTAAGTGTTTGAAAACCCCAGTATGTTCTAATATCAAAAAACTCTACCAGGGACTGGTAATAAAAGAACAAGTACCCCCACTATGTTCAATCGCAACTTCTCGAGCCTTTCTGACTAGCTGACAAACGACCTCGAATGTATTAGGTAGACGCCATGGCAACAATCCCCCCTTTTCATCATCTTCGAAATAAATGCATGAAGACCTTTTATCTGTGGAATATTGAGTTTAACTTTATTCAATGCTATGATATTACATAAAATATACTATAAAAGGGACTTCTTACTTCCTCTATCCTATATTTGAAAAAAACAAGACAAGCATAACCTTTAACATCAGGTGATGTTAATACATTCGAGGTTGTTTTTCCGAACTCTGACGGAAAGACCCTGAGTGAGATGATGCAATTGCCAGTGCATCATATCCTTTTTTTTTTACTATTAAAAATACCAAACAATACTCATAATACTTTTTCCTATTTTGATAACATACTCGAAAATTTGTTTTAAATATTTTTCAAACTATTTTTAATTGGATAATCTCTTTATCTTTACTGCTTATTTCTAATGAGAATTTTTCCTTTGAATCTGCTGGTGCATGAATTTGAAGTGTACATTATGCATCAAAAGCATACATAATTTCATTGTAAATTAATAATGATAAATAAAAGAGATGATCCTGATTTTTTAAAAAAAAAATTTAATTAAACTTTTCAGTTACTCGACAAGTTGAACACAGATAAGAAACATGTCAATAAATGTAGAACACAGAAAAAAAACCCTCAAAATTTGAGACAATCTTCATAGATGTAAAAAAAAAAAAAAAAACAAGTATATAGTGAGTTGTCAAATAACTCTAAAACTTGCATGTTATTGCTAATTATTTTAAACAAAATATATTAATTCAAATGAAGTTTTAAAAAAAAAAGTGTATAGTCAAAAATTCTCATCATTTTGCATTTTAAAATTGATCTTAAAACAAAAATAACGATGTACATCCTTCTGGAAAATATACTCAAACTTACAGCTGCACCCCCACTCCCATCCCCTAAAATAAAATGAAAAAAAAAAAACCAACAAGCAATTGATTTATAATTTTCAAAAAAATAAAAATCAAACAAGATAAATGTACCGGTACATTTCAGTTTAATAATTATTTCTCACATTTAAAATGAGATCGCTAATTAAAAAAGAAGAAAACTATGACTGTTAATGTATAGAAATTCGCCATGCCGAATGCAATGTTCATAAAAGATCCTTTTGTCTTAAAGCTGAACACTACTCATAAACATAAGTAATCAGAGATTACATAGCTCAATTCAAACATTGATTACTTCAAGTAAGACACTGTCTCACATTTAACTAATAATCAAGAAGTTAATTTAAGGTTTGCAGCAACTTGAGAATAGACATCCAAATACTTGAAACTAGTTGCCCATCAAGAAAATGTAATTCAAATCCACGACCCATGTAAATGTTATCTTTTTTAGATCAACTTTCAAAAATCGATTCATCTTCTTTTTCTGAAAAGTAAGTCAGGTCCTGAATGTCGCCGTCTGGAGAAGGCAATGGCAAGAATGAATCGGGATTGTGCTTGTTTTTCTGAAAAGTCTTTAACTCATACTTCATGTATACCTGTCAAAAAAATATGCAGTAAAATATATTTTTAAATGATAATGTTGAATTTTTTTAAAGGTTATGTTTTAATTTATTGTAAAATAATATAATTGTTGTCTTGATTTTATGGGCACTTATAACATGTACTAACCGTTGATCTGGATGTCTTTAATAGTTGCTTTCCTTAAATTTGTGAACTATATTCAGATCACAAATTGTGTGTTCAAGTCATAGGTTTGTTCTTTCAACTTTATGAATGTCCGACGCCTGCTGGTGTTGCTGCAACAATAGAGTGGCCTAGATCATCAAAGTTCCACTGATGTTCACTTTCAGTGGTATCTGAACTCTACAAAGGAATACAGAAGCAAATGTTTATTTATAACACATACAAAAATTCCGAGTTACTAATTAAAATTCATCGAAATTTATTTATAGCATAGTTGTCATGTACTGTGAACTACTTTCTTATATTGGTAAAAGGTGAAAAAGTACAGTCAAACTTGTTTTAAGCTTTGGGAAGTCCAGAAACTAGCCACTTAAGACAGGTGGCCTCTTATTCCAGTTTGCCCAAGAAGTAGCCAGTCGGTCAATAAATAAACAGCAATAACCACTACAGTTGATTTAATTAAACATGTCAATTTCACAAAACCTTTGTATGTGTGTATACATATATTTATCCATGCTTATTTAAAAAGAATTCCAAATTTTTAAGGTTTTGTGCATGTTTCTGTTCCTACAAAACAGTTAAACTTCATACATTCATAAGTGTTCTTTTGTTACATTCAAATATATGATAATTGAATTACAGTATCATTCAAGAAGAAATACATGTGCCTTACTACTATCTATTTTTTTAATAAGAAAAAATACACAAGCTTTAATTAAAAGACAGTTTAATGGTGAATTAAATAAAGTATAAAAATTTATTTCAGTAAGTGTCAATAAAATCCATTCAAAAAACTTCACTATCACATGTTCAGGTAATGATCAGCAGTGTAACCCCCCCCCCCCTTTAATTAATCCTCGATCAACTAGTTTGCTGAAGTTTTTAAAGTCTGGTAAATTTTTCATATTATTTTTATAAAGCTGTCAGAATTTCTATCTAACATACAGACACACACAAAAAATTATTCAATTGACCAAAGATTTGTATTTACGCAGTTTAAAATCATTCTACTACAACACAGGTGTTTGTGCAGTAGAGCGTAACTAATCCCTATCGATCGTCTCCTGGGGCTCGTTTCTCAAAAAGTCGTAGATTTGTGCCTAAGTTAGTCCGACTAAAAAAGTTACGCCAAAATTTAGACGGGCCTAAATCGCATTTCAGAAAGCGGCGTAAGACTGGGTCTAAGACTAAGACCTCTCCGCTAGGTACTAAGCATGCGCAGATCGCATTTTATTTGGTTTAGAGACTACAATGACATGTGGCGGATCAAATTAATATAAAACTTGAACCTAAATAAAGGGTGTAAAGCACAGGAAGCACGAGCACACTTGCATGTTTTCCCTTTTCACCGTCTTTCAAACAGATCTATTACGCAAACCCATCTGTATTATCAAGTTCAAAACATTAATATACATGTAGTAGCGGATTCAGAAATCTTGAAAAAGGGGGCAGATTGAGGTCGGGTTAGGCGCCCACAGCCACACTGAACAAAACTGATTCAGTAAATCTTTTATTATAATTTTTGACACAGCCTCCCTCTATACATCCACAAGTTATATTAGATATCTACATTAAAACCAAATGATGTACATCCTACATGTACTTGCGAAAAAAAGTACTTGCAATTAAAAATAATTATCCTATGACAGTGTATGTGTAAAAGCCATATATGGCTAGGGGCTGGTGGAACAGGCTCGTAGCAAAAATTTTGAAAGTCTGGGAAGGGGAGGGGGGCAACCAGTATCTGAAGGAATTTTTTCTGTATTTAAAATACTTAAAACGCAGATAGAGAGTGAAAGGACAGAGCCCCCGACCAACAGGCGTACTGTGAAAAATTTATCAGTTATGAAATCGTAATTATCATAAGGAGAATTATTAAAACATGGATAAGAGATTTTTTTTTAAATAATCAGTTGTCTTAAAGACTATATATGGTTTTCCTTGGCTCCAGTTTTTGTTAAAATTTAGACGTCAATGAACCTCAATGAAATTTATGTTTTTTGAAAGGATAAAATTTATATATTTCTTTTATCTTTATATTGATATATTGATTTAAGTAATATGCAGAGAATTAAAGGTTTTTAGTGCCTTAGTTTTAAACAAGACTTCAAAAAATGACAATTTTGACATAGTAAGCGATGATTTTATATACGTGCGACGCCTTAAGAAATTTACACATGTAAAACATTTTCTGAATGGCGGCTTAAAAGTCTAAAATGGCCCATACCATATATAATTCTTTATAATTTCAATCAATTTATTCAATATGAATAGACATACATTGGCAATCAAGGTGATACTTGTACCTGCATTTATGATACATGTATTACACATTTTGGACATAGTTTTACATTGATATCGTCATGAGAATTTACATAGGCCATGTAGAAATACATATGCATATACACCATTTGCATTATAACACACGCATTCTCAATTTTAATGGAAATATTTTAGAAATCTATAATAGTTACTAGATTTATTGTCTGTAATATGGTTCACAAGAATTCGATTTAAAACTATTAAGCTTTTGCAAGTCATTAAGAAAAAACGATTAACTCATCTACTAGGGCTGGGCAATAATATCGATATTTCAATATATTGCAATACATCGACAAAAAAATATCGTATCGCAATACGATTTTGTAATATCGATATATTGGCAATATGCTTAGATTATGGAATTTTGTCATTAAATATAAAAATGAACTTATGAAAGGTTTGTTATTAAGCCAAACAGTAAGACATAAGTTGTTTTGTGGGAACATTTCAGAGCATAACCTAAATGAAATCAACAAGATTTTTTTTCGGTGTTGGTTACTTATCATGGTTATGTACATTCTGCATGTAAATTAAAGTAAATATAGTAAGAAAATATCATTAAAATTACATTGAAAATATTGCAATACATATCGCAATACAGTTAAAAATATCGCAATATATCGCAATACGAAATCTCAGGCCAATACCCAGCCCTACCATCTACACTTCTCGACAATGAACGGTCTTATGAACAGAATACTTTCAGTATAATACTCGAACATTTTACAAATTCAAATTTTTCTGTTTTATTAGTATTATATTTAAAGACATGCAATCAAAGGGGAAAATTAAAGAAGCATTGACTTGATTGATGGCATAGTTACCGAATACAATGTATTTCTTATTATCTAAAATATATTTTTAAAAATTAATATTGTTTGAGGATTTATTGAAACATTATACATTTCAAAACAAAAAAATATCCGGAACCTGGGGGGGGGGGATAAGTAATTGAGTGACCAAAATATTCAGCCGAGAAGAGAAATGCTGAAAGTGGGAATCAGCCCATAAATTATTCACCTTTTTAAAACAGAAAACGCATTATTGCAATAAAAAAACGGGAGGGTTGCAGCCCCCCCCCCACCGACAACGCGTGCCTACATTAAAAAAATAATAAAATCTGGCACTTCTTAAACTCCTACCCAACTAGAATTCGAAATTCTTAATTACAAATTTCTAGTTCATCCCACCTTTCGTGAAAAAAAAATCGATGGATTTTACTACCTGTCTACATAATGTTTTATGTTGTTTATTTATTTTCATGATTTTTCGCATATGATATAATTATGTGCATGTATATGAATAGGTATTATATCGCATATGTATAAAATGATATTTTTTTTAACTCTTTATGCTTAAAACACTTGTCCTTTTCACAAGTTGTGTACAGACTAAGAACTTACGCCTACTCATGAGCAGGCCTAGATTTAAACCAAAATTTAGTCTCGACTAAGTCTCCGCCTTTTTGTGAAACGCTACTTAGTCCGACTTCCGGGTTTAGTCACTGATTTAGTCCGGACTAAGCTTACGCTTGGTCGCAGGCCTTTTTGAGAAACGAGCCCCTGATAGTGAAATTCACAAGATAATCATGCTATACAAAACATTTGTTTTGACAAGAGTTGCAATTAGAGCTTCTACACGGAATCAAAATCTAACAGGTGTGAAAATACTGATAGCCCTGTATTAGCTAAGTCACATACTCTCACTGTAAATATTCAAAGTAATGATGAATTAAATTAATGTTGTAAATTACAAAATGTAGCTTTAAGCTTGAATATCATTAAGTTTAGCTATTGAAAAACTATTAATTGTGATTTAATTCTTTTAAATTTTCAATCGTCGACCTTGAAAAATAAGTACAAATTGATCTTACAGGACAATAATATTTTTTTCATTAACACAAACAGAGTTATATATACGTATCTAAAGGTAATTTGTTTAATTTCTTTAATAGGTGAATTTTATTATCGGGCACATAATTACACAAGCGAATGTGTAAAAAATGTGACATATTGGGTATTTTAACAACTGATTAAAATGTCCTGCACTCATTTATAAACATTGATTGTCATTTATCAAATTGATATACCACTAAATTTTACAACCTAATTATACAACCCCATGTTGATTCCTACGAAGCCTACTTGCTGTGAAAATTTATTGCAGTGACATTGTTAGTTCCATTTTTCCATTCTGATTTTCTCTCTATAGATTAAGGTACGATTACAAGTACATATAAACAAATGTGTGAAGAGTAGATAAACAATTGGTACGTATCTAGAATGAATTCAAAGAGAGAGAGAGAGAGAGAGAGAGAGCAATTATACTATGAAACAGGATAAAATTAAAGCCAAAAATATTCAATTTGAAAAAATTTAAACACAGAAGATTTAAAAATTAATCGGGAGGGGCGGAAGAGGGGTGAAAAATCCAGAGATTTTGTCTCCCGTCGGAAGAATAACATGTATTTATGTTATGAGATATCTGCATGTATTTACCATAGGTATAGAGAAAATTCGAATTAAGAAAAAAACACGATCGTTTTTGGAAGTACATAAGCCAAGTAGTACTCCAACACGGATTAAATTATGGAGATTTATTGACAGTTGGAGCATATTATATGGAAAATTTAAATGGTTTGGATTTTTATAGCAAAACACGAGTGAAAATACGTACCAGGTGTGCTTTGGATGTATTGCATGTGTATTCATAAATAATATTATCTTTTTTTACTGGCCAACGGGGCGACCTACTTGCAGAAAACCACTAGCCCGACCCCCGGGTATCGGTCGATTTTCGTTGCAGACCTCTGATTAAAAAAAGAACTATCAGTGCATTCATTATTATTTTTTTTCTACAAAAGCCCGTTTTCAATAGGTATGTGTTTATGTGGACTAGGGCCTACAGATTTCCTTTCCTTGACTTTAAATAAATTCTACAACTGCATAATGTACGTATGAAGCATGTCAAACAACTTACAAAGCTTTTTTTCAATGTGGTGCAACAAAATAGTAAGACTTACTGCATTTGCTTTTTGTGTTTCCGAATTTCCTCACTGCTAATACAAAGTGTCCAAACACAGCTACTTCCGTATTCTGCGCATGCGCAGTTAGTTTTAAATATATGCGCATGCTCAGGTATTCGGAACTCCTGGATTCAATTACCGAACTCCTCTAAACAGCAGATTTCTGAATGTCTGAGCGTTTTGGGCTAAGGACATGTCCAAAATTTGGACAAAGTCTTTGTGAGGTTTAATCTAATTTTAGGTTTTTCGACCTCATAGAGTAATTTTGAACGTAAATAGACCTCTTCATTATGGGGTTAATCCCACAGTACCAAAAAAACCCCACACTGCTGGAAAATACGTTCATTTTACCCCACAATGTACCTCTCGTAAGAACAGACGGAGTCTGTCCGTCCGTCCGTCTGTAAACTTTTCACATTTTCGACTTCTCAAGAACCACTGGGCCAATTTTGACCAAACTTGGTACAAAGCATCCTTGGGTGAAGGGGAATTTAAATTGTTAAAATGAAGGGACATATCCCCTCGCAAGGTGAGATAATCAAGAAAAGACAAAAATAGGGTTGGGTCATTAAAAAATCTTCTTCTCAAGAACCACTGGGCCAGTAAAGCTGAAACTTATGTGGAAGCATCCTGGGGTAGTGTAGATTTTAAATTGTTCAAATCATGACCCCCAGGGGAAGGGTGGGGCCACAATGGGGAATCAAAGTTTTATATAGAAATATATAGGAAAAATCTTTGAAAATCTTCTCAAGAACCACTGGTCCAGTAAAGCTGAAACTTATGTGGAAGCATCCTGCTATAGTGTAGATTCTAAATTGTTCACATCATGACCCCCAGGGGAAGGGCAGGGCCACAATGGGAATCAAAGTTTTATATAGAAATATAGAGAAAAAATCTTTGAAAATCTTCTTCTCAAGAACCACTGTGCCAGAAAAGCTGAAACTTGTGTGGAAGCATCCTGGTATAGTGTAGATTCTAAATTGTTCAAATCATGACCCCCGGGGGAAGGGTGGGGCCACAATGGGGTATTAAAGTTTTACATAGAAAGATATAGGAAAAATCTTTGAAAATCTTCTTCTCAAGAACCACTTGGCCAGAAAAGCTGAAACTTATGTGGAAGCATCCTGGTATAATGTAGATTCTAAATTGTTCAAATCATGACCCCTGGGGGAAGGGTGGGGCCACAATGGGGAATCAAAGTTTTCTATAAAAATATATAGGAAAAATCTTTGAAAATCTTCTTCTCAAGAACCACTGGGCCAGAAAAAGTTAAGCTTATGTGGAAACATTCTGGGGTAGTGTAAATTCTAAATTGTAGGAATCATGACCCCCGGGGGAAGGGTGGGGCCATTATAGGGAATCAAAGTTTTACATAGAAATATATAGGAAAAATCTTTGAAAATCTTCTTCTCAGGAACCACTGGGCCAAAAAAGCTGAAACATATGTGCCCATGGAAGGATCATGGGGTAGTGTAGATTTCAAAATGTCTAAATTATGATCAGTGGGGTAGGGTTGGGATGCATTATGTATAACAAGGGGGAAATCTGGTAAAGAACAGAATGGTCAAAGCTTCTCAGGTGAGCAATGTGGCCCATGGGCCTCTTGTTAGGGGATTTAACCACATTATCTACATTTGTCCATTACTTCAATGAATAAGCATTATAATAATATACATGTATATTGCATGTGCAATAAATCAAGGGCAAATTGATTAGAATTTTGATATTAGGGGTTTTTAACAACATGGACTTCCACATGACCTTTTGTGGTTTTGTCACCAATAAGAAAAAATAATTTTGAAAAATCATTGGTCCAAGTGTCCCCCAACTAGAACAAAAAAGTATTTACAACCATCGTGGTCTTTCCCTTTTAAAATTGAATATGCGTAACAACTTATTTCTGACTGTTTTGTAGATGATATTTTTGCCACCACACCTAGCAAACCAAAAGCAAAGAAGGAGAAGAAGACAGAAGCCCCCAAGAAGACTGCTACAGATGTTACAGATATATTTGATGATCCACTAAGTTGACATCCTGTGATTTAATACCCTAGAAATGTTATAAAATTGTATCAGAAAGGTGCTACTGTAACAATGGCAGGCAGTAACAATACCATACTAAGAGATTCTTACTTGTTATGAACAAAAGACAGACTTATTAAAATTCTATATTGATGCTATGGTTGTTAATTTCAGTTCTTGTATAACTGATAGTTAAGTTTTAAAAATATATTTATGAATATTCTACGACTTTGTTGGAGTTTTTATGAAAATTTGAAAAATCCTATATTTCCTAGAGGGGTGAGGTTCTTTTTTTTAGCAATGAGCACAATTTAAATCGAGCTTGCATAGACTATTTTTTTTGTGATGAATACAGCTGCAGTTTTGTTTTCGAGTATAAGACGTCTATTGTTTATGCTTGTATCACTGGGAGAGATATACATGACTATTTGGGCCAGCATTTTTTTATTTTTAGGTTTACGAACATCAGAATGAAAAAGTCCCGTAGGAGGAGGAAATAAAAAAAAAAATAAAATTATATTTTGGATACATTATCGACCATTCTACATTAATTTTTGCTTCTTTTTTATGCTCTCCTAACAGGCTTCTTGCCACTGGACGCATAAGGGTTACAAAGGGGAAAATACAACTTTAATTCTTTATTTCATCATCTACCTGTTGGGGGCAGTGATATAAATCTTTTGATGTTGGACAAAATACAGATTTTTTAAAAAAAAAATCATTCTTTTAAATCTCTTTTAATGTATCTTCATTTTTGTTTTTAATGTGTGTTAGGTAGAAATTATTCTAAAATATTAATATACTTGAGACCTTTAAAAGTAATAATTCCTTTCATAAAACAGACAGGGAGTATTCCCAAGGAGTATTGAGGAGTAGAGTGGAATTTTTTTCAATTAAGTGTAAAATAATTTTTCTGGCTGCCATAAACGATACTACATGCCTGTATATATTTGTATATTCTTGTTTTTAAATAGTTGAAATATTTCATTTCTTTAGGCTATTCTTTATTTCTTCCTCAAATGGACTTAACTTCTCCCATAGTTTTATTCATTACATCTGATGCATAAGCGACCTTTTTCTGAAGAATGATGCTAAGACTGTAAGCTATGACAGAAACCTAAACAATGTCTCTGACAATAGCTACCATGGGCAGTTTTAAACCTGTGGGAGGAAAATAATTTACAATTACAGACAGTTACTTTTGAATACGGATACATAATTATCTCACCAACATGTCACTTTGCAACAAAGTCGTCAGCATTTTATTGTTCTCTGAACGGGTGAAACGTTTTGAATGGCCCTCCTATCGATAAATATTTACATTAAACCAAGCTTTAGTGCTGCTATGGACTTGACACAAATCTCCCTTCATTGATTACCCGCCATGTTTAAAACCGGAAGTACGAGTTCGTAAATTTGAATTCTCGATCCCGACTCAAATTTGACATCGGAAAGAAAAAATTCTGTTTTTCTCAATTTTATTTTTTTTCTGAAAATTCAAAAACTTGAGCGGCGGGTTTGTAAACCTAAAAATAAAAAAATGCTGGCCTTGGTTTGACTTGTCTGGCTATCATAGAAACGATCATGACTCAAGACCTTGACTAGATCAGATATCTCAAGGTCTTGAAGAATGTGAATGCCATAATCTAAACTCACTTGAATCTCAGTTATTTGGCACTGCAGTGAGATACTCAGGTTGTGAAATGGTATCTTTACTCTATAGAAATTTTAATTTGAATGAAGACAGATTCTAGTCCAGTTGAGCTCTGTTAATCTGGATGCTTGCAAAGGATCCAAATGATATAAGCTTCCAGAAAACAGAAGGATACTTTTATGATTGGTATGGGGTATTTGTAAATTAAGGTTTTATCCTCATATATTTTGTCTGCTAAAAGGTGCATCCAAATTATTGAAAAAGATAACTTACTGTAATATGTTGTTGCTGCTGATTCAAAGTTATGTGATTATCTGGCATCATATACAAGATAAGAGTTACTGGGCAGAGAGAAACACATATAACGAGATGTGTTTGTGAAACACTATGTGCCCGGCGACAACACATGCAAAGTTAAAAAAACATATTTTTAGCATATAGGTCAGTCAAGGTCACAAGGTCATTGATCTTGGTGTCATTTGAAAGGGCTTAATTAGTGGAGTATACCTGCCAAATATTAAGTCTCTTATCTTACTTCATTCAAAAGTTATGGCGAAGGTTAAAGTTTCTTGACAAAAAAAGCTATATTTAGCATATAGGTCACAGTCAAGGTCACAAGGTTATTGACCATGGTGTCATTTAAAAAAGCATAATCAGTGGTGTATGCATACCAAATACGAAGTCTCTATCTTTTATGCTTCAAAAGTTATGGCAAAGCTTAAAGTTTGCAGAAAAAACTATTTTTAGCATATAGGTCACAGTCAAGGTCACAGTCATTGACTTGGTGTCATTTGAAAGAGCTTAATAGCCAGTTTCGAGATTGTAACTCTCCTGCAATAAAGGCGCAAAAAGTATCCATTTCAGCATTGAGGTGGGACACTTTGCTTATGTATACAAACGTGCATAAATAAATGAACGATTTCTATGGCTTTTAAAATTTATTTAATGTTATAGAAAGATAAAGATGTTAATCAGTGATGCATTTTATGATTTGGTCAAGCTCAACTGTGTATATTTATGAATCTACTTTCAATTATCGGGTACTTAAAAACGAAATAAACGTCGTGGTCTTCATAAAAGTAAAAGATTTTCTTGATTGTACAAACATTCCCTAAAAAGTTAGTGGGTTTTTTAAAGTTATAATAAGGTAAAAAATCAATGTGTCATTTAGATTTCCGACATGTAATGATCAGCTTTATGTTTACCGTATTTATTAGAGGTCCATATATCTCTTTCCTCGTCTGAAAAGTCTCACATGCACTGAATTTTCTTTTTTGTTCCGAATTTTTTTGCTTTAAAAAATGACACCTTTACTATAATTCGGTTGTTCTTGAGTTGAACAGTGCATCCTTACAAGTATATAGTAGATAAACCAGTATATCGTATGGAAGGGAATTACCGCCAAAAGTCTATGTATCTTGCTTTTATTCTTATTCTGCCTACTTCTTTATGCTTTGTTATTGTTGTAATTATATGTCACTTTATTGTTTTCGTATTCGTCTTTATTACATTACACTTGAGCTTTTATTGTTCTTTATATTGTCCTTACTTCTATGTTGCTTTATTCTTGTGGATACATTCTACTTTCTTTTAATTTGATACTGTTTTTTAAATAAACTATCTCTATTATCTCGATTACGAACGTAAATTCAATCATGTAAACAATGCCGCCTAGCGTTATAATGCGGCACTAAATTCAATGAAGACGAATGTAAGTTGTCCGAATTTAGTGCCGCATTATAACGCTAGGTGGCAGGGTGTTCGCTATACGAGTGTTGGTAAAAATAGGTAAGCAAACCCGGACCGGGGTTATTAAAGATTTTTCAATTTTCTGCCTTAATACTTTATCAATCGAACTTAAATTTTCAAATGATGTTTGTTATAAGTTCAGGTATGTACCCGATAATGCCATTCCCTCGGAAGATGGCAAGATTTCCCCTGGAAGACTGACTACATAGTGATGCTTCCTTCGGAAGACTATTCAGTGAGACTTCCCCCGGGGAGTTTCAATATATAGCTAGTCTTCGGTGGGAAATCTAGCTGTATATAGCAATTCGTCCCCCTTCATAGCAACCCCTCCCCCGAATATTTTTTTAAATTGTAAAACAATGTTTATATGTTAACGTTTTCAATTTTATAAGAAAAGTTATACGTCCTACATAAATAAATGTTTAAATGAAACCATTTTAATAGTGGTTAATGAGCTTAAGGTCTTACGCAAGGAAATAGCCAATCAAAATGAACTTAGTTTAATAATTTAATCATTTTAACCATTTAGTTTAACATAGATAACCTTCACGAGTACAAATGGATAATGAATTCCGCCCCCGCCCCCCCCCCCCCGGATGCCCCTCCACTCGGGTGCAATCGCCCGCGTGGCACTGTGGTTACGGCGTCTGCTCTCTGGTCACGAAACACAGTAGTAAGGAGTCAATCAATACGTCGTGGGTTCGAATCCCACTATGGGACGTGGAGTTCGGTCCTTCGGATGAGATCGAGAGCGTATTATCCGAGGTCCCGTATCGCAGTAGGTGCTGGCCCGATAAAAGATCCCCCACTGCCCAATGGCTATAAGCGCCGAGTATATAGGACAAATTTGCAGCTATCCAACGGCAAGAGGTGGCTTCTCCATTTGAGTTAAAAATTCTCAAATTTAAAGGGACGTTATACAATCATACCCCCAAGTCTCAATATATATACTGACTTCCGTCTGTACGACATCCTATGGGGTAAGTTTCACCGGTAGAGGGGAGGATGCCACGAAACATTTTCCTAAACGTAACATACTTTTTACTACTGGAAAAGTTCAGCGAAAGGCTTGTTGCCCCCATCCCTTACACTTTTTGTTGCAGTACTAATCACATGCTAATACAATGTAGTCAATTCATATATTAAAGTAGTTAAATGTACTTAGTGGCATATGTACATATGAGTTATATTTGGTACTGAAAAAAAGTTGACAACCCCCCCCCCCCCCACCACCAAATATAGAATTTTCAAGTTTTAAGATATTTTAACTCTCCTGAGTCCTGGCTGATGTATAATACGGTGCGTACTAAAAAATATTTCTTTTCTTTATTAAAAAGTGCTATTTCAATATAAAATATTAATGTATGAAAAAAGACTGGGGAGTTTCTAGTATGCCTAAGGTGTTGCCTTGTTCCAACTTTGCCTACCAATAACACTCCTCACTCCTTTGCAAAGCCCCGTCCCTAGAATCACACGCATGAGCAATTACTATCTGTCGTGAAATAAAGTTCAGTTCAGTGGAACCAGTGACGGATTTAAGGAGGGGGTGCATCCGGCGCCCCCACCCCCTAAAATTGTCAAAGTTAACATAAATCACAGTTTCGTCTAGAAAATGTAAATATGCCTACTTGGTAGACCTCATTTTTACCCTACAAAATATCTAGAACCCAGGAGCTTCCGGGGGTTCGCCCCCTGAGCCCCCACCAGGGCTTTGGCCCTTGACCTACTGGGAGCCTCAAGGCGGCCTCCAGACCCCTTGCCTTCTTTTGGCGCCCCTCTAACTTCAATTCCTAGATCCAAGCCTGGGAATGTCCTGAAAAACAACTCAATTTATAAATTTATAAAGGGGCATCTAGTATCAAAATATTTAACATTTTTATGTCAATTAAACTGTTTAACGGGAATTCAATTATCCAACAAATAACTTTAGTAGAGTGATATTTTTTCAGGCGAGAGAACTGTGACGTCGCATCGGTTTTGAAAATTCAAGCTATCCGCTGAAAACAACTTGACAAGCAAAAAAAAAAAAAAAACAAACAAAAAAACAAAAAACAAAAAAACCAAGGAAATTGTCCAAACTTGAAAATACATAGGCGTCGATCGGAACCGCAGAGAGGGGGGCCCCCACTTTTTCCCAAATTTTGACTTTTTTTTGAAATTTAACATTACTGCGTAGGTTTAGCCCCCCCCCCCCCCCCCACACACACTTTCCATGGACTCGATGCAGCATAGGTTTTAAATGTGGAAAGTGGTGGTGTTTTGAAAAAAAGAAATTGGCACTGAAATTTGAACCCCCCCACCACACACGATATAGGATTTTTGTGTGTGGACAGTGGACATTTCTCTCTCTCTTTTTTTTTTTTTTTTGCTTGTCAAGTTTTTTTTTTTTTTTTTTAAGGTCTAAAAAATATTTCTTACGCTTAACCCCCTCCCGCCCCAACTTTCACTTTGCTTCCGATGCCAATGAAATCATATTAAGGGGGCGGGTGGGTTTTGGGTTAGATTCAACTTCTGCTATAGTATCAAATTTAAATGTTATCCCTACCATACTACATTAACCTTATTTGACCCTTACCCTTACAAAAAGTGGGTCGGCCTTTCAATGAGCATATTCAGTAAAGTACCGGTATATAAAGTTATGTTTAAAAAAAGAGGCCGCTATCCCAGAGGAAATAAATATGGAGTTTCCATCATTGGATCGGGTGATCGGATTCGGCCTTCAGATGTTCGATTGATAAAGTATTAAGGCAGAAAATTGAAAAATCTTAATAACCCCGGCCCGGGTTTGCTTACCTAGTTTTACCATCACTCGTAGCGAACACCCCTGCCACCTAGCGTTATAATGCGGCACTAAATTTTGACAACTTGTATTCGTCTTCATTGAATATGCTTCATTCTTTGTGTGATTGAATTCACGTTCGTAATTGAGATAATCATTTAAGAAACTGTATCAATTTAAAAGAAAGTAAAATGAATTAACAAGAATAAAGCAACATAGAAGTAAGGGCAAAATGAAGAAGGATAAAAGTCAAAGTGAAATGCAATGAAGACGAATATGAAAACAATAAAGTGACATATAATTATAATAATAACAAAGCATAAAGAAGTAGGCAGAATAAGAATAAAAGCAAGATACATAGACTTTTGGCGGTAATTCCCTTCCATAATATCGATGATGCGATATATCCAATAATAAATATCTGTCCCACCTGTTTGTTTACGCGACAACCAAACTCCCCTCCACAACGAAAGAGCGCATCCAAGGGAGATAATCTCGAAACTTGCGTATTAGTGGAGTATGCATAACAAATATTCAGTCTCAATCATTCATGGTTCAAAAGTTATGGCAAAGGTTAAAGTCTGCAGACAAACAGCTAGACAGACAGACAGGACAAAAACAATATACGCCTCGGACCTTTCGATCCAAGCGCATGAAAATGATATGTTTGCCATTGTCTTAAAGTCCTCTCCCAGAATAATGTAAGCTTAATTATATTCTGTTTCTGATTTCCAATTTCAAAGTCATATCAAAGGTCAACATCAGCCACATGATATGTAAATTATCACCTTTTTATCAACTGTCTGACAGAGTATTCAACCGAATGAAAAGAATTACACAAAATGAGTTGAAATAGTTTATTAAGAATTTGAATATGCGTATGCTTTTGGCTGTGACTCCCTATTACTGACAAATAATACCAGTATATAACTTATGAGTTAACCAAAGCATAATTAAAAGCATGCATTGGAAATAGTGTTTTACATAGTAGAATGTGAACTTTACAAAATTCAAAAATCTATTAAATAAATGTACGACTACATGCCTATTCACCTGAGCATTTTCTTTATAAATTTTTGCACTATTGCACAAACAAAATGCACATTTGTTAGAGATTCTGTATTTTTATAAATATTCGATTCGTTCTTTGGAGCTCAAACAAAGAGAGCTTTACCTACCCATAAAAAAAGTTCACTTGTATGATGTATCTAATGGTTTTGCTTGAAAAGGGAATACTAGTACTCCCCTGACTATGTGCTACTGTAGTAAAATAGACTGAAGCTAGATTCACTCTGAAGCTCAACTTTAATTTACTGTTGAACAAAGCTCCAGTATGCCTGTCTACATATGAAATCAGAACAATTACAAAGTATCAGCATTTCAGATTATTTAGAAAATGCAGTACCACCTGAAAACATTGGCAGTTGCTTGAAATTATTCAAGTCACACTCTCTTTAGTGAAAAAAATATATAAGAAATTATAAGGTATACTGGTAGCTCAGAAAAATACCTTCACCTTGTTCAACATTTCAACAAAAAATACTGTTACAAGTACAATTTCTTTTTCTCATTATTTCAAAACAATTGAAAACATGGCAGATATTTCAACTGCATTTATAACTCACAATTAACATTTGGATTTCTGATTTAGATATAACTTCATATAACTTCATTAATGCTAAAAGCAGAACTAGTATATTGCATTCTGTAAATATTGAATCTTGATAGAGATATTTACGTTGGGACTAAAGGCAAATTTGAAAGGAGGTAGAAAAGTTATAGTCTTTCATAATCATTTGGAAATTCTTACCTCCATATCATATAATTACAAGTATGTTACATTGCACTGAGAATGGTTCACACTTTTATACAGAACTGCTGCCTGACTTAATATTGACAGCCTAGACATAAATCAGTTTAATTTGTTACAATGATAGAATTTACTTAATCTGTGTCTTTAAACAAAAAGCTGCACTGAACTGTTCCCATCAAATCTAGAAAATGTGACCAGAGAAATGGAACAAGTCCTTACTTATAAACAGATTTAAAAATATTAAAACTGTAGATATGATTAAATTAATATAATAGGCAGATCAGCTGATAAAATAATTTTGTGAAATGTTTTTAAGCATTGTTAAATTACTGCACTTCAAACCTCATACACATAAATTGTTAACTGGATATTAAATAAAAACATTAATAGGTATTGAAAAGTGTAAACAATTTATACCCGTTTGATTCACAAATGGCGTAAAAATATTAACAGCAATTCAAATCTCAGAGAAAACTATATATTGCATACACATGTACAATATGTGTCTCGTTAGGTGCAAAATAATTACAGTGCAATCAATTAGTCAATCTAAAGTACAAAGTATTTCATGTATTAAATACAAATTCAAATTCATCTCATCAATAGAATAAGGTTTATACAAAGTCAAAATTTAGTTAGAATAATCAATAAAGTCTTAAGTGCCTTGAATCAAATATATTAATCCACAAGCAGATTGAACACACAATTTCTTTGGCTTATATTACATTATACATGCACAGCAAGAAAAGAAAATGGCAATGATGTAAGTAATGCCTGAGCAATGTTAATATCCAGCCAACAGCTGATACTGGTTTTATTAATGGTACAAGAAATAATATTTTGTGTATAATCTTCAATCATCATTCTCCTTTAAAGGACGCACTGTAGATATCTTATTGTGTATGAATAAGAGAAATGCAATCTTATTCTTTAAATCTATAACTCTAGTACAGAATAATGAGAGGTATATTACATGTATGTATGGTAACTACAGGTACTTTATCCCAAGGTAAAAAGTTGGATTTTATATCAAGTGATACACTATACATTAATGGTGACATCTTTTTTGTATCAATAAATTCAAGCATCAGTTGTCACAAACAATATTTCCTTCTCAGGAAGTAAGGCATTTGCAATTTCTCATTCATATTCTATTGAAACTGCCAATTCATATTATAAGGAATCCAGTCTAAACAAATGTAATGTATTCTTGGGAATATTAAATACAAAGATAAATTGGAGCTGAATTGAATTCCAGATAAATACGTTTTAAAACTGATGTTGGCTCTATGCTTTTATGGCAAAGATTTTTAAGAATTCTTGATGGAAAATGGAAATTTAATTATTTTTATCTACTTACATACATGTATGTAGAGAACACATGTCTGTAAATATCTTGTACATGCATCTGAGTATGATATATTTTGTAAAACTTTTTGAAGGCATGCATTGTTCAGATTTTTCCTAAGGATTCAAATAATTTAATGCTATAAATTTGATATCCATGTTCATACTATATGAGTCTTAATGTTTCATGATTAACATTAAATTTAATGTATATAGCAGCTCAATTGCCTTACTAAAATATTTCATAAATTTCTAAAAATTATTCTATCCTTATGAAAGAACAGATATGTCTCCAAATCTTCAGTCCTGAATCTTAAGATTATAGGTAACTATCTACTATGTAATGAAATGCAGAATTATAAAATATTTGCCATAACTCATTTCAAATGATCAATCACTCTAATTAAGACAAATTCCTGCCTTTCAAAAATCTCTTGTGCAATATTACCAATCTCATATGAACATCAAAATGGAATGTTCCCATTTCTCATATGTCATCTCAGATGACTGTGCATTTTGGAAATGCACTCCATTAGTGGGCCAAAAAATTATATACATGTATATATACATATATCTATATACAAAATTCATACAGCTGACTTTTGTTAACATTGAAATACATGGAATATCTAAATGCACTGGGAATGAGACAAAATCACAATATTATAACGAGATTAACAATGACAAGTTTTATCAACAGTAAACATTCTCGTAACAATCATAAAACACTGTTCTAAGATCTAAGACAAGGTATTAGGTTTTCAAAACCTCAACCATTATGAAAAGGCTGATCACTGAATCCCAACAGCTGTACCTGTTAATTTTGACAACAAAATAGCACTATCTCAAAATACTTTTGTTTTTAATTGCACTTTTAAGGTGTGATAACTTTCGTTATTACATGATTTATTATTCAAAGACAGCAAGGTTTTATAAAAAAAATGTATTTCACAAAAAAATTCAGCAATGGAAGCATTTTAACACTCCCTAAGAAATTGAAAAAAAAATGGACCCACAAACTGTATAATGTACAAATATTAATGAATGTGGGATTGGTGTATATTTGAAATCAAAATGTCAGCAATTAAGTTCTGAAACCCGCAAAAAAGCTATTGCTATATATACATGGCAATATATAAATTACAATTACTGTACTAGACTGAAAGATTAAAATAACACTGGCTTTAAATAGAAATGAGACATAGGATGTGATCTGAGCAACTTTTATGGAGGCCCAACAAAAAAAAGTCAACAAGAGTTTGGGAAGCCCCTTATTTGGTAGACTTTTGGTAAATACTGGCTGACACGGTAACTACCCAGGCTCTGGTCATGTGATCATGCTGACGAACGTTTTGGGGAATACCCCACGTCTTCCCGGTTCTCCATCAATCTCACCCTCCTGTAAAAAAAAACATTGAAAAATCAATACAAAAATACAGTGTTACAATTGTTTACATGTTCAGTAAGAATATTATTCCCTCAACATATTTCAGATCCTCTATAGAGAGTACATCGGTGTGATATATTATACTGTATGCTACCCCCATCCCTCTTCTTTTTTACAATTTGGTAATCTTTTCACTGGAAATTTTTCCCTTCATTTGAACAACTATATATCCTCATCAGTAAAAGAAACATAAATCAAAGTTTGATTTTGGCACTGTAGTTCTATATAAGAATTTGAAATTTTGAAATTTTACAATTTCCAGACACTTGACAGATGGACACCAGTCTTTGATCAGAAAAGATCAGAAAAACTGAACCTTAGACGCACATCTGTTTGATTCTGTTTAATTCTTGAACAATTATGATTAACAATTTAATACATAACCTATAAATTCACTGGACACTTCAGTTTATTGCAGATCACAAAGTCCTGTAAATAAAGTGTGTACTTACCCACCATTCATCCTCCTCTTCCCCCGTTATAACGATTATCTCCCCTTCCCTGAACGTTAGCTCGTCATCATTATCAGCGTCACAGTCGTATATTGCTTGACACTTCTGTCCTATCGGCAGCTTCTTCTGTGGATACATCAATATCATTTACTTATAAACAAAAAATATCAGGTAAAATGAAAGTTACTTTTCTATTTTCCATTCTCCATCTAGCTCTAAAAGAAACTGATCTTCCTTTCTTGGTAAGACAAATAAAATGTACAAGGAAGATGTGCAACAAGATTTATGTCCATTTTTTGAAGTCTGCCAATCTAACAGTGTGGAAAAAAGGATTCAGAATAAAGTGAGTCTTGTATCAGCTAATATTATGGGCAAGACAGAAAGTTGGAAGTGGTAACCTTTAATTCATACATTCTTAACACTGATCAATAATCACCTTCAGTCTCGGAGCTGGTAATGGTGGAGTTTCGTTTTCAGTTGTTGGGGAGTTAGGCTGTGCAGGACTACCATCTGAATAAAAGTCAATGTCTGACATGTTATGTTTTCTTGGGTTCAAACTCAAAGTGATAAATTTACTTCAAAAACATTTTTCATCATAAGATGGAAAATTTAAGCAAAATTTTTCTAGATTTATTGATGTATGAAAATCAGATATGAATTCTATTTTATTTAGTGTAAAATCATTTCATACAGCTTAACTTTGGTGAAATCTACCATGGTTATATCAAAGTGATTGGAAGTCTTAAGCTCTTTTTCTGTATATTACTCTTAATATCTCAAACTCTATGATATCTCAATTTTTTTTATCTTGTTCCTATCAAGTTCTAAACATTGAGGTTTGACTGTAGTTGGGGTCAATGTTTTTGTAAAAATTTATATATACAGAAGATGACATTAACCTGTTAATCATAGACATCATTCGTGGGGGTGTACATTCATGAATAAAAAAATCCACGAATTTCACAACATTCTTCCCCTTGAAAAGTTCACTAATTATAAGTACAGGAACTTACCAGCTGAGCCAGATCCAGATGATCCAATTCTGGGTCGGCTTGACCTACAATAATATTTAAAAAAAATCAATTTTATATGTTTTTTGTTGTTGTTTTACTAAAAATTTCCTTATAAAAATCTTACAACATATAAGTGTTAGAGCACAGTTTTCACTTAGCTTTACCCAATAAAATTCATTTATTGGAGTGACTACTGTGTTTTAATGAAAACAGAAGAATTTTCTGCTTGTAAATTAAAACTTAAGTTCTTAAATAGATTTCCTTTAGGAGTCCACTAACCTGTTGCTACTGACTGATTCTGCTGACGTACGATTTCCAGTGAAGTGAATGGTATTCCTGACGTCTGGTGGTGCCGGTCTTGGGGGTGGATCCGAGGGACTTCTTCTATGGGAAAACCCAATACCACTCCCCTCGGACCTGCAACATTTGATAATTATAAAAGTGTACATTACGTAAGGGTTAATGTACGAGTAGCGCTCCATTTCGGGGCTGAGGCCCATTACTTTTAAGGAATGGAGTGCTACGGGTATATTAACCTGTGTAAAATCCACCTCTCTGAATGCTTGTTTTTATTGTTCGTTAATATAAAATAAAGAATATCTATATGATACACTGTAAATGGACATTATATATTTAGTAGTATTTTTTATATACTATAGAAAGAAAGACGAAAAAAGTGTACTTAAGTTATTCTAATCCTGTGTTTCACAACAGCTTCATTAGCTCAGTGAAATGAGTACCCGACTTCAAAGCGGAGGATACTGGGTTCAATTCTTACCATGGCCAATAAAATTTTCATAATGTGACAATCGATTCTAAAATTTTCTTAAAAACTCTTCTCAAAATTTTCTAAGTTCTTTCCTCGGTAGAGGCACGGAAAGGAGAATAAGAACAAAAGAAATTCCGTTATCAATGAAATTTGCAACTCTCCATTCCTGAAAAGTAATGGAGCGCTCAAACAAAAGAATGACGTCAAAGGTGGATTTTACTCATGTTATTTATCTGTGAAGACTACTGGAGAGCTGACTCCTGGTGAGAATCATGGACCACTTACTTATTTCTGCTGTGGCCAGGGGCTGTGGTGGGTGGGGGTGGCGGGGGTTTTCTCCTGGGTGGGAGGGGAGGTCCTGGTCCCAGCGGTCCCTGCGCTGCACTAGGATCCCTTGGAAATGAGCCTCCATTTGAAGGTGACTGGTTGTGGTGTACTGTTAAAAAAAATAATTTTTAAATGTTACTACAGAACAACAGACTTCAAATTTTACAAACATATTGCTTGAAAGAAATATAAAATGGCCCTTAAAGCCACTGTCCACATATCTTTGGTCTTTAAACAATAAAATAAGAGATAATTTCGCCATTAGTTGAATAAATTCAAGAGTCTTAGGAAATAAAGCATTTCTTCAAAAAGCTTTACTTGATGCAGACATGCAGAAAAAAACATTCTAAGAAAGGCTTGTACACGACATGCTAAAATAGTTTTCTAATCATTTTTAATTAAAAATAATAACATAAATTAACAAATATGATACATAAAGATTTTTATGAATCATACAAACCTATTATCCTGGTAAGTTTTTATTTTGAGTGATTACTTTTTACATACTCATGCAGCCATTTAATGTAGCCTTATAACAGACCTAACAGGATAATGATTTTCAGCCTCTTAGTATCCTATGTGAGAAATTCTAAAAATAGGTCACAATGACCTACTTTTTTATTGTAACATTCTATGGACCCAAGATGCATCAACTTACAAGGTCTGATGATTCTAAACCTGCCTTAGGCTCACAAGAGTTAAAAATCTTAACAACAGGGAATAATTACATGCTAGTCGATGTACAAATCCCATATTTTTTTATCAATGTATCATCGAATCAATGCATTTGAATATAACATGCTAAATGTTCTGGCAGCCATCTTTTTGAACAGAACATGTTTACATGTTAAAAGTTTGTGCTGTAATGCTACTTCAAATGTTTGTAGTGAACTATTCAACATGAGAATACAGCTTCAGAATGCTGAGTGCTAATTTATCCATCACCAGATATGGAAAAACTCAGTATTTATACATGCAAAAATAGAAGATATGGCAGCAAACAAAAGCTTTCAGAGAATGACAAAGAATGTCAATTCATAAATATAAACATATTCTAAATGTGGATAGTTCCATTGTGGATCTGAAGAAACACTGCCTAAGAGGTGATAATCAACATTTATTCTAGTAAATATCCACAATGACCAAAAAAAAATAAATAATAAAAATACAATATATTCTAGAACAAATAGCACTTAAATATGATGAGAAGAGGAGTACAAAATAATGAATAATGTGTGTTGCAGTATGAATAACTCATGTACGAGTATGCCAGAATACATGTATATATGACATATAATGAGGTTTGGCTTGTCTGAGAAGCGAGGTGTTCCATTCAGCACAGAACAACAGAAGTATCGAGCGAAGTTCTCCATGCTGAATACTCACAAACGCGTAGACTTGCTCTCTGTTTGACGCTCCCAAAAGACGCAGGCTCTGATGAAGACAGGGCAATTTAATGTCCAGACATTAACATTATTCCACTGTAATTTACTGACTTATTTAGTTTCAAAGAAAGAGACCTTATCAGTGGTTAATAATATTAATTGGTGTTTCATCTCTACCCACTGATTTTCCTGTAAGTAGATCTTAAGTGCCAGAGCTGCTTCATGACAAACTCCAAAACATAAATCAAGCCTTCTCACCATACCTTATTATGGGTAATGTATATCCATGTCTTTCTTGTGGAAAGATTCAAGAAGAATTCCATCTATCTCCCAGTGAAAACAAAGTTCTGAAACTTTACCTAACAGTCGACTTCCCATCCCATCAAATGATTTCATTAACATGCAATGTGCATAATTATTGTGATACATTACATGTTATGACTAGTGTCTATTTAATTTATATCTTAAAATGTTGTAATGCTTCAAATGCAAATGAAAAATAATTATGGGTAATATATTTTTAAATTATGCCATCAATTAAGACTGTCAAAACAAGAATATATTAGATAATAGATCATATAACATGTAAATTATGTTCTTTCACAATTCCCTTTACAAACATTGATGTTCTAAACTCATGTACAATATAAAACTCCAATACACTGTAACTAAAACAGCATACACAAGTCCAGTATCAAATAAAAATCCAACACAAATAAATGCAGCAAAATGGGCAGGGTTACTTGTTATATGTCATATATAAGGCCTATATGGGGCCACTTATTACTGAATCTTTGGCGGCGTTTTTTCTTGACCGTTACAATCCAAGGTGGTGGCTTTTTCTGAACAACCTGTATGGGGGTCCCTTCTGCTGAGGAAATCTGATAAATTTCCCCGTAAGATGCCTTCCTTTTTATAACACGACTCAGTCTATTTAAAAACTCCGCTGTAAATTTCAAAGTATTATTAACACTTCAAAGTACAAGTTTCAGATGAATCTAAAGGAGTTAGGTTAAATACAATGTAACTAAAATTCCTCAAGAGTTTGAGTTTTCCCCGGATTTTTACGGGTTTGTTTGGCAGGTTTTAAAATTAGTCTTACCGGATGTAATGATTTTCAGGCAGTCCTATCCTTTTACACGTGGTTTCTATAAAACAACGATATGTTTTCGTATTTTAGATGAATAAATATTAAACTGGGTAAAGCAAAAAATGTACATTGTCAGTTCATGTTTATATATTTATTTTTTATCATACGGCCATCATACTACGCATTCGTTAAATGAAAATGACATTTTACCAGCGTCGCGTGGTACATAGCATTGTGACGTACGTACTTTTTCAAACATGTGCATTCAACGAAATTCTGTAAGTATTTGTCCAACAATAGTCGTCATATTGACAGTGAGGCTGTTTCTGAATTTTCATATTGCGCTAAACTTGGACACTGATATTGAAATAAAAATTAAATTTATAAAAGTGGTTTGTCTTGTATTTCTCAGTGACACTGCGTTTCTAAATTATCGTAATACAGTCAATGATAATTATTTAAATAGCATATAGGCAACATAAGATTAATTATAAATCAATTATCACCTTGCAGTATAAGTGTCACCTGAATAAAAATACCGTTTCACGAGACCCGCGTCTTCTGCTTGGGGCCTTAAATGTCCAGGTAAAGTTGCTAATTATGTAACTTTATATTCACATGGCCACTTCGAGGTATCGAGGGTAAATTTCAATAGAATATGCACAGCGGGACTGCATTTTGACTTCCAAGGGTTTCGAAAAATTAAATTTGCTTTGTTATACAGGGGAAAAATTCGGGACAGGAGACTCACTTCGAGAGATCGAAGTTCGAGCCATCAAGAGTTACCTGTATTTACTTTAGAAATCCACTTTTAAATACAATGAAACTTTAATATCTTGAACTTTTGTGGAAAAATAACCCACTGTTATTGAACTCAAAGTTCATGCCCACAGTTACATTAATTTTCCTAAGCCCATTAGCCACTGACATATGTCACAACAAAGCCTTCAATTCAAATTAATATTGATGTCAGTTACCTGTATTTTGTTAGTAAAAAAAATCAACACCAATATCAAATCTACACCTTTTTACTAGCCATGAAAATTTCTAAGATTATTTTTCAACATTTAAACATGAAGTCCTACTTTTTTTAGCTGGTTGTAGAGAGCTGCTATCGGATCGTCCTCTTGCTTCAGAATTCTCTTTATGAACGGCCAGGGAACCAGCTAACTCTGAGGAGATACCAGCCACCAGACTCTGGGGTCGTGACCCACGCTTCCTCTCTGGAGTGCTGTTCTGAAAACAACACAACAATCACATGACCACTTTGAAATGAATCCTTTTTAAATCATTTTAACACAATCAAAAACAAAACGATCTTAACTTTTCCATAGTATTTTTTTTTTTTAGATTTTTATATACCAAACACCAAAGAAGTCAAGTACAGAAAAAAGAGAAGAAAAGATTTAGACTTTTAAAAGTATAACTATTACTTAATTCTAGGTTTCAGGAAAAAACTTTAAAAATTAGTATTATTTAAAATAATATCTACTACACAATTGTAATACTGATGAACAGTTTAAAAAAACAAACAGAGGAAAAATATAAGTGCATCATCATGCAAATCTATTTTAAATATGAAAACGTTTTCTTGCTGTTAAAACATGGATGCTATTATTTTAATATTATTTATAAAACTGGATGCAAAATACATGTCCTATCTAGCTAATTTATTACAAAAAGCTATGTCACTTTTTTAACCTCTAGGAATAAACATAAACGTTTGTTAGAGCCTGCAGTTGTATTTGCACAGCAGTTTGCTTTTTTTAAAGGCATTGGCACCATAAAATAAGATTTAAGCCCAGGCCAGTGTCGTGAGTAAAGGTCAAGGTCAAGAGAAAAAAAGACAGCGCTAGCCACGATATTAACAGCTCACCTGATCGTTAATTTGTTTATAAGCAGCCCATATCTTATCAATTACAACATACTGAAATAGGACACAAATTACGGTTTTTACATGTAAATGAAATATAATAAATAATTCTTATTTCTATTAGACCACCTTCCTCAAACATTTCATTATGACAAGCCAAGAAGGATTACATGAGTATATATCAGTTTTATAATTAACTTTATAAATTCTTTATATTAAAGCATTATTACATAAAGAGTTACAAGTATGTTTTGAAAAAAAAAATTGTTAATCAATCGTTATAATTTTTATGCAGATGTTATTTTTTTTCAATGATGCAATTTTAATTTGTCAGATTGTAGCATGAGAGAGGAGTGTAAATCTGAAGTCAAATGAGGATCTAATTTTTTTTAACAAAATCTTGATGCATAGTATACAAAGAAATGAAAATAAAATTCAAATAAATATTCAACTTATTTACAAAATTTTGCTGAAATTTAGTTGACCAAAAATCTCCCACTCAAATTAATGAGAAAAACAACAGATATAGGCACAGCAGTTCAAATCCCCATTCTGCAATTTTTTATTGAATTCATTCTCATAGCACCAGGAAACATTCAGAAACCATTGGAAGCACTGATCATATGGCAAACAGCTGATTGTCAGAATTCACTGTATATTTCACCTACCTCTAAATCATCATCACTGTAATCAACATCGTGCTCATGGTCATCCTAGAGAAAGAAAATAAAGTCCGGATAATTAGCTGTCAGTTGATGTTAGGAAGATTTAATCTAAATATACCAACATTTGTTAAACCTCATAAAAAGGTTAAACTTACAATAATACTCCTCTAACTCTGTAATCTCAGTAATATAGAAACATATTTTATCTTAATTTTGATGTTTATGTCATTTTTTGGAAAAAGATGTTGTCCATAAATACTACATTATGCTTTTCTTCTGAATTGCCTTTAAAGAATCTATAGCTGTGTGACCAGACTTACAGCTATCAGATCCCAGTCAATGTTAACATTCTCAAAAAGATCCTTCCGTCCACTTAATGCTGCAGTCAGCTAGAAAAGAAAAATGTATCATTATTCATACATTCTGTCCTCAATGTTTGTCTGTGTAGGTTTTTTCCTACAAATACAAGTTGACATGTTATGTAAAATACTCCCACATCCATATTTTTGTAGGGCATGATTTACAATACAATGGTGAATTTTCCCTCTGACAGTGAGCATGCCTACCAGTTCAGCACACAGTTGGTGATTCTTCTCCTTAGCAATGTCCAGGGCTGTCTTCCCTTCAGCGTTCTCAATCTTGGCCAGTTCTGGTCGAGTCCTCAATAAAAGCTTCATACACTCTGTCTTATCCTCTATTGCACAAAGATGTAATGGAGTATTGCCGTCTCTAGTTTTGTTTCCCAGACTTGTTCTGTGAAAGATATGTGTGGTTAGTACAAAGCTTGAAAAATACAATGTGGTGGTGGTGGGTGGGGGATTTGAAAAATTGCAAATGTTTATATTTATGTTGTAACCAGATACACTTTAATTAATTAAATATTTAAATTCTCCTCCTGAATATTATCTAGTAATAGATATATACAGGTGTACTATTGCTTCCTTACATGAGACTGTTTTGGATGATGAAGTCTACGATGTAAAGAGAGTATCCATCCTCCAGTAAGATAGCCAGATGTAGACCCGTCTCCCCATTCTCCTGAAAACAGACAATATCACATCAATTAAGCATTAATCAGAGAAACAGTAAAGCAATAGTATGATAATAATCTTACAGTTTGTTCTAAAACAGATTAGATTTCCTGATCAAAAGAAGATTGATAGTTAAATGACAAGCACGTATCATTTACATGCAATATCAGGGTATTGGAAAGTGGAGCTTCCCCTCAAAAAAGACAACATTTCTTAGTGTCCTGTTTTGTACAACACTTTCACTTCAGTTACACACTCACTCTCCCACTCGTTAACCAAAACACTCACAACCACAACACTTTATCCCCTCCAATTTCTTGTGATAATTAACAGATCCCTACCATATCTGGCATGACACTCATCAGATCTGTCCCTTCTGCGTGTAACTGTAGCAAGGTCTGGAAATCTCGGCCATGAATGGCTTGTTTCAGGTCATTTCGCATTTCCTCCTCCATTCCATTAGTGTTGAAGACAAATTTCTTTTTATCATACTTGTCAAAAATATAGGACTCTCTTTCTTTCCTATTATAAGGGAAAAAATACAAATTTTTCTTTTAAACTTGAAAAAATAAAAATGCTTATTTTGATGTCTAAGAAATCCATAATAATTTACATAAAATTTGCTTGGCTCTTTAAAAATGAAAGATAATGATTTTTTTTTAAAATCAGGAATGACTGTCTCTTACATCGGACTTGCACACTTCAGTTTTTTGTATCCATCCACCTTTCCTTCATCTAAATCATTGTATATCTTGCCTTCAAAAACTTCATTGAAACAGTCATTTCCTACCACTCGGGCTAACTGTAAATGCATAAGAAATCTATTATTCAACTGTTCTTTTAATTAAGTCCACCATTATTTACTTTTATTTTTTATGTATTTTTATACTGTAAAACTCATTTAGTATGAACACGGATAAAGCAACGTCAAGGATATAGCGAAGTTTTTGGGAGTCCCTGGCAGAATTCTTGATTCTTTTCAAAATTTGACGGATATAACAAACTCTGATATAGCGAATCTACGGATAACTCGAATTGATTTTGAGTCCCTTCGAGGCTAAATATAATGCAATTAACATCTTTTATAACGATTTTTCAAAGATCTTTAAAATTATATAAATTGAACTGATTTTTTTTTCATTAAGTATTTGTATATAAAATTCAGTTCATAATAAAGTCTTGGTTATCCAAGGTATATTTTGTTTTAATTGCTTCTCTATCATATTCGGTAGTAATACTTAAAGAAAAACGTGCAAATAGCGAATTCGTTATATAGAGTCATATGAAGTCGTTACATGGATATAAAGAAGTACGGAAATAGTGAATTAAATTCACAGGTCTCCAGGACTTTGCTATAACAGAGTTTTACTGTATTTATCTTTAATTTTCAGTGTACTAAATCATCTCTCCTTTTCTTTTTTTGGCAAGGCATCTGGATATTGTTTTAATTCAATACTTTTTGGTGAATCATATTTTCAAGTTAAGAAACCCCTGTGTCTTACTAGAAGTTGTGAAGTTCCTAATTCATCGATGACTATACTCTGAGTTCTAGAGATGTGAACGCCCAGCTGTCTGTGGATACCACAGCACTCCAGACAGATGAGGATGCCATAGTTTGTGGATAGCCACTCAGGATCTACAGTAAAGATACAGTTAAGTCACACATATTTTACTGATGCGTTTCCACATGAAGAAATGTACTGACATTTCATCATTTTAATTTTTTTTATAAACAATAAATCAGCAAAGAAATATAACTTTGAAAACGGATAATGACACTTCTTCAAGATTTAAAATGACACTAAAAATTTCACTGACTCTGATGATTTAAAATTAACAAAATATGATGTCGTCTAGTAATTTACCCTTTGCACCACAGTCGCAGCAGACTTGGTTGCCTGGCAACCGTTTGATTCGATCAATAATACTGGCAGTAAGTTCTCGGACATTCTGATTTATGGCAGGGGAGTTCGTGTTGTCCTGAAAGGCTTTCAGAAGGACTTCTTCTTTTGCATTGTTCAGAACGGAAATCCATCTAAAATTCAAATCTCTTAATTATTTCATGCATTTCAATGATTTGATTGAGTACATCAAACATTAAAATTGTTTCTCGTAAATATTTATCAACAATAAAATACATCTTAACAAAATCAACAATCGAAGAAGCTCTTTTTAATGTCTGAGGATAAAAAGTTTTTAAAAGGAGGTAAGGAATAGCCTGAAATTAGGTATGAATGATAAATGATTCAATGGTGCGAAATCCCCAATTGTATTCACAACACTAGTTATTTTGTGTCCCACTGCATTTAAAGTGTGGATAATTTTGTCACCCAGGCCTCATCGTAGGCAGTCTGACACAGGCTACATATCTGATCATCTGAAGGTGACTTACTCTTCCATCTCCTGGACATCCTCCCCCTGGAAATGGTACGTTCTATTATCTGTAACATAAAAAAAATGTTATTTTACAGTGATATTTGTGATATATCAAGAATGAAATTTTTCAGAAGAAAGTGACATTACTTTATCTCAAAAGAATCAAACCATTTTGCATTTAATCTATACAGGTATGAAAGGTCACTTGTGAGAAGGGGGGGGGGGATTAAATTACAGAAAACAAAGGCCAACTCAAATAAATTCAGATACTCACTGGAGCTAGAGACTAGATCAAAACACTTCTTGCCAACATCATCAGCAACAAGCTGGAAATTAATTTTTTTTTTTACAAATTACAAATAAATCAAGCTGGTCATTATAAAATTCCCAATCTTGTAATAACGGAACAAGAGACACTTTTGAAACAATTTATCATGAAACCATATAGTCGCAGAACAAATTTTAAGAAATATGCACTGTTGTACCTTTACTTGGCATGTAAGGAGATTCAATTTCACTGGTTCTTTTGTTTCCTAAAAGGAAAAATAAACAAATCTAACATAAAAGACATTTTATCTTTTCTATAAAAAAAAATTTTACAAATTCTGGAGTGATCTCCCTTACATCTGAGTGACTGACTAGCATGATGCCATCTTTGATGGTACACTTCCTTTTTTGCCACACTTTGCGTACTTTTCCTTCACTCTTCTTTAGCAGGTAGCCTGATTTCTGGCTTCCATGATCTTTATTTCCGTGGAGCTGATGTAGATTATACCCCGCCGGGCTTTTACTGGCAGAAGCAGCTGGCTGTAAGAAGAAATGTACAGTAAGTTTACTTGTATAATAATGAAGGGAAAAAGATTTTACTATATGAAAATCATGTTATAAGCCCTAAAAATGATAAAATAGTTAATTTCAACTACAAAATTTATTAAGAGTCAATGTATCTCTATGACAAGATAACATTTACAGCATATGTATGATTATAAACTTAATTTCCATTGCAAATTTCACAAGACTTGATTTTTCTATTCAAAATTGTAAATATTTCATATATGAAAATCAATTAAGGAGATTATGAACATTTTTTAAATTAAAAAACTAAAGTACCCCAATAAATTTTGCAAAATAAATAAAATAAAGCATCAATAATGCAAACCTTTCAGAATGATGATATATAAATGACTTAATAGTCTCAAGTACCGGTACCTTTAAATATAAGGATAGTATACTTTCTATGTGATGCTGTAAGATAAGTTTGCCAGTCATTATTTTTGAAAGGTTTACAGTATAAAGATGTATAAAAGCAAGCCCTACAAAATGGAAGCATTCAGACTATAACATTAATTTCTGGAATTTCATCTTTTTAAATCAAGAGTCCATATATCTGCATTGATAAAATAAAGCCCATGAAGTTCTTATACACAAAAAAATATTCCCTATGAAAACCTTCCACACATAAACGGAAAAATTAAAATTAAAAAAAATGTTAATCCAAAGGAGGCATGCCACAACATGGATCTGCTACCTTGACCCTCCCTAGTATTGAGAGCCTGTTGTTTGCATGCTGAATAAACAGAAAACAATTCAATGTATTCTTAAACGTTTTGCAGATTTCATTTTGTTAAATATTCTATAATTGTATTCTACTTATACATGTTATATACAGATTTACTCAACTTCAACAAATCATGGTTATTCATGAAAAGTTTAACTTGATTCACTAATTCATCCAGTGTATATTTCTCTTGTTCCATAGTGTTATTTTATAACAAAATATAACACTGATAAAAGGAAGAAATATTAGCATAAATGTTATGAACATCAATTACTGCATGCAGAAATCATCAATTGAATGAGAAATGCATTTTAAATTTTATGGGAAGTTGATTATATACAAATGCTCATGTTTTTCTAAATGCACAATTTTTGACTTCATGCTGTTTGACTTATATGAAATAGGTTCTTATGTGGAGCTTTAATATGGGCAAGAAAAATACCCCAAACCCTCTTTCCCCATTCTAAAAATATACACTATCCTTTTAAAGAACTCACTTTAAAACTAATACATAAAATTGATAATTGTGAAAAAATGTAAGGCCAAAAAAAATTAATCAATTGTTTCTCAGGCAAAAATATTTTATTGACATAATTTTCTATTTTTCCAAGTTGAAAAAGAAAATCGAGTTATTCCCCTTTTCATAACTGCTAAGAAAGACGTTTTTATTAGAAAAACAATATCTTTCTTCTAAATTTACAATATTTTATGAGTTAACTTTTTAATAAATGTTTAGAATAACATTATATAAAGTTGAATACATATTATAACTAATTTCAAAGAACAAAACTTAAGAATTAGTAAATATTATCATTTTATTAAACAAATGACTTTATAAAAGATGTAAAACATAAATTGAATTTTGAATTTTTTGGCCTGAGAAACTATTGATTAATTTTTTTTGGCCTAACTAGGCATTACCATTAAATTGGGTAACTGGTAAAAATAAGCTTCATTCATTTGTTAGTTTTTGTTAATTACAGGTAAATTTCCTTGTTACCTTTCCAGTGTCTTCTGTATATATAGTATTTCTAGATCCCTAATATAGATAAACAATTTATAATCCATTTCAATCTACAAAACTGCATTTTTACCAACATAATGTATATCATAAGTTTTATCAAAGTAGTCTCCCCTAATATCATTTCGTATGACTGGTATATATTCAAGACCTAATGTATAACATTTCAAACAATTTGGCATTTTTAGCATCATGTGTTGTTTTATAAAAAGAGTTAACTATGTTCTCTGAATCTTATGGATCCAACTCTATCTTGCTTTTTTTCATCTTTTAATGACAAATAAAAGAAAAAATACTGGTCATGAATTAAATTTTTATCAGAAGTTGAACTTTCATTATTTTTCATGGATAAGGCCCAAGTAAAAGTTTCTTGAGGATTAAGAGACAACTTAGATGAAGCTTAGGTTGTAATGCTTTATGATTTTTTTTTGGCAAAAAGCAATTAATTTTTGAGTACACTATATGATGATAAATTCTAATGATGATGGAGCTGAATTACTATGATGTTATTTTCAGGGTTGAATGACCCCGTGAATTGACCTCTTTATAAGACAACATAGAGTTTTTCACCCCGTGAACTGACCTCTTTATATGACGACATTGAGTTTTTGAGTGCATTCCTGAGTTCCACCAGCTGTTGGCGATCTGTGTATTGTTTCTGTTTGATGCCTTGTAGTTGTGCTATCAGCTTCTCTATATAGGTCTCAAATTTTCCAATGGTTTCCAAACTTTCTTGGTGAAAACTATTAAAATATAATCATATGCAAAATTCCTGCAGTTACTTTTCTCTAGAAGGGTGTTTTCAATACCATAACTTGTTATAAAATCATAGTATAATGACTTTGAATCTTACTTTTAAATGAGCAAAAGGAACTATATTAAAACAATTACTTTTATCATGGTATACCATATATATCTTTATCTTAGGTAATAATTTATTAATTACTTACACTTTCAGAGCTTTGTAATACTCCACTAAATGCAGCAGTAATTCCACCCCTTTCTTTGTCTTGATATCATTAACTTTAATGAGGTACTGGAAAAAAATTAATCCTCTAATAGCATCCAAATTTTCAAACTAAAAATTCTAAAAATTTGTCCCTCTAGAATCCTTTGATGTAAATAAATTGGCAATTCAAAATTTCACTATGTTTACCTCACAGAGTTGTAACTGGAAAACCTTTCTTTCCTTCAGCATGTCTTCAGCGATCTGTAAAAGTACATATCTTAATTACAGAGAGATGCCCTGCTTTATTTAAACCTCTTGAAATTTCTTTGTAGTTTCATGATAGTATCTTGTGGAAGTTACGAGGGGTTGTGTGTAATCTTTTACATGTGAAGATGCAGGTGTTGTGGTAAGGGAAACATGAGAAATGTTAGCTATGACTTTGCAATAAAACGCTTCATTTGCTTTAATGCAGAACCAGACCTGGTCTTAAGTAGCTGGAAATGAAGGAAATGGGTTTCTTTTCCCTTGGCAATGGCCTTCATTAGGTAAAATCAATATCTAGTTCATCAGTACTATGCTAACTCAGCATTACTGCGCAACATTATCCTAAATGTCAACCCCATAAAATTTGTGATAATAGGTCAAAAAACTTCCTTTGATTGCTGATTTTTTAATTAAATGATACATAACAGAATTCTGGTCAGGAAGCTCTATCCCCCTTAAAGTTAGTTTTTACATTGGTCAAATTAATATTTCATCATTAATGACAAAGCTAATAAGGCTAACATATATACAGCTGTATTCATTATACATACTTCTGAGCCATCCACCTCCGTCCTAGTCATCCCAGCATCCTTAGCCTGTTGTTTCTTTTCTTTTTCTATCTTAGCACTGTAAAACATAATCCAAGGACACATGTACTAGAACCCCATAATCCTCTGAAGTACAAGATGGTCAAACCAATACACAACTTTTCAAAAAACTCTACATCATATTTCTCCATTTTACTTTTAATTTCTTTCAAACTTGTATTAAAATGGTTGCATTTTAAACTTGTAATGGGTTGTTCTTTTGAGATATGTTAAAGTTCTAAGTGTATTACACTTACAATTTGGTTTCATATTCTTTAGCAGCTTTATCAAAAGGTTTCTTCATGTCACCCTTTACCCCCTTTAGATCCCCTTTGAGGAAGGCCTCCAGGGGGTACAGTAGCATAGTGTTTAACTTGGTTACCTGTACAATATATAACAACCGTATTATATTTACAATTACCAATAAGATGATATAAATGTAATTTACGATTACCTATTATAGTATAACATAAAAATTTTAATATCAACTAACACTATGTGCTATGTTTTTTAATCAATGTAATCTTTTTAAATTTCTTTCTTCTTTAATATCATATTTTTAGTATTTGCATAATTATTACCAAGAGGTGCTTTGTAAATATATTAATAAAAGATTGTTTTGTCATCTACCTTTGTTGATGTTATGCAGGTTTTAAGATGTACTAAAAAAATCTTATAGGAAAAGAATTATCCCATGAACTTAAGTATTTCATCTCAAAGGTAACATAATAATTATTAATTATAAGTTTTCATTTGCATCAACCAAACAAATTTAGTTCATCACATGAAAGGAAAATAAGCACCCAAGAATGATGTTTCAGCAAGTGCTAATTAGACTGGCATGCGAGATTAGATGGAAAAATATTACCGGTACATAGCAAATTCTACGATTTAAAAACAATTTTGTTTTTAAAAATAATAAATGCCAAGTGTTAATGATACATCATTCCTGCTAATAAATTAAAATTTCACACCCATCAAGATTATGTCTGGATTTCAGAGTTCATTCTTTCTAATTGGTTGAAATAGTTTAATTAACTGTGTTGTTGTTATTTAGAAGATTAAGACTTGTAAACATGTTTTCAATGAAACCTTAACTTGATTTACAAAATTAAGGAGATATACTCCAGTGTAAGGAATTGGGAAATAACATTTCAGAAGTTGGGTTTAGAAACAGTGACCTAGCTATGTCCAGACACAAAGTTTCAAATACCAAATCAGTACAGAAATTTACAGATCATAGTTGTGTTAATTTAAAAGATGCCTTGAGACTTAATTTCTAGCTACACTGCATCAAAACCAAAGCGCTACAGATTTCAGATGAACCTACCATGTCATTTAAAGAAGTTGACAGTTCTCTGGCTATTACAGAAAACTGCTTAAATCCTTCAACTGAAAAAAAGATACAATAGATAATTAAATCAATGAATGCTATAATTTACATATGTCTATTAAGGAAGGGACATAAAGCTAAAGATATTTCAGTTTCCAAAATTATTTAGGAAAATAAGTAATATTTAAAAAATTTATATTCTTGATGTTCATATTTTTTCTTCTAGGTTTTTTTGTGTGAATAATAATTAACAAAATTTTGCAAACCACAAATAGTAAAGGTAGCATACCCAGGTATATGTATATAATAATGAGCATGTACCTGTATTAAATTTGTTATTATTTTTTCCTAAAAGTATGTACAAGTAGTGAATATATAAAACAAAAACACAGACATTAATGGGAGATCCCAAAATTTCACTTAGAGAGATTATATCTGAAAATAGGCACAAAGTCCAATATTCTACAAATATATTTCTGATAGGATAAGAATACACATGTATGCTTGGGACTGAAAATCTACAAACTTGACTTAAAAAGTAGAGTGCATGATTTGGCTACTCCATAGTAACATACTCTGCACCACCTGTTGTATGTTTAAAATTCTTATCACATATTACATCTTTAACCTCCGACCTCATTCTAACCTGTTCTAGTTTTCTGTCTTTATATTATTTACTTCCACCTATTTTCTCAATCAATACTTATATTATACCTACCTACTTCATTCTCCTGCTCTACATTACTGTTACTGACATTGTCCAGATTTTCTGCCATTGTCACATCACTTTCAACATGCCCTACATTATAAAAGACATCAGTTGTCATTCTGATCATAAAGCAGAAATCTCTCTCTCTCTCTCTCTCTCTCTCTCTCTCTCTGTGTGTGTGTGTGTGTGTGTTTGTGTGTATGTTCACTTTAAATTATACCTAATCTCTATCTATTTATCTCATTAATCAGAGGTGTTTTGGTTTTCAATTTTGCAAACTCAATACAAATAGGTGCTCGCTACACCTTCATCTACAGTGGTCATAGTATTTCTTTTGGCACCTATGATAATCCATTCAGGTATCTTACAATGAGATACATGTATCTTAAATGATAATTTAAAAAAAATCCCTAATGATCTTCTGTGTGTGCCAAAAATAAACTAACATTTGACCTCATTCAATCCCAAGCACTCCCCTTCCTTTTAATTAAAACTGGGTCAGATCAAACCTGATTACCGCCTTCATTAACATAAAACCTTAGTCAAAAGAGCCCCCTAACATTCTGTATTATGAATGCCAGTCACCTAATGGAGATGACAGCCGCAGAGTTCCTGACGGGAAGTCAACCCCCCTCACCAGTTACTTTTATCAATTATCATATTCTACATCAAGGAAAAGATGCCCTTGTACGAAAACATCATAAATAGTTTAGGGTTAGGCTGTAAAATGTGGTTATATGTCCTTCTAGGTTTCACTTCTGTATGTAGATAATAGATAAAAGCGGAAAGCCAAAGGGGGAAATGACAAAGTATATCATACAAACATTCATGTAAATACCACTGTCCCTAAAGGAAGTAAACTTTTATCATGTTTTTCCTTTCTCTGTGTTTTCAATCTGTTTTCCTCTCTCTCTCTCTCTCTCTCTCTCTCTCTCTCTCTCTCAAGCAAAGTAATATCATCCCATATGAAAACTATCAACTACTCCTAGGAAAAACAATCATTTTTAAAGCAATTTTTTTGTTACTTCTTTATGAATTTTATTCCAATATCTGATGAGTTACACAATTAAGAGCCAGCAGATCACTGCATGCTTGCCCAGAAACATCTTTAATGAGTTGTGTATAAAGCAATGTGTCAGACTGTGAGACATAATTTAAAGAATCTCATAGTCACTTTATTTCCCATTTATTTTTTTTTCATTATCTTTATTACATGCGAGGGCACAAAAATTGTCTTACTTTTGCCTGCATTATACAGCGCCTTGACTGATTTCTTCATTTTTGTTAATCCACTGCGGTCTGCATCCAGTCTCTGAAATAACAAGATAATATACATAATTCATTTACCAAGGATAACATAATTATCATTATCAGCTAGTTCACAAAGTGATCCAGCAATTGATATTATAATGTAACCAGAACTTGGGTGAGAAAATCTGAGTTCAAAGTACATACATTCTATCACACCTTTCTAAATCAAAAGATTGAAAATAAAGACCAGCATGGATCAAACTTTTTTTGAAAAATGCTTTTTTTTAACACATACAAGAAAAACATAAAATGTTCAATATTTAAATATAATCACTTTTTCTTGTCTTATTTAGTAAGCGGATGAAAATTCCCCTAGCTGTACATTTCATAGACATGTTAAGACATATTTTGGTCTGTATGTGACTACTGTACTAACACAGAGTGTACTTAGTACAAAGGTATTCCTCATTAAAAGGAGACTTTTACCACAAAGGCACTGGCACGGAGTAGCTACACAATTTGCAACTAAATAAGTAATACTCATAGAATTCATACAAAATCAGTACTTTTTTTCGAAAACACTAAATGCTGGCTTGAAAACATGTTTATGATTATCTTTGGAAATTTTAGACACCACCCAATTATACAACATAAAAATTCCAAGTAATGGATACAAATGTATACCAGGTACTTATTTACAGAAATAATTAAATGCTTGAGTAAAACTTTAAATTTTTGTCATAAACAATCTAAGTTGATAAAAGTTTTCAAGGAATATACTTAATTTTAATTATATAAGCAGCACAGTGTGTAGAATACAGTAACATCCTTATTATGTCATATTATGTCACAAGGGAAATTTTTTAATGCACTTGCTTTCATTATCTTGTGATTTTATTTAAATATATAACTCATTTTTTATCATTACCATGTGATTCTACGTTGTTTTTTTTTCAGTTAAAGGAATAACTTTTTTTAAAAAAAAACATGTTATATAACTGGCTTCTGAAATTTCACTGGTCCAAACTAGACAAATAAATAGAATGGCAAACATATTTGATCTGATAAATGAGCATGCATGGATTTCAGGAAGTTTTACTTATATACAAATCTCTTCACTGTATTATGAATATTATTGCTAAATTAAAGTTTTCTACCACACTATATACTCCAGTTGGTCTATTTAAAAATGCTTTTGTATCGCATAAAAATTTCTTCTTCTTGTGTGAAAAACAAAGGGATGCAGGGCTAACTGTATACTGAATTCAGTATTTTAATACATCCCTTTGTTGATCTCTTGTGGTTTATTAGTTATTCTATGCATTACATGTAATGAGGAAAATTACTGGGGAAAATCTCAAAACAGCAAAAAAAATTCTCCTGTTCTTTCTGCTTGCCTCCTTATAAGGCAAAACGCAGAAGTGATGCAGTCAGCACCGACTTTTCCGTCATTAAGTGCATGCTTAATAGGCATAATGCATAAATTTTCTGTTATGTAAAAAAAAAATCTTGGTGCATAAAACATTGAGAATGAGTCACCTTTGTAACAAAGAGAGAAAACAGTAAACTGCTGGAAACAGCAGGACAAATTTTTCTTTGTTTTTCAAAATTGAGATGTAACATCTCTATAAATCCTATTAACTGCCTTTATCCAGGTGTGCACTCTTGTTCACAGCTGAGCAATAGATGGAATGTTTTTAACATCCAGCACTAACTGTTACTTTTAATAAGTTAGAAATTCCCCAAATGCCAATTTTTTTCTCTCAATATTTTTTCAATTGCTCATTTGTAGATTTCAGAACTCATTTTCTCTTCTTCTAAGAAAATAAATATATACATACTAAATGCAATATTCTTACATTATCTGATTTCTTTTGATTTTTAGTTAAATACTTTGAAGCACAAAATGATATGCTTTTTTCTTTATAACTCCTAATCACAAATACAGTACAGTTTTTGTCTTAATGACTTCTTTCATACATTCCCATTTTCCTTGCATTCTACCCTTTTTACCAAGAATGTTCACTAGGTGAATTGCTTAAACTACATATAACAAAACAGTATTATACTTTTTTCATTATTATAGATCTGCACTTTCTATATTGACCATTTCCTTAAGAACTACTACACCAACATTCCAACCAAACCCCAGTACCCTGGTGGTACGATAATAAGAGACTAGCACTTGTACTTCTTTGCTGGATTATATAATGACATTACAAAAGCTTGAATATTGTCAAAACAATTTGCATAGGAGTGAAATTGCCCTACCCCTCCCAACTTTAATACACAGTCACATTATGTACACTGATCTGCATGACCATTGAGGCAACACCAATATTGGGATAAATACTTTCTTAGTAAAGTTAATCCATTTATCTGTCATTCATACAAAAAGGCACTAGGAGTGGATTTGGGTAAAACTTTAGAGATGATCACTTAATACTCATTGAATACAAAGAGAAAACTGAAAATATGCTACAAATACAATCAGTCTCAAGCTAAAATCATTTAATATAACCAATGTATACATGTGGGTTTATAAAATAAACAGTGCTTTTGGCTTGACACTCCCACTCAACAACTGCTCATTTTTATCCTGAATGGGTACATTTTTTCTTTTTTAATTTTATATGAATCCACATCCTGAATCATCAACAGGTTAGGCAACTTGGAATTGTTTAAAAATGCCTCAAGACAATGTCTGGGTGATGTGAAAATTAGAAATACCGGTACTGTACCGATACTGTTAGTGTACACTCATGAAGTAGAATGATTTTCTCCATAGTAAACCACCATCAATCTTCTACAAAATGCATATGCCTGCTAAACTATATTTTTGTGGATAACCAAACAAAACTTCACAAATTAAAAAAATACTTATCTTACTTTAATGGAAACTGCAGATAAGATAGTAGATTGAATCTTCTTTTTTAAAATAATTGCATGTTCAGTTTTTACTTTTTATACCCTGTTAGCATTTACATAGAAGTGAGGCCAAATGAATCACAGTCTACAAGTTCCAAAATTTCTTGTGTGGGATTTGAACAATGTTGAACTAACTAGTTAATAGGTCATTCATATCCAATAGTGAATACATTACTGAGTTTCCCAAATGGTATTAACACTAGTTCAGAGTACTGAAATATTACTTTGGTTTTGTATATTTATAAGAAATAGGCATCAAATCACAAGATCATAAATTTGTAAGAGGACTGTTGATCATGCATATTTTACATGCATGTAATTCAGCAACATAAATATATTTATATAGGCAAGTAATTTTAATACAAGGGATGCTTCTTGCGAAATTATGCAATTGTAATGGGAGAGGACCAGACCAGGATTCGAACTTGTGCCCCCTTGAAACTTCAGGTGAGTGCTCTACTGGCTGAGCTATCTGACCTCCAGCAACCGAATCCAGCTGACCACCACATTCCTCCCTTCTTCAAGGTCTTTGGCCCTCCAAAGACCCCAACCCTGGCTCATCCCTGGCAGGCCTCTCACTTGTCAGTTCCGGGGCATGGCACAGCACCAAATTTAATGGGAGAGGAGAAAATGCAGCGGACCAGACCAGGATTCGAACCAGGGCCCCCTTAAACTCCAGTAAGGTGCTCTACCAACTGAGCAATCTGGCCACTGGCGATCGAATCCGGCTGACCGCTACACAATAATAAATTCTAAACATTTAGAACTGTAGTTAATAATGATAATGCAATGACCATCCTTCCCAATAAACTGTAGTACTTGCAAACCCAATAGGGGTAAAACGATACGCCTCCTTCACGGTTCGATACGTATCGTAAAATTTGGTCTCGGTTTGGTTATTTTCGATATGATACATTTTGATAGAAGGTAACATATTCAACTGTTGTTTTATGCTTTCTTTTACTTAATCTAGTCAAAAAAATTATGTGCAGAATGGATATAATAAATAAATTTGATTGATTTGTCTGTTAAAAATCATTTTACAAACTTTAAGTCCACAAAAATTTACGTTTTTGAACTAATTATACAGAGAAGCATGTTTATACCTTAAGCCAAACTCGACTGAATGACGATCCCGACTGAAAAACGAACCGAACCGAAAGTAGAGATTTTGTACCATATATCGAATCGAGAAAAAATACAGCGGTGAACCGTTTCACTCCTAAAACCCAATACATGTATATGAAAATCACAAGCATGATAATGTCTCTATAAAGACTGATAATACAAGGAATGAAGCAAGCAATGCAAAACACTACTCACTCTTCAAGCACTTAAGACAATGTGTACAAACACAGGAAATTCAGGCTAAAATCTATATCTTTTAAGTTTGGGATACTGAACAACCACTCTACATATTTCTAACTTATTCAATCAATGAAATATAAGATACAGAGGTGTCTTAGTAATTTGAAGTGTTAAAACATTTTAAAGAGTTCAATAACTTAACCCTTGCATGATATAATAATAAACATGGTATCCAGGGTTGTCCCTAAGGATTGTCTGGTGAATTTCCCTGCTTATAATTGATAATTATGTAATTCCCAGCTATTTGGGGTATCCCACCTAAACTCCCTATTAGGAGAGGAACCCCAGATCCCCATCTACTTTCTTAATGTCCCCTTCTATTTCAATTCTTAGTGACAAGCCCGGGTTTTCATAGAGTATAATAATAATGAATGTATGCATCCTGCCATTGGATGCATTAGGGCCTACATATTTCAAATTCAGACAAAAGTTCAATAATGGAAATTACATCAAAATAAGTTGATGAATAATGTTACGTGACATGCGAATGTTATACTGTGTATCTGCAGATATTTTTACAGTAAACCTCAAAGGGGGCGTTTTCTACTGTGAATAAATAAACGTTATTTAGGATAAAAAAATTGATATATTGTATGCTTCGTTTAATATCTAAGCTATAAACCAGTACTTAAGTTTTAACAATGGATCCTAATCCCAACAATATCAGTGTAATCTGAACGGAATTATAACTGTACTCACTTCCTCAAGAGTCGACACCAGGTTTTTATAGTTAGGCATGTTTTTCGTGAATGAAGAGGTCGTGTGCGGGGATTTGAAATCATCCCAAGTGTCCTTCACGAAGTCCGACAACGGTATTTGCTCTGGCATCTTGCCTTCCTAGTTTTCCAGCTCTTAAAATATTCTCATATCTAACTTAAACAGATAGCGGAAGGTTTCCCCCTTTCAACCACCAATCGCCTTTTCAAAATGGCCTCTATTTTGTTTTTAGTAATTGATGAGCACCCCGAACCCGATTTTTAATGATTTAAAATTAAAAAAGAAAAAGAGAGAATGAAAGAATCAGAATAATTCATTGGCATGATTATTTGTTTTATACAATGAGATGAACTTAAACTTTGTTGGTATTTTCATTTATCTTAACCCCTCTACCTCTTCGCGAGTCAAGCTTGGTTTACGATCCTGTCCAAAAACTCCCAAAGTACATAAAATTTACTCCTCTTTAAAAGTGCCATTTAGGAGCTCTTAATTCTATATATATGGAACATTTGACTAAGGGGTCAGCCGGTGTGATACCACCTTTAGGAGCTCTAGAAGGGGAGCGGATCGAAAACCCTCGGCTAGCGAAGTTGATCCCACACCACACACACGGACACCCCAAATCCCCAACCCCACTCATCATAATTCAGGCGATGATTCTCTGTAATACACTAAGTATCAATTCGATATATGCTGTACATATATTTTTTTAAGTACATGTAGTACTTAATGTTGTGAGGAATTATGTGAGCATTGATAATACTGACGGATTTAACGGGGGGGGGGGGGGGCGCGCACGCCCCCCCCCCACCCACTAAAATTTTCAAAGTGTGATATGACTAGTATTCTAATGCCGTACTTTGGTACATAACTAACCTGAATACTACTATTATTGTGCCAGGTTTTACTCTTAAAATACACGAAAACATAGGAACTTCCGGGGGCTTTGTCCCATGGACCCACTGGGGGCCTTAAGGCGGTCCCCAGACCCCCTGCCTAAACGAACTTATCCACCCCACCCCCTGATCACAAATCCTATATCCGCCCATGATAATATCATATTGTGTGATATTTGTCACCTGCATTGAATTAAATTCTAAGAAAAATTATTGAATTTTGGAGATTCTTTGTAAAATAGTTATTATTCTCTATACAGATAAAACTTGATTCTGATACGTCAGTATTAATCAATGAATATTCCAAGATGCGCATATCGAAATAGAAGAAGTTCGCAAAATCCGAAAAACTGCGACTGTAAAATCTGACCATGAAGGGCTCATTTCAATTAATCCAGATATAACCTTTTTGTATCCCGTTTTCATGTGGATTAATCTGTATTTGAAGCTCTGTTTGATATTTATTCCACCAGTTCGTTAAAGCACAGGAAAGGAGGGAGACATAAGGAAAGAAAGCTTTAATTAATACTAACAAAATTAATGTACAAAGAAGGGAAGTTACATATATTAAAAAAAAGAAACATGTCAAAGAGCAAAACTGATATGTGATGTGAAGTTCATAAAATGGCCATAGAATATAGAATATTTTCCACGATGACCAAATCCAGTCCGTGTCTGTCTCGAAAAATGCCGTAATTAAACATTTAAATGAGTTTGACAAAATCAATATTATAGTTGCCGCGAGATAAATCTTGCAATGGTTTATTTATTAATTTATTTATTTATTTGCTTCCTGATTAGCACTCTGTCAGATTACATGTATGAAAGATAACTCCATTATCTTTATTTAAATTGCACTGAAGGACCTTATAACACCGGGGGTGAAAATATATACAGGTTTAAACATTGAGATGATCTGTTTATGTTCAAAATATGGTTTTATATTTTAAAAAAAAATGTTTCAAGAAATTAAAGTGTCAAGATCAGACATCACTATTGTTTACTTCAGTGGAGAAAAAATAGAAGTTCAATTTGACTATGCTCTCGTCTTTTAAAATGTTATAGTTTTTTAAACCGCTTACAAATTTATTTAAAATGAAAGTTACATATTTCGCATTTACTTGAATTTAGAGGAAGATCACTACAACTGTAGACAAACACCACAAAATCACCACGGAGCGCCTCCAAAAATGATTAAAATTTGTTGAATGCTGACATAATCTATATATAGTAAAATAAAAAAAGTACATGTAAAAATACAAAACTTTCATTCATGTTCAGTTAAAAATGGAATTAGTTTCTCTTTTGAAATAGACAATTTTTTTTTCAATTTGTTCTTAAATTCTCTCTCTCTCTCTCTCTCTCTCTCTCTCTCTCTCTCTCTCTCTCTCAAACTATGTATTTTTTCCCTGGTTGTGAGTGCCTTACCCATATAGGCATATGCGGTTTTGGCATCGTTAATCATAAAGTTTAAACGTTGAAACTGTATTTTCATAAACAGAACATTCCAACACCAAAACTTGTGAAAATTTTCCAAGGGTGGTAGAAGTATAGCTTTGCTATGCAAAAAGTTTACCGTATTAATTTTTCTGAAACCCATATAGTATATATGGTTGAAATTATTACTGAAACAAGTGCCTTTGGTAACTACATGTTTTAATTAATTTAATAATCTGTAAATGTGCACTGATATTAAAATGATTATAATTTGTTTAATATTAAAGTTTAAACTTTGGATTTTCATAAATAGAGGGGTAGAAATAGACAAAAAGTTTACCGTTTTAATTTTTCTTAATCCCATATAGTATAATTAGTATAGTACCGATTATGGTTGAAATTATTACTGAAACAAGTGCCTTTGGTAACTACATGTAGCACTGATACTAAAATGATTATAGTTTGTTTAATATTAAGTCAGATCTAGAGGAGGGTCGGGGGGGGGGGGGGGAGGGAATCCGCCGGAATTTGCAGAGTTATTAAATGTATGTACTAAACTAAGCAAAATTGACCTAGGGACCCCCCCTTCTAGGTAACGAGGACCCCTTTTTCGGAACGTGGATTCATGTGAAAATCATTTCTGATACCACTTGAGTGCTTTATCTGCTATGTAGAAATGCATTAAGTCAAACATGCAATGGATTTAAAAAACAAATATTGAGCTGATCTATTTATTTTTCAATATATTTTTCAATATAACCCCCCCCCCCCCCCAAGGAAATCCTATTTCGAGTTTGGGCAATTTTTTTTCTTTTTTATGTTTTTTTTTATTTTTGCTTGTTATTTTTTACAGGCAAGTAAAAAAAAATTTCTCTGGCTGCCCCCCCCCCCCCTTTCAAAAACGATGCTACGTGGCTGTAAATTACAGATGTCATTTTACTTGAATTTAGACCCAGATCACTGATACTATAGAAAAATACCACAGAATCAGAACTCTTTGGTGTGCAGCGTAGTAATACAGCCACTTCTCACGATATATGTGTATATGCTTTTTGATATCATCGACAACGGCTTTTGCAATAATAAAAATGGAGCTACAGTGAAGGAACTTTTCATATACATGTATCTTTGTAAACTGGTCAACGAAATTCCTATGCTAAAATACTTTAATGATACACATAATTACTTTGAAGTTCACATTTTAAAAAAGGGATGCTGGACTTCCTTGTTAACAACAAATATATATATAGTCTAGGGAAACCAGATATTGGAAATCCGATGGGCACTGATTGTGCTCCTTCAATATCCGACCTGTTTATTTTTTATTCCTATGGATTTCCTTTAAATATTCATAACTTCTACACGCTATCCACTCGACGTTGATATACGTATAAGCAGAATATTTAACGAGGATTTAATTTTGGCATTATTATCTAGGGTGCCAAGATCGATGAAATTTAATATCGCTAAAAATTAATTGTGCTTTATTTGTAATAGCTTCTTTAGTGAGCTTTTAGAAATCGCTATAAAATTATATCTCGCTAAATATAAAACCCCTATTTTTAAGGACAAATCGCTAAATGCGTCTCGCTAAAATTTCTACTTATACGGTATATCGATGATATAATATCAATGTTAACAATATATACGAGTTAGTTACTTTCATAACTATATATACATGTCAATTATATATTAACAATTTTAGTATACTCTGAAAGTCGAATTTAACATCTGACTTCATCTCGCAAGGTATTCGTAACAACACGGCCATTTTCCAAGAGCAGTGACAAAACATTTATTGATGTTCTCGAACCAAACTTTCGGCCTAACGCCAGGCAGACAGTTTGGTTCTTGTGTCCGACAAAACACTTGTCGCCCTCGAACTCAGTCAATAAATATATTTTGTTACATGTAGTTAATGGAACATACGGTCGTGTAGATTATAGACGAATTTGTAATAATTTCATTTTTTAAAGTTTCTATACGTATGCAAAGCATCTTAATGGTCAAGGTTTTGAAAATACCAAGACACGTGTATTGTGCAACGTACATTCGTATTTTAATTAATTTACTGAACTGACAATAAATGAACTGATTGTATTTTGTCATCCTCCGTTGACCTTTTGTTTGAAAAAAAAAATTGTGATATTTTTTGTTTGGTTTTGGTATTGTTAATCATTGGGTGTAAACTTTGAAGCTACATTTTCATAAATAGAAAATCCCAACACAGTTCTGTAGATAGAGACGACATTTTAACCACAATATGCTAGCATAAAATTTTCATCATTACAGTAATATTATAGGCACTAGTTACTGTATTAAATTATCAAAACCATAGTTAAATACATGTATAATAAGTATTTTACCATATGGGTTAAAATTATTACAGATACAAGTGCCTATGGTAACTACAGGTATATGTTGTGCACTGATGTTTAAAACGATTATATTTTGTTTACATTGTCAACATTTCCCATAAATTTTGTTTTGATTACAGTTTTAATTGCGAAGGAGAAAGTTCATTCTGTAATCCATGAGTTTTGAGCTTATTACAACAACCACCGTGTATGACCCCACAACGGGGGCGCGGAATGGTGACATTCGGGGGTGCAGATTTTGAAGCGGAATTTGACAACGTTGATTAAAATGAGATTAGATTGTTTTTTAGAACATAATGGGTGGGGCGAGCTTTGTTGAAACGCACTTTGAAAAATTACGCACTTTGAAATTTTTTTTCAAAGTGCGTTAAATTTGGGACCAAATTAACGCACTTTGAAAAAATAAAATTTTCTTTTTAAAGTGCGTTAATATCGACCATATTAATGCACTTCGAAAAAAAGGTTTATGGCTTGGTCAATATTCTTGCAAATCTTAGGTATGAT